ATAAATATATAAATATATAAATAATATAAAATAATTATAAACTTAAAATTATATAGTTTTATTTAAACATTATTTGGGCATGTATATTTTAATACCCTGATTATATATAAAAATAATTGCTAAAAATTAATTAATATAATTAATTTGTAATTTGACAATTATTAATAAATATAATTTTTTTATTATAAATAATATCAAATATTATTAAAATACTCTATTAATTGTATCAAATATATGGCAACAATTATATACAATTAATTTAATAATTGTAATCAATTTTTTCATTTTTTTATTTATTTAATATTTGTTTGTTATTTGAAACCAAAACTCAATTGTTTATTAGTTAATAAAGTATATTATAATTTACATATAATTTTCATAATATACAGTATATTTATATCAATACTGTGGAGATATTTAAAGTATATATATTTATAAATATATTAATTTAATGCCATATCAAATATGATATATATATATACTGTATATACAGTATATATAGTATATATGTTAAAATAATTGTATATATTGTTTGTATATATTATATAATGTTGTGAATGTATTGCTTAGTATATATTAATATATAATAGCATATAATTGTTTCAGTATAACTTAAACCAAAACAATAATATCCTGCAAACAATTATATCTTATAACATATATTTTATGTTTATGCCGACAATAATATTATATATAATAATTAAAATTATACTTTAAACATAAATATATATTTTTTATGGGAAATTTAAATTTATTTAATTATGTTATTTATTTATTTTTTGATTACACATCTATTGTTTTGGTTTTGGTTGTATTGAAACAGTTAACAATTTTATACAATAATATACAATTAATATTTTTCAATATTATATTACTGAATATTGCAATATATATATATTATATTTTAATAAATTGCAAATTTGATTAATACATAAAATTATTTATTATATTAAACATAATAATACATTTAAAAAAGCAGTCAGTCCGTACATAACATTAACAAAAATTAATAATATGTTTACAATAATATAAATATTATTTTACAAATATATTAATATAAATAATTATTAATTTAGACAATTATTTTTATTGTACAATTTGATTGGACTATACATACAATAGTATACAATAGTCTTCAATACTTGACTACTGTATATGTAATGCAATACAAGTGATATATTTATCTGTCTTTACTATTCATAGCATTTCATACATTAAATTGTTTTTCAAATATTCATTACATTTCATAGGAATGTCTTATAGAACACTCATTTGACACAACAGTGCAAACAATTTGAACGCAAACTCAATATACACTAAAAATTACACAAATAGTAGACTAATGTTAAAAAATATATAATTAATATATTGAATGTCTTTACAATTTTTATCATTGTTTTTCTATTTACTAATTTTTTTAAAATTATTACATTTGATACTAAATAGATGGCACTATTAGTGTACATTGGAGTAAATTAAAATGTAATATTAGTTTTGTTACAATCATATAATCACATGTAAAACAAGTTTGCGATAAAAAAAAATTTTATTTGACGGCAACAGCTAGTAGCTAATGCCGTTTAGCATATATGGCTTAATATTTAGTAAAAATGCTATTTATTTTGTATGTATATAAATATAATATAAATGTAAATAAATGTTTTTTGAAAATAAAAAATGTGATTAATTATTTATTAATTATATTATATAGTTATATTTATACTATTATATTAAAATTAATTTTATAATAAGTATTATTTGAGTTTCAGTTCACATTCGACAGTATAGATTTAATACGTAAGTTTTTATTTAAAAAAAATTATAAAAAATTATAAATTAAATATAATATTTTTAATAATAATAATATATTTTTAATAATAATAATATATTTAATTAAATATTAATAACATTACATAAAATAAAATATATATATATATATATAATAAATTTATTTATTACAGGGTTGATAAAATACAATATTAAAAATAAATTGATTCAAAAATTAATGATAAAAAATTAAATATTTCAAATAATACAGGGTTGTAAAAATACAATTTTTGATATATTAAAAATCAAAATAAAAATTATTAATAAGTAATTATAATTATAGAATTGTTACAAAAATGCATTTAAAACAAATAACATATCAAATTAATTTTATAAAATTAATTAAATCAAAATAATAAAATCAAATTAATTAAATAAATCAAATTATTTAAATCAAATTAATCAAATTAATCAAATTAATCAAATTAATCAAATTAATCAAATTAATCAAATTAATCAAATTAATCAAATTAATCAAATTAATTAAATAATTCAAACTAATTAGATAAATAAAATTAATCAATTCATTTATAATTTAATTATTTTGATAATTTTTTTAGCTCATTTTTTGATAATTTTTGACATTCATCGCCATATTTTTTTGCCAAAAATCCTAGTACTTTAATTGCATGTTTTATTTTACCCACTTCAAAGCGGTATGAGTAGATTGGAATCAGATTTCCTGTAGTGGGGTGCCGTTTAAGTGAATAAAATACGACCTTACCTCCCTCAGTTAAAGCTTGTCCAAAATAATCTGTTTTAAATATATTTAAATAATTTTAGTTAATTAATTATAAGAATCAAAATAATTATATTAAATTTTAATTAATAAATTACCGGAACGACATTTGTGAAGCAATTTATCCTTTTCTCCTTGGAAGCCAGTATTATCGACAATAGCATACCCTTCATTGTCATCGACTTTAGATTTTTTTGCAGTTTTGGATGTACTACCTTTAGAGGGAGTAGAAGTATTTTTTTGTCGTTTGTTTGTTTGTTTTGGGACTACCAAAGATATAGGTTCATCACCTGAAACACTGGCTCCGGACTCGTCTGTATCGGATACTTCCAACGCCTCAATATCCAAGAAATCTTTAGCATTTGTAGACATTTTATAACAGTACTTTAGCAAAAACTTTACAAAAAAAGTAAGTAACAGTAAGTAACAAATTAGAGATAGAGTTAATCTCAAAAATTGTTTGAATGATTTTTAGTGAAAGTGTCTGTTGCTTATATATGATTTTACTGTATAATAATTCTATACTAATAGAAATTATGCCAAATAACATATAAATTATTTTTAAAAACAAATATAATAACCATAAATGGAAATAATTATTTGTTATTTAATACTAAAAAATATATTTTTAATGTAATAATATGTTAACATTTATTTATATATATTATGTTTGATATAACAATATTAATTGTTTATATATACTTATAATTTTAATGACTGTTTTTTCACAACCTTATAATAAATTACAATTTTTTTTTGTTTATAATTTAGATCTAACAATAATAATTGTTTGACATATTTATAATTTTTATTATTGTTATTTCACAACCTTATAATAATTTACAAATATTTTTGTTTAAAATAAATTAATTTTGTATTTTTATTATAATCGTTTATATTAATTTTCACATGTTTTTGATAATCTTATTGTATTTTATTAACATTTAATTTAAAAATAATTTGATTTATTATTAATTACATTATATTTTTTGTACAATTTTTAACATGTATTTAAAATACAAATACTTTTTCATTATTTATGTATTTTTATAGCACTATTTATTTATTTAAAAATATTTTTTATATATCTACTACATTGTTATTTTACATTAACTATTATTTATTTTACAAAATTTTTAACACATATATAATATTTATGATATTAATTTATATGTATTATAAGAAATTATTATTTATTATTTATTATTTTTATTTATAATTATGAAAATTATTTTTAAATTTCTAAAAGATTATTCATTTGTATTTCATTATTAATATGGATAATACACAGTTTTTGCACAATGAAAGAGAATATATGTGCAAAATCTGCAAACATTATAGCATTTCATTTAATTTAATTTTAATCCATTTAAAAATCAATCATGATTTTATTGTTGCACCGTTTTATGCTAGTAATGGTACTTACCGCCCTTTCGTGACAATATTTAGACCAGCTCAAAATTAAAATGTAAGTATATTAACTTTAATTAACTTTTTTAATTTTATATTATTGAAAATTAATTACTAATTAGCTAATTAATTACCTGAGGCCTGTAATATAACACAACACTCATATAATATAAACTATAAATATATTACTTATATTATATAATACTATATACTGTATTACAAACAGTTGTAAATATACCGGTAATATTAGTATTAGTTAGTTATAGTACACTATATGCAAATATCTGGTAATTATAGTAAAGTACAGTATTATTCTACAATAATATATATTTACAGTAATTTCTATTAATTGTTTAGTGTATTTAATACATATGTAGACTACTTTTATAAGATAAATAAATATATATTAAATCATATTTTAATTGTTTTGGAAGTACATCTAAATATTTAATTACTAATAAATAAAGTTTATTTAAAACTACTTTGAGGTTTGAAAGAAAAAAAATCAATGAATTTTAGTTAATTATTATTATTTTTTAATTAAATTAATTCCAATAAAATAAAAGTTTATTAATTTGGATATAGTTTTAGTATAATTAAAGTGATTCCAAAAATAGTTAAAATAGAGATGAAATTGTCGATTGATATCTTAAATTTGGTTAATATGTCTAACATTAAAATGTCTATTAAATGTTTATCTCTCCAAACAAATCAATGGTTTGCATGGATTGTCAGTAAAAGTTTGCCTCAAAATCAGTATATTTGATGAACCAAAAGAGCGAACCGTTATTTTGTTGGGGAAAGACATTTGTATTATTATATATTATATACAATGATTTATTTGGATTAACCGGTTAAACCCTAACTCCGATATATATATGGGTATATCATATATAAAATAAGTGGACAGTTGACCAAACCATAGGTGACAATTGGAGTGTATATCCCATACAACCAGTCAATGTCATACCAGTGCTCAACAGCGCCGGGAGTGGCGTTCACTGGCGTTACTGTCTGTCAGGTCATGGAGTGTGCCTTCGCTTCCCGTTATTGGAGTGTTTGGCGTCAAACAGCACAGGCATAGCATAGGGGCAGCACTTACACCACTACCGCTATATACCAGTGCACTAAACCAACACAACCAGAGAAATCTATGTATAGGACAACCCTATTGAGCGCTCACGAGATGTAATATCCGCGCATACATTGAGTGGCACAGGGAGTACAACGAGGATAGGGAGTCAACACTGGCAAAGGCAACCAAACATCACAACAACACATATGACTACACTTATGGTGTCGTTGTGTCCAACACTTGATCCTATTGTCAATGACCTTATCGTTTGGTAGTAGTGGCCAATCAACACATTAATTTCGACGGCAAAGTGTCCGCACACCAAAACCTCTTATACTATATATATTTAATTACAAGATATTAATAGATAATTAACGGGAAAACCAACGCCAGACCGACAACTAATGTTGTAGTCATTGATTTGACTGTCAGTCAGTGGTTTTAATTGACATTAATGTGTTGTGATATCCATTGATTGCCGAAGTTGTCCGCAAACATGGATAAAAAGTTGCAAAAGTATTTTTGCATATTTTGTGACAATTGTATCACTTTCGAGACAATGTCTGAAGCCTACAATCATTACAAGAATCACATGAAAGTACATTACTATTGCAACGATTGCGATAATGACCGCAAATGTGTGGAAGAAGACCACAATAGCAATGATAAAACATTAAGTGTCGACGAGACGGGTGTCATCGAGATGTGGATCGAACGGTTCCTCTCCTACCAGAGCGAAGTCATCGATAAGACATATAGCGATCTATTCAAGAGTTGTAAACTATTTACCGGTTGTGCCGTCTGTCAGACATTTCTAAGACTGAGTGCCGCCAATGATGTCAAGTTTGCAAAAGGAAACGTCCAGTGGTCACATAACGAGGCACTTCCTAATGAGGTCCGACATGTGTGTAGTCATCTCAGGTACTATCCGTTTGAATGCAACAAATGCGAGTCCGATGGTCGCTACCACAAGAAGTGTGATTTAGCCGAAATCACTAGACATATACGGAACAGTCATTCATATAGTCTTAGAGATAATCAATTGGAGACTTTGGTTAAAATAGTGAAAATTAATAAACTCGAAGAATTTATTCACTATTGTTGTGCTCAACGCAAAAGCAATTCACAGTCCATCGCACCTCCAGATGTTCCGACGCCAACCAGAACTTCCAAACGAGTCTTAAGTCAATCACAGAGAACTCCGACCGAACAACATGTTAAATGTCTTATCAAAAGATCGAGAATTGAAACAAAAATTATACCAATTGTTTGCGACAATGATTGTAATAGTAATCTAAATGAACCAATGATTAAGATTAGCGGATCAGATGTCATAACTAAAAGATCTAAATCAACAGATAATACTTCAAGCGGTTCTCTAAGATTTAATCCGCAAAAGATTAAGACTGATTCTCAAAAGAAAATTGTAATGAAAATTAACAGACATTCACTGATCAAATCAGATAAAGTGGAGATCAAATTCAAACCAATTGTAAAGACTTATTCAAATTTATCCACAAATATGTCTATAAAAACCAAACAAAATCTCATTTCTGGAGATCAAATAATTATTAAGAAATCGGCCGAAGTGTGTAATAAAAGGAGTCAAAGTACTGGCGCTATAATAAAGACCAAACCAGTTGTCTATACGAATACAAACTTTAATTTGAGTCAACAGTTTTCAGATTTAATGGACACTGAAGATTGCAATCAGTTTCAACAGATTGACATAAATGAACACAACTTCAACAGTGAGTCCAATACCGGCTATTTCTGTATTTTTTGTACCGAAAACTTTACGGTAAAAGAGATTGCATATCAACACATCCAGAAACATATTGACTATTATCCCATTGTATGTCTACTATGTGGTGAAGGTATCACTGATATACAAGAATTTATTAAACATCACCGGCAAACACATCCTAAAGCTGTCAAAGGAAAATATAAGAAAAAAGAACAGCCATTATATGACAAATGGATTTCTGCATATCTTTACTCACAGACAACAATGATTCGGTCATTTCCGCCACGAGAGACCTGTCCGGTATGTGATCGGGTGTTCGCCAAACAAGATATCATGAAGAATAAACCCAGAAGATGTACTATCAATAGAAAGATTGATCACCTCTACAGGTATTATTTATTTGCATTTTTTTAAATTATTATTATTATTGATATTAATATTATTATAATATTTGAACAGACATTTAAGTTATTTGCCGTATGAATGTGTTTTGTGCAAACAGGCGGGTAATGAGTTTTACGTGGCTTACTTTGAAAGCAAAGCGCACAGTCATATCAAATTAAAACACCCGGAAATAGATGACAACGAAGCCCGATGGGATGTCTTTCAGAAAACTATATCGATTCCCAAATTGGATGAATTTATAGAAAACTATTTGACACAATTTGGAATTTCAATGCAAATGGAGAGACGACCAGTCAAGAAGTCATTAAAATATGGTTCCCCTAATGACACCACTAATGAAATGGATGACAAAAAAACAGTCGATTCACTTGAAATTGCAAATACTTCCCTTAATTTAAATTTAAATATGATTTTCTCCAATAATATTGATTCTTTGGATTCACCGCACATCTCTCCGCGATCTAATAATAATAATATCATCACTTATACCAAAGTTGTTAACAAAGATGAAGTTAAACCAGAGGTCGACATATTTTTACTGAATAATAATAACGACAAAAAATCAGTTCTTAATGAGAGTAACAATAATTCCAATGATAGTGATATGATAGTCAATGTCTCGCCTTTACCATTGATAGAGAGGAATGCCGGCAATGTATGCGATGATGAACTTTATTTCTGTATATTTTGTCCTGAAGTCAAATACTTCACTAAAATAGAGGCCTATTCTCATTACGGCTCACACATTGACTATTTGCCGGTTATGTGTAATATATGCGATACAAACTTCTCAGATGTCGATCATCTTATGTCACATCATAAGTCTGAACACTCGACACGAGCTGATGTCGATTATGAGATATGTGAAGATCAGACACTTGTTAAATGGGTCAATGAGTTTCTTGACTCTCAAATTTTATTTAAAAAAGTGATGACCTGTTCCTGTAGTTATAATTGTCCCGTTTGTATCAAGTTGTTGGGCAATCAGATATCTGATAGTGTAATGCCTTGTTTTCGACACAATGACGTTCAATTCAGTGGTCACATCCATAAGCATTTAAATTACTTTCCTTATGAATGTATTATTTGCAAAAGAAATGGCCGTATAGTTCGAGTGCCAAACTTGGATTCAATAGCAATAAATCACATGAAAGAGCATAAGTTGGACGGATCGTCCATGTCTTTGGTCATCAAAAACTTTCCCAAGACTTTGGTTATTCCACGACTCGAGAGACTGATTGGTGACTGTGTTTACCGAAAACGTGTTTCGGAAAAGAAGAATCGCATTGAGTTTAATCCATTGCATCACAATATCTCTAACGATAATAGTATTTCAATTACTCCATTGAATTGTGAAGTATCGCCACCTTATACTGTATGTTACAAAAGTTTTTTTTAACAAAATTAAAAACCAAAATTTGATTCATTTATGTTATTATTTAAGAGGAAACAACACATACGTCTTGAAGGCGGACGAGTTGTCAATTTACCGCCGAAGTCTATCTTAGAGATCACCGAAATGATTCCCGGTTCAAACGGTTTATCAACTATGGCTCAATATCGATGTCTTCATTGTTCCAATCGTTTTGCAAATAAGAGATTATTTAAAATACATCACAACCAAACTCATGAGGGAAAGCCTATTCTCTGCTCAAAGAGTGCTTAATTGCATATATTTTTATTTTAGTCTCATTTTTATTTGTTTACATTTATTTCATTTAAATTTATACATATATATACTGTATATGAATATATTATATATATATATTAATATTACTAAAATTATTAAGTATTTTGACAATGATATAAAATTTATTAAAATAAAAATATATTATAGTTTATGCTTTACAATAATTGCTTTATTGCAATAATACTAATTTATTTGTTAATATTTTAATTTATCTAATTTTTCAGATTTTCTAAATAAATATTGACGAGTTTATATGTTATAAATTATATTATAATAATTAATTTACAGTACAATAATTATTGTATTGTAAAATTATTTTTAAAAGAGAAATTAATAAACTATTATACAATTTTAATGTTGAATTACGGTTAAGACTTCATATTTAGCGTATATATATACATATATGTACTGTATTTTAATATTAATAATATCATTACATCCAATTGATGTAAAGTTTTATTTATTTAATTATATTCTACAATAATAGTGTGAACTTTTGTAATAATACTTTACTTAATAGAAATACTTAATTATAAATTTTAATTTTTTGTTAATTTTTAATAAACGAATTAATTGTTATATTTATAATAATTTATTTGATTTCAATTTAAACTAGAAATAGTGTTTAAAAACAATATTAATTTTCTACAATAATATTTACAATAATATTAACAAACAAATACATTTATTTCTAATATCTAATCAAATTAAAAGCAATTACAGTAAATTAAACATGAATGAAACTTTAATGTTATTAACTTAAATGGTAATCAAAACTGATTTAAATTTTTAATATAATAAGCTTATTGTTTGAAAGTTATCATTTATTGCAATAGCATGTGAGACAAACAAAATGGACATAAACTGTATTTACGTAAATTTAAGTAATTTTAAGAAATTTATCGGCTATTCATAAAATTTATCACAGATTTACTGACGTTTATTGAAAAAAATGTAATCAAATATAACATGTTTTTGTAAATTATTGCAACTTTTAGTGAAAAGTCACTAATTTTATAAACAAAAAATACTAATGCTATATTAACACTATTATATTATTTTTAGTTATTATATTATCAAAAAAATAATAAACAAGTTAGATTTCTTGTTAATTTTGATAAATTGTTATTATATAAAATTATATATTTATTAATTTATTAATAAGTATATAAATAGTAGTTTCAGATCAGCAATTATTCATTAAGTTTACTTACTTTACTAAAAAGATTTTTAAAAAAGTTTAACAAATTATTCTAAATATAATTTATTAATAATAAACGAAATAATTTTATTAATATTATTCATTTTGAAAATGAAAGTCTACTGTTTGGCGATATTGTTGTCTGTCTTAATGATGTTTAGCATCAGTGGTGTTCAAATGCAATATTATAACGATTACTTGGGATCAGTTGGTTCTCGAGTAGTGAATTACAGACAGCCGTGGCAGACACAGGATCGCGACCGACCATCATATGGCTATCCCTCACAACACGGACGACCAGTCAATCAGGGAAGACCTTATTACACCGGAAGAGACAGATATAGAGATACCCGATATGGTTATCCTTAAAATAAATTAAAGAAAAACAATTGTAAGTCAATCAATCATATATTAAATATTTGATTTAATGATTTGATGTTTTTCACACAAATAGGATGTTTTATCTTTAATTCCTATATTTTCGAAGAATAAAATATTTTAAATAATGAAAAAGACTTATTATTGTAATTAATTTTTACCGCTTCATTGATTTTATTTAATTTTACTTTCAATGCTCTTTATTACAGAGTCTGTAATATCAATATAATACAAGATTGTATTATATTTACAAAATATGTACTATTGTTAATAAATAAAAAATAATCTTTTATACAATACATGATAAATTATTATTTATTGAAATAAATATTTTTACTAATAAGCGTTAATTAATACTATTATGAAGTTTATGTCAAAATCACTTAGATTTATGATAACCTTTAATAGAAAAATTTTAGGAAATTCCCACTTTTATTGTTGATCTAATATTGAATTGTTAATTTTAATTTAAAAAGTTTTAAATATTATATAAAATATCTGTCAATACAATATAGATTTTTGTGTTTTAAATGAGTATAAAAATCTTTTTGTTTGTTGAATTTATTTTAGTTTTAAAAAATAGCATTTTAGTTATCATTAATTAAAAGATTGTTATAATGAAAATACAAGTGTGTATTTATATATTTATGGTATATTTAGTGGTATCAATGGTGAAAAAAATAGATTCCCAATATTATAACGCATACTATGGTCGTCCATATCCCGTTCCCCGTCCACTAAGCATTTATGACTACAATTATGGCTATAACTATGGGTTACGTCCGTATCGTATTGTTAGACGCTATCGTTACTATAGAAGACCATTATGTTTGGGTCTATGTTTGCGCTAAAAGTTTTGATTATTTCCTTAATTATTGTAAACTTCATTATATAACATCAAAGAAATTAAATTCGTGTTATAAATATTTTTGTACTACTATTTAAAACAATTTTTTTTATTGTTTTAAATTAAATTTTTACTAATTATACATGTTAAATGTATTTCATACATGTTCATATTTTTTAAGAATATAATGAAAATAAATATTATAAGTTATTTAAATAATAAATGTTAAATATTGTTGTTTTTAATATGTTATAAATAATATTTTATTTCATATTTTAATAAACTTCAATTAAATCTTGAAATTAATAAAAATAATTAATTTAGTTATAAAAAATTATATAGAATTTTTATCAAAACTACTAATAATTATTAGTAAAATTTTAATATTTGTTTTTATTTAATAATATATATTTGTTTACTCAAATAATACTGTATATTTAATTGATTTATTGTAATTACCTAATCAACACACAAAGTTAATTAAAATAAAAACAATATATTTAGTAAATTTCTATTTACTTTTGTCATTTCTATTTTTTTTTTGTCACTAATGTTTAATAGCAATTTGATAATTTTTCATTAATTTAACATGATGAGATCTTCTTAAAAATATGATTAATATAACAAGATATCATAAATATAATGACCAGATTTATTAACCAGATTGATGACCAATTAATAAAAAAAAATCTAATTTGAAATTTTAATAATTATAAATAAAATCTGATAATAATTATATGTTAAATATGGTATTTGTTTAATTAGAAAATTATAACTGACATCAAATAGTTATTTATGAAATACATAGTTATGCAGGGTTAAGCAAGGTTTTGGATTTTTTTTGGGGGGGGGGGGGGTTAGGCTGGGGTGAAATTTACAAAATTCTCGAAAAATCTTGGGTGGTCTAGAGTGGGGTTAGATTTTATTGCATTTTTAAACGGCAATTTTTTCAAAAATCCAAAATCAAGGGGGTCAAGAAAAAATTCCCGAATATTCCCATGTAAATTCTATAAAGTTCTCATAAGTTCCCCTATAAATTCCCAGGAAAATATGTAAATTTTCCCAAAATATAAAAAAAAAATTAAAAATTCTTTAAAAATTAATAAAAAATTAAATTTTAACAAAAAATAAAATAATGTATTTAAAATTTAAAAATAGTTGATAAAAGCATTAATGAGACACTATGAGTTATTTGGTCAAAACGTCTGGGGGTAAAATCATAAAATCTCAATCTTAGGGGTATTTTGGCCTTACCCCCTACCCCCTTACTTAACCCTGGATATATGAACAGCATTTTAATATTAAAGTAAATTTAATTTAGTAATAATGTAGTTGTAGTAAAATAAAATGAAGTTTGTTTTTAATTAAATGAATACTATATTTGATTAACTAATTGTGTAAAAGAAATGAAGTCTTCAATTGTGTTACTGATATTGGTATCCATTTTATATCTTACGAAAGTATGTCAAAGTGATGACGACGAGGGATTGGCAGCTACTGCTCCAACAAATGCCGAAGACACTACCACTGCTAAACCCACCAGTGAAGCGATCACTGCGGAAGACACTACATCTGAAACTACTGCTAAGCCGCCGGTAACCACTGCCGAAGCGGCAACAGAAGCAACAACACTGGATCCGACAAAAAAGTTATCTTTTAAAGATAAATACAAAAAGTTTAAAAATAAAGCAAAAATTTATATCCACGACACGACAAAGAGTATTGAAAATTTAATCAATTTATTTGATTAAACCATATCTTCATAAATATTTCATTTCTTTCTTTAACTTAGAACTCAAGGATATTCTTCACTTTGATTTAACTAAACTCGATATCAGAAACTTGACTCAATTCATACCATTTTATGAAGAATATAAAGTTTGTATTATTATTATTATTAATTAATTAATTAAAAAGTTATAGAATATGAATAACTGTTAATTGTTTTTCAAGAATATCTTTAACAAAAAATATGCGAACGAACAGGAAAAAGAAGAAAGAAGTAGTTTATTCAAGAGAACCATTGAAAGGATTAGACAACACAATGCAAACATGAAATCTAAATATATTAAGGGTTTGAATGAACTGTCAGATATGGTTTGTTAAGACTATTAAAAAAATATATTTTTAAACAAAAACTATTATTTGATAATTTTTCTTTCATAAGAGTTTCGCTGAAATTTTGAAACTAAAATTAGGTTTCAAACAAGACGGCGGAGATGTTATGGTCAAAGGTTTATATTTGTTCTTATTTTTGGTACAATTATTATATATTTTTTATTGTCTTTTGTATGAAAAATAGCTTCAGCGCCGGTACCGTCTGTCGCTGATCTACCAAAAGAATGGGATTGGAGAAAGTATGGTATATTAACAACACCAAGAAATCAAGTATTTATTTATATCGATTTTGACCAAACATTTCCTAATAATTTATTAATTTAAATATATTTATTAAATTGTATTTTAGGATAAGTGTGGTTCGTGTTGGAGCTTTGCGGCGGCCGCTGTCCTCGAGAGTAAACAAACCATTTATGTAATAATTTTCAATATTATTATTAATTACTATCCATTAGGTCATAACATGAAGCGTCAGATTGCTGAGGGAAAGTTTGATCCAATGAAGCCATTGACAGTCAGTGAACAGAATCTGATTGATTGTTCCGCTGATTTCGGAACTAATGGTTGCGAAGGAGGTCTGCCATTGATTGTAAATCTAATTATTATTAAATAATTAACTTATAATATGTATATAACTATTTTAGGTATGCCTCAACAGGGCTTTAAATATGTGGCCGCAAATCAAGGAATTAATAGCATCACTGAATATCCGTACACCGGAATAGTAATTTACATAATAAATAATTTAATTAATAGTAAATCAAAATTTAGTTCAAATAAATTAATAGAAAACCAAGTGTACGTATAATCCAAAAAAGAAAGTCGACGTCGAAGTAAAAGAAGGAAAACGTTTGAAGTCGGGTCAGGACAACGATTTGGTCACTGCTATCTACAACTACGGACCCGTCACTATTGCCTTACATCTGACCAAAGATATGGCTTCTTATAAGTATTATTTTTAGCTTAAAATTCTTGATCGCAATTATTTACATAAAAACTTATTTATCACTTTGAAAAAGATCCGGTATTTTTGATGATCCAAAATGTAACCCCAAAAAAGTTAATCACGCGGTCGTTGCTGTCGGTTATACTCCAGATTATTTCATCCTCAGAAACAGGTATAACATAAAGATAATTAATTAAAAAAAAATAATAATTATACAATTATTTTGTGATAGTTGGGGACCAAAATGGGGAGATGAGGGTTACATAAAAGTGGCCCGGTCTAAATTAAATAACTGTGGTATTTCTCAGCAATGCTATTATCCAGTTTTAACAAATGCTGTCGAAACCCAACACATGAGAGACAAACTACAAGAAAAACCATAACTATAGCAAAAAAAATGTAATTTAAATTTATTTCTAAATTGAATTCTTAAGTTATTTTTCATTTAAAAATTATTTTTAAAGTCATAACAATAAAATACACTTATAATATGGATATTCATTTATGCAAATATCTGTATATCTAGAAATAGTAATCTAGATTTAAATATTTAAAAATTGTATCAAAATAAATACTACAGTAAATTAATAAATATTAATAAATATTATTTATTATCGAGTGTTTTATCTCTGGTCACAACCGAGTCATCAAATTTAATCATAAAAGTGGTTCCTTTGTGCCAATGAACCGTCACTTTTGCTTTCTGTCATCAAATCAATTAGTGATAAATAAAAATCAATTCTCGTAAGTAAAATGTGGTGACAAATGACTTACAAAATTGCTTTCATTGAGTACGGCCTCAATAATTCCGGCCACAAAAGCGGCACAATTTAGTGCTCCCTTATCTTTGGGAACAGATATGTATTTATTAATCAATGGTTCGCTTTCTATTATGTAATCTATTATAAAACAAGTAATTAATGGATTAATCAATTTTTGAAGATAACGTTGTCATCAGTGGTGACCTTACAAGTGGTTTCGTCGTCATTTGCCTGTTCCAGTTTATCCGCTTCTTTGCCAAATAAATTGATCCACACTTTAGTCCTCAACAGTACTAACATATTAATAATTCGTGTCTCTCTCTTGAAGTTTTTATCTCTGATGGCCATCGCGTCCATTACTCTTTGGCCGACTCTATAACCCATTTCGGCTAATCTGTCAAAAAAATAATCATATAATTAGTAATTGATATGAGAAGACAATTGATATGACAAACTTGGTCTGCAGTTCGGGAACAGTATAGACCCGATTGTGACAGTACTGAACCATTTCGCTGATGAGCAACGCGTAAGCGCTAAGACTTATCTGTTAATAAAATTAGACAATCATTAGGACAATCGTCAAGACATGAGTCATATTAATCATTAAATTAATGGCAAACTATACCTCATTCCTAATCTTAGGCAATGATTTATCCAAACAACTGATCCGTGTCTTTGATGTAAATTTTACCACTGAATCCATAGTAAATGAAATACTAATTTAATTAATTTAATTTAATTGTCAATCACTTGATGTCAAACACAACCCAACAGTTGAATGATTGTAAACAAAGCGTTATTTATGTTGTCTTTGATTGTATTATTGACTCCAATGTTATGACAAATACATGTATTAGTGAAGTATTGCCACAAATGCCAAAACATTTGTCAAATAATTAAACATTACTTTCAAACACTCATAGCGTTTATACTGACGGCTAAATCGCTGTTGAAATCGACCGCAAATTTATTGTAAGTTTTCTAACTTTTTATTATTTTCTTTATTATTAATCAAATTAATAAAAGTCTTAATAAAAGTGTTAATAAAAGTGATTGATATACAGATATATTAAATTTCAATTTATAAATCCATATATCATTCAATTATCGTATAACAACTATTAAGTTATTAGTTATGTGATATTTAAATGAAATATAATTTAATTAATTAAATTTGTCGTATATTTTTATTATCAATATTACTATGATAAGTAATGCTTTTAAAGAATGAATTTATTTTAATATAAAGAATAGAAAATACTAATAACAACCAAAATGGACATCAATAATGTCAATAAATATAGTGATTATAAATTTATAACATTATACCGTAAAACTCTAAATAAAAAACTATACTATTAGTACATATATATATATCAATATTCAATATATATTAATATTTAAATAATCAGTGTTCCCATACAAATGTATTTTAAATAAGTACCGTTTTCCCATAAAATATTTTTTAAAATTAGTACCGTCTTCCCATAAAAATAGTTTTTTTCAAAAATAAGTACCGTCTTCCCAGCAAATAGTTTTTTATATAAGTACCGTCTTCCCATAAAATATTTTTTAAAATTAGTACCGTCTTCCCAGCAAATAGTTTTTTATATAAGTACCGTCTTCCCATAAAATATTTTTTAAAATTAGTACCGTCTTCCCATAAAAATAGTTTTTTTCAAAAATAAGTACCGTCTTCCCAGCAAATAGTTTTTTATATAAGTACCGTCTTCCCATAAAATATTTTTTAAAATTAGTACCGTCTTCCCAGCAAATAGTTTTTTATATAAGTACCGTCTTCCCATAAAATATTTTTTAAAATTAGTACCGTCTTCCCATAAAAATAGTTTTTTTCAAAAATAAGTACCGTCTTCCCAGCAAATAGTTTTTTATATAAGTACCGTCTTCCCATAAAATATTTTTTAAAATTAGTACCGTCTTCCCATAAAAATAGTTTTTTTCAAAAATAAGTACCGTCTTCCCAGCAAATAGTTTTTTATATAAGTACCGTCTTCCCATAAAATATTTTTTAAAATTAGTACCGTCTTCCCAGCAAATAGTTTTTTATATAAGTACCGTCTTCCCATAAAATATTTTTTAAAATTAGTACCGTCTTCCCAGCAAATAGTTTTTTATATAAGTACCGTCTTCCCATAAAATATTTTTTAAAATTAGTACCGTCTTCCCATAAAAATAGTTTTTTTTCAAAAATAAGTACCGTTTCCCAGCAAATAGTTTTTTATATAAGTACCGTGTTACATTATTAATTATATTATACCTTGTACCTAAAATTATCTTAATTATAATATGAGAATAAAAAAAATATATGGGAACACGGTAATAAAAAACAATATTTCTATGGGAACATGGTATTTCGATATAAAAGTCGGTATTAGTATTGGTAAGTCGGTATTATTTTTGGTAAGTCGGTATTATTTTTGGTTAGGCGGTATTATTTTTGGTAAGTCGGTATTATTTTTGGTTAGGCGGTATTATTTTTGGTAAGTCGGTATTATTTTTGGTTAGGCGGTATTATTTTTGGTAAGTCGGTATTATTTTTGGTTAGGCGGTATTATTTTTGGTAAGTCGGTATTATTTTTGGTAAGACGGTATTATTTTTGGTTAGGCGGTATTATTTTTGGTAAGTCGGTATTATTTTTGGTAAGTCGGTATTATTTTTGGTAAGTCGGTATTATTTTTGGTAAGTCGGTATTATTTTTGGTAAGTCGGTATTATTTTTGGTAAGTCGGTATTATTTTTGGTAAGTCGGTATTATTTTTGGTTAGGCGGTATTATTTTTGGTAAGTCGGTATTATTTTTGGTTAGGCGGTATTATTTTTGGTAAGTCGGTATTATTTTTGGTAAGTCGGTATTATTTTTGGTAAGTCGGTATTATTTTTGGTAAGTCGGTATTATTTTTGGTAAGTCGGTATTATTTTTGGTAAGTCGGTATTATTTTTGGTAAGTCGGTATTATTTTTGGTAAGTCGGTATTATTTTTGGTAAGTCGGTATTATTTTTGGTAAGTCGGTATTATTTTTGGTAAGTCGGTATTATTATATTGTAAAGTGTTATTGATATATAAATGGTCATTAATGTAATGTATTAAGGTATTTAACAATTTGAAAATAATTTATTATTTTTTGTCATAATTTATGGCTAATAACTTGTCATTCAATCGTTTTGTTATCCATTCCTTAATTAAATTTTAGTAATCAAATGACTAAATAATTAAAAAGTAAATCAAAACCATAATAATAGTCATTGTTTTTTCAATTAATCTATTTATTGATATATACTATATATTAAAAAAATTAAAAATTAATTAATTATTTGTTAATTTAATTGTAATTATTTTTTAAAATTACTATTGTTTACGTTCTTAATATTGTTAAACAGAGGTAGTCTTAATTGTGACACAATTGTGTTATTGTGATAATAATTGGCATTAAATTGATGATTACATTTGAGAGACCATATAAATAGCTCTCTAATGACATATTAATCACAAAAATTGATTATCAAATTAACAAATAATTAATTGTTTTATAAATCCATTCCTTATTAACATAATTCCTTAAAAGCATTGACTTTCATATAATATATAAATTGACATAATTTATTATATTATAAAATATATAAATTTTATCCGATTAGCAAAAATCAATATCATTTACTAAAATTACAATTTTAACTTTTTCTCATATAAAAACATAAATATAAAACTTTAATTAAATACATTAATCATTATATAATAAAATTAATTTGGTTTTATTTACCGTAAATATTAAAATAAATATTTGTATCCATCAAACTATTTATACAAAAATACGTATTTTTGATATTAAATTACAAGTAAATTATTTAATTTTAAAATGTATGTCATGTAATATCAATGATTAGACAAATAATTATATTATTTTAATTAATAAATAATTATGTGATTTCTAGTTAGAAAAACATATTTTTATTACACAATTAAATGGAATTAAATTTCAAAATGATATTAATTTTTATATATTTAATAAATAAATAAAAAATTAAATATTCAAGGATTTTTGTCAAATGCTTAAACTGTTATTTGTATTAAACAAAAAATAATATTTTTCATATAATAATCTATATAAATATTTTTTATTTATTAATTTATTTAAATAAATGATAATTGTGTCAGTTGTTTATTATTTAAAGTTTAAAATACAAATTTATTTTTAGTTAATAGTTTCCTTAAAAAATGGTTTGAATTTTGTTTTTCAATTATTTTCAGTTAAATTATTCATATCTGCAAACATCGATATCTTCTCTAATATTTTTAAACATATATTTTTGTACACAATTTCACTAATAATTAGAAAATATGTTAAACACCAGAAAACCGGTGTTTATAGCGGTGTTTATACTGTATTAAGCAATGTCTGAGACATATCATAAGGTTGTCATAATACCGGTTCATTATCTATAATACCGTATATATTATCTGTATATTAACATTAGTGTATTGAAAATGTGTATTTAATTTAAGTATGAGTTGTACTATAATATTGATCCTTAATTTTCAAATTTAGTTTCTTAGGCTAATATCGGTTTAAATCAAGTGATTGTTATTCAATATATACAGTACTTTAAAGTTCATATTTAAGTGATTTTAAAAAATTTGTTTTTATATATTTAAATGTAAGCTAATTAAAATAATATTATTTAAATTTTAAAACTTGCGAATAATAATTATATATTTTGGTTAAACCAATAATAAATAAACAAAATTTGTTTGTCTAACTTTAGTAGTGATGCAAAATTCAGCTGAATTTATTTTTAATTTGAATATTCAATTGAAAATTCAGATAATTTATTGAATTTATAAAACAGTAATAAAATTATATTATCTAATTTAATTTTAATTAATTTAATAAAATCTTCAAATAATCTGCGATTATCAATAAAAACATTAAAGTGAACAATAAAATGATTAAAATAAAAATTATTTGTTAAATACTTAAACTTTAATTTTGTATTTATTTTAACAAGTTTATTAAATAATCTCAGTTTTTATTGTTTTATTTTATTGTATCAAAGATTATTTGAAGATATTTTATTAAATTAAAATTTATTTTCAAAAATCGTAAATTAATACATGTTTTTATCAAATTTAAAGTTTGATATCAGAGGACTATAGAAGCGACTGAATTAATCCACTGAAAGTACTCTTGAATATTGAAAACTGAATTTTCAAAATTTTTAATCACTTAATACATCCTTAATTTTAGTGACAACTTTGGAAATTTTCCACTTATTTGTTACATTTAATATTTATTATTAGTAATAATATATATGTATTACTTTACCTGACAATAATTGTCTGATTTCACTTAAAAGTACTTGAATTGTAATACATTATTAAACTTTGGAGTTTAGTTGAGTACAAAATTACAACAAAAAATATGTCAATCAAATGACAATTATTTATTAATATATAGATTATTAAATTGATTAAACAATTTATTTCTTTTACTATCCGAGGTATAAAGTTTAGTTTTTATGACATATATATAAAGAGTTAATGGTTTAACTTATATTTTCAGTTGAAAATTATAAAAATAAATAATATATAAATACTATATTTTATATTATAATTTTTTCAATGTTTTTGTATCATAGATATTGAGACAAATTGTTATTAGTTTTTGTATCGAATCGTAAAAAAATTGAAGAGATGTCGGATAAAATTAGTTGCGGACCTATAGTTGAGATGCAAGGCGACGAAATGACACGAATCATATGGGATCTAATCAAAGATAAACTTATCTTTCCCTTTGTCAGCGCTGAACTACATTTCTTTGATTTGGGTATTGAAAACAGAGACGCAACCAATGATGAGGTGACTGTCGAGTGCGCCAATGCTATACTCAAATACAATGTCGGTGTTAAGTGTGCGACCATTACTCCCGATGAGAAACGGGTCGAAGAATTTGGACTCAAACAGGTTTGCAATAAATATATATTCTGTTTCGATATATTGTAAACATATGTTGTCTTTATATGAATTATTTATCATAAGATGTGGAAATCTCCGAACGGAACTATTCGTAATATATTAGGCGGAACCGTATTCCGTGAGCCAATTATATGCAAAAATATTCCTAAATTAGTTCCCGGGTGGAAGAAACCCATTATCATTGGTAGACATGCATTTGGTGATCAATACAAAGCTACCGATTTTGTAGTTCCAGGAAATGGAAAACTAGAGATAAAGTGGACGCCTGAGACCGGCGGACAACCCATCAGTTATACTGTTTTTGATTTTAAAGACGGCGGAGGAGTATCACTATCAATGTATAACACGGATTCAAGTATTAAAGCATTTGCCGAATCGTCACTTCAGTACGCATTGGATCGAAAATATCCACTATATATGAGTACTAAGAATACGATTCTTAAGAAATATGACGGAAGGTTTAAAGATATTTTTCAAGAGATTTATGACAAACAATATAAGTCTCGCTATGAAGAGGTCGGCATTTGGTATGAACACCGACTCATCGATGATATGGTGGCGCAGGCACTCAAATCTGATGGAGGCTTTGTCTGGGCCTGCAAGAACTATGATGGTGATGTCCAATCAGATTCTGTGGCTCAAGGATATGGCTCACTCGGTATGATGACCTCTGTACTTATCTGTCCCGACGGCAAGACTATTGAGGCCGAAGCAGCGCACGGAACTGTTACTCGACACTACCGAATGCATCAACAAAACAAAGAGACGTCCACTAATCCAATCGCTTCGATCTTTGCGTGGACTCAAGGTTTTCTTCACAGAGCAAAGCTCGACAATAACCAGCCATTGGCTAACTTCGCACAGACTCTAGAAAAAGTGTGCGTCGATACCATTGAGTCTGGTTTTATGACCAAAGATCTGGCCATTTGTATCAAAGGCATGGATAACATAACGAAAAATGATTATTTAAATACATTTGAATTCTTCGACAAACTCGCAGAGAATCTGAGAGCAGAACTAAAAAAGTAATTGACTTTTAAGGTTTGAAAAGTCATCTATAAATGTAAACTCAATCTTTACATTTGAAATTTTTATTGATTTTACACTTATATAATAATCTCAATTATGTTGCAAATGATTTATTGCAATATTTAAACAGTATTTCAAAGTTTATATAAAAATATCGTTTTTAATAAAATAAGATTTTTAAGTAAATGAATTAGTCATACATTGATTTGAGCCGAGACTACGATTTTGGTATTTCCACTTAACTTAACCCTATCTTCTGCTAAACGACAATAAATAATACCTCCTCTGCGAGAGCATTGATGTCCAATGAGTTGATCCAACTCAGTACCGACTTTATTATATTGTCGTAACCAATAGGGAGTAAGTACTGTGTGCGCCGATCCCGTGACCGGATCTTCATTGATGCCATTCCACGGAGAAAAATATCTCGACAAGAAATGAACTCTTTCAGACTTTTTGGTGACAATAATACCTCTAACCATACCGTTTGTATCAATATTTAAGAGTTCTGCAAAATTCGGAACTACTTTATGGATAATTTCCGATTGCAAGCTATCCTTTAATCTTAACAATATTTTTTTAGTACCACTTGAGTATTCAACTTCTTCTACACTTTTATCACTCAAATGTGGTCCTAATGTATATCTTATAATATCAGGAATCCATTGATAACCAGTTAATGGTTTGCTATCATTAACTGGAAAATTCAGAGTTATTAATCCATTGCCAGAATAGATGGCATTAAGGTATCCTTTGAACTTAGTTTCAAATTTAATGATATTTTCATTTGAATTTTTTAGTATTTCATTAAATATAACACAAGCGGTAGCCAGAGTCGCGTGACCACAAAGATCGACCTCATTAGTGGGTGTAAACCATCTCAATGTATAGTTATTTGGCGAAACATTTAGTGATTTTGTCCAACTCTTGGCCACAAATGCTGTCTCACTTAAGTTCATTTCGGACGCTATTTTCTGTTTGATATCATCTGTGATGTCGTCCTAAAAAAATATTAAAATTAATTTATTTACCTCTAATTTAATGTATTCCGTAATCATAAATATATTATATATACTGTACATCAAAGTCCAATAGGCATACGGCCGCCGGATTACCGGTGAAGGACTGGTTGTCAACAACAAAGGCATCGACAATATATAAGTGATAAATCATTTTCGGTAATTATAACAACAGATTTGTATGTTTTGATAGAAATATTTGTCAAATTTGTTTGTTTTAGTGGTTTTAATATACAAATTTGATAACAAATGGTAATCAAAAATAAAAAGCACATAACAGTCAATAATCTGTGTAATTAATAAAATTATTTTCAAGGCTTTTAAAAATTGATAAAACATTTTCATTAAAAATAGTTTATATCACTAAAATAAATTATTATTAATTAAGTGACCAAAAGTGGTTAAATTGTCTCCAATATTGCAAAACAAGCTTTGGATCAGTTGTGGCGATCATATCATTATAGCTAAAAAATATAGCATTTTGTGTCCAATTAAGCGATCCATTGATGAGAATATTGTTATCAATAATAGCAAATTTGTTATGCATCAGACCATCATTGGACACAATAATAGTCTTTAATTGAATCCCATTCTTAAACAATTGTCTTAATCGAGTAGTTGAGTGATCAACCTCTTCATTGGTCACCACATTTCGTTTGCCATTTAATATAATACGGATATCAATGTATTTATTAAGACTTAACTCTTCAATTGTTTGGATAATTGGTTCATACGATAGACAATACATACAGATATATAGCGATCGCTGACATGACTTTAATAATGATAATAATTGACATAACGATGACATCGGATGTTTTGCTATTACTTCATCTATGGATCAAATAAAAAGACATAACATTTAATGAAATTAATAATAATAATAATAATAATAATAATAATAATAATAATAATAATAATAATAATAATAATAATAATAATAATAATAATAATAATAATAATAATAATAATTACCACAATTTGTTTGATGAAAGTCATGACACTTGATCTGAGTATCGGGAAAGAAGAGCACCACTTGTAGTGATTGTGGTTCACGTTTGTCATCACTCGAGCTGATCCAGTCTTGCAAATAATGTCTGAATCGATACCATAAACACAACGACAGTATATATGCGGTGATCTTTGTGTACGAAGACATTGTCTGTCAAATTGATGTATCATTTGATTCATTGATTCATATTTTGTATGAAATGTTTGATTCATTTATCCATTTGTTTACAATTGAAGTGTTGATCGCAAACAATGTAACACTTGTTGTATAACTCAAACAATTCACATGACTTGAGATCAATTGAATAACAGTTTATATGATTTAAAATAATAATAAATAATTAAATAATATATTAATAAATATAAAATACTTGACACTAATTATAATAGAGTTGAACTACATTATGACTATTACTATATAATTATTAATTAATGTATTAATACTAATAATAAACAATTCTATTAAATAGTAAATTCTGTTTATTTGAAACTTTATTTAGAATTTAAAAAAGATTTAAAAAATTATTTTTATAATCCCTTTAACTGTTTTTTGTTTGTTTATTGAGATATTAATAACTAAATCAAACTTAAATAAGAAATATGTATTTTTGTAAAGTATTATATTTAATAGATATTGGGGAACAGCTTCGGTATATGTAAAGCATTGGTTGTTTTAGTTTTAAAAGATGTTAAAATCACTATTTAATAAGTTTTAGATAATATTGTTTAGTTTGTGTATAAATCACATTGAAATATGAAAACTTGAATTTTAAAAATTTTATCATAAATGTATTTTAATAAATTTATAAAATTCATGACAAATCACTTAACTTAACTTAAGTTTATTAATATAAATGTTCATTTAATCACATTTTAAAATATATAAAAACTTTATGAAATTATATGAAATAAACAATTAATTGCTTATAAATAAAATAAATGTTAAAATATCACGAGAAATACAAGTAATGTATAGTTATTTAAACAATCATAACTATAATTTGATTAAACATTTCACGCGATTAACAACAATATTGTGAATCTGTTTAATTGAATTCATTTCAAAAGTCATTTCAAATCATTTCAATCAACCGTTGAGTTAAACAACAAATTCTTGCTTTGATTTTATCGGCAAAATTCTCGACAATTCAGAAATGAATCCAAAAGAAAACGAAGTCAAGTCTGAAGAGACGAACACTCAAGAGGTGAAAGAAGAGATGGCCATTGATGTCGACCTCATGGCTGACGACGAGAACGACGAAGATTGGTCTCCGGCTTCAATGAAATCCGGCGGAAAGATTGCGGAGTCGAGACATCGTCGACGAAGATCTGGTTCGAGAAGTCGAAGAGGAGGTCGATCGCGATCTGGCGGTCGACGCCGTCGTCGGTCTGGAGGTCGAAGAAAGGGTGGACGCAGAAGAAGGAGAAGAAGTCAAAAATCAGGAGAAGAAGAGTAGAACAGATTTGAGTGTTTCTCAGACTTTGTATTTCAATATTTATATCAAAATTTCAAATTCAAATAAATTTCTGTAAACTCTTTGAATTACAATTACTGTATATTAATCTCAATTTTTCAAAATACATTATAAACTCTGTATGAAATAAATACAGATTTAATCCAATCTTTGATAATCTTCTACTTCAATATTGATGTGCTTTTTCTCTATCATCAGTTCATTCTTATGAAACCATTTTTCAGTTTCCAGTTTTCAGTCCAAAAATTATATTTTAGTATCAAATCATTTGAATTTCAATATTTATATCAAAATTTCAAATTCAAATAAATTTCTGTAAATAAATTTTCCAAAATCTGTTTTATTGTATATTTTATTGAAATTCTATTGAACTTAAAAAAGATTGGTTTAAATCTAGTTTATAGACAATCAGTAAAAACATTGTGAGGATTGATAGGGATATCAGTAAAATAGAAAGTAGTTGTTTGACAATAATTGTAATACAAATATAGTATGTTTTTACTGTATGTCTATAATCTAGATTTGTTTCTTTCAATTAATTGTCATTTTATTAATTGAAAAACATTATTCAAATGATGCCTTTTTTCTATTTTTTAATATTTGACTAACACTTTGATCAAATTTGGTCATAATTTCTCTTTTATTTTTTAATACTTTATTTGTATATTGATTTTATTTGTGTTTGACTTTTATTTCTTTTGATTAAATAATTTGTTATATTATTTTATTGTATCTAACAATTATATAATAATGTAACTGTTAATTAATTTAACTCATCAGACAAAATATAAATTTATATTGTTATTAATTTATTCAATTTGTAATATACTTTTCAGTTATAACTTATTTTTCATTTATAAATTTAGATTTTTTACAAACTATTGTATAATTTAATAAATATTGTGACCAAAGAGGTTATGTCTCAATCACAGTCTTTATCAGATAATGAAGTTAAAAAAGAGTCTAAAAATCAGATAAATAGTGTCATCGCTGATGACTCTGATTCAGTGACCGATGCCAAGAGTAAGGCGTTTACTGACAACGAAGCGGCCAAATGGGCACAACTCGACCCCGAAATATCATCAAAACCTAAACAACAATCAAATAATAATATCATTGGAACCGCTTTTGAAGAATTGCCTAAAGATATTAGTAGTTTCTTAAAATGGATTAATATTATCACAATTGTATTGTCTTTGATTTTGTTAACCATTTCATTAGTCCGAATGAAAGAATTGAAAGCATTTGAGCCATTCATTAGTGTGTCTTTGATTGTCAGTATTATAGGTCACTGTCTTTCGTGGTTCGGAACCTATCGTTCAATAATTCCTTGTCTATCGTTTGGTATATTTTTTCTTATAATTCAAATAATCGCTGGTCTGATAGTTATTGTAAGAAATTTGAAAACAGGTAAATAAATATTTGATTCATATTTTGACAATTTATTAATAATATCTTTTATAAAATTTATTAATAGATTTCAAAGAAAACTATTTCATAGGAGTATTGTTTCTCATTTTAATAATGTGTTTCTCAATTGCAACCATTGTTTTGATTAGTTTACATATTAGAAGAGTTCGCTCTTTAAGCAAATCCATGTCATCGAAAAATATCTAAATAATTCATTTTTTATTTATATTATTTAATTAAATTTTATTTCATTTATTAATTTTGTAAAATATTAAGTTATATAGAAATTCATTAAACTTATGAAATGTTTTCATAAATGTATTTCACTTTTACTATAATTGCTTATACTTTTATTTTATTTATTACTTTTAATAACTTTTATAGAAATTACATTTTGTTGATTACACTTTATGATAAAAGTGCTAATAAAATATTATATATTAACATTTTAATATATAATCAAAGTATTAAATTAATACTATTAATACTGTATATATGTTGCATATAAATTATACACAGTATATAAGTAGTGAATAATTTTTGCTTCAAATATCTGAATGTCATTAAATTAATGTTATTGTATTAAATGTATTTAAGAAGTAATTGAATTAATTGGAAAGTCAACCAAATATAAGTGTTATTAAATAAATTGAAATTATTGTTTTTAATGTTTACATTTATAAGTTATAATAAATTTTGTTTTATAGCTTAAATAAAAATTTAATGAATAATTTGACTAAAATACAGAACAAATTATTTGATAATTCAAATACATATAACATTTAAATTAAGTCATGTCTTGTGTTTTATTTTTTTCTGATTTCTAAATTTTTAAATAATTTACAGATAAGGTTATAATAAAAGTTATACATATATATGATATATAATTATTAATTAATGACAATAATTAATGATTAGCCTTTTATGCAATTACAATGAATTGTAGAATTAATTGCTTAATTATCTGTTAACTTTATAATTTTAAGTAATATTAATTTACAAATAAATTTAATATAATAAATAAAATCGATTAATAGCACAAAAAATACAATTTCCTAACATTTATTTCCTATCAAATTGTTTAACAGACAAATAAATGAATACAAATAAAAATAAATATAAGACAAGAAAGTCAATATTATAGTATTATTTTATATTATTTGTGACATTAAACGATAAAAAATAAAAATTAACTTTTTAAGTGGTGTTTAATAACAAGTAATAGTTAGTATTAATAATATACACAAATAATTATTATATTGCAGTAGTATTTCCATAGTTACTCGAGGAACGTCCTATTTTTGCTAAACATATTAACCTAACAATATCAGTATTAAACCAACTTTTTTTTGCATAAACCCAATGTTTGAATTGTCTTTAATGGTGTTGTCAGGATTTCACATCAAATTTTATACGCTTTTATATACAAAGTGTTATACTGTATATACTATATATAAATTAATATAATATAATATATAGTATATTGAGAGCTAATACCAAAATATTGATTAAAATTAATATATATAAATCAATCAATTAAAGCATTTAGTTTTTTCTATAATAAAATACTGTACATTGGATTTATTAGCAAATAAATAGTTAATTATTTATTTTGTAAATTGATTTTATAATTTTAATTATGAGTTAAGGAACGGAAGATTTATCACATATTCTTATATTATATTTCTTTGAGGTGTTGTCTAACGTATGACGAGATCAACGATATTCACATTCACTCGACTTCAAGACCACAGACAGTGCGGAGGAGTTTCTCTCATAAGTTGTTATATAATATAATAATAAACAGAATAATCATAAACTTTGTCTTCAAATTTTGATGGTTTACTCCCTTTTTAATATTTAATATAATTATAATAATAGTTAATAATAAAACTTATCTAACATTTTAAACGAGAATAAAACTAGTATTGGGTTTGGGTTTGGCTCTACTATTGCTCTCAAATAGCATTATATTCTGATATCATATAAGCAAACGTATTATATTTACATTCAATATTGTATCTCATCTTTAGCTGCATTGCGACAACTTTGACGACACTAAGACATACTAAGACATCGCTTGTTATGTAAGTTTCGACCAATTTTTATCATTTAAACAACTTTTAGTTTTAACAATCAATATAAACATTGTTTTGTATTACATTTAAAAAACAAGTGTCATGTTTTCAGTCAATAGTTTTATGTATTGTTGATTTATTCATTAAAAATATAAACAATTAGATAATTTATTGTACATTTTTATGTACTGTATTATATAATTATAGTAAAATCGATATTTTCTAATTATATTTTAATGTACTGTACAGTACTTAGAATTATTATTTATAAATATGACTTAAAAACAATAAATAATTAATTATTATGTTTTAAAGTTTATTTATTTAATAAGTTTTAATAAATAATAGTTATTAAAATATTATAAAACAGATATATAATATTTAATTACAAGTTATACTACAGTTTTAATTATTTATAAAATACTGTATAATAATACAGTATTATATTTTTTACCTTTTATTATCTGTAAAACAACTTTATATGTTTCAGTAATAATTATTGTATTATATTTTTTTATCAAAAAGTACTTTATAAATTATAATACTATTTAATTAAATTGTTTTATTTGAAAAATTTTGTACATAATAGAGATGAATAATTTTTTTGTGATATCAGTTATATCATTAGCCTATTTATAAGTCTACTTCATATTTGTTACACAAATCGATATTATCCACATCAATAACATATAAAACATCTATTTTAAAATATATATTAAATAATGAAATAAATTAATAATTTGTATTGTTTAAAACTTAATATTTTTAAGTACAAAATAAATAATTATCAATTTAACATAGTCAGAAATTATATAATTATAAATATTTAATTTAATATATTATATATCGTATACACTGTATACTATACAGTACTTACAGACAGTAAGTTATAGTATAAACTACAATATATACAGTAAAATTTAGATTTGACTTTAATTATTTCAATTTAAGTATCAACAAATACAACAAACAAAAAAAGCAATGGTTATGAATTAATAATTTTTCCTATTAATAAAATATTATTTTTATTGATCATTAATTTGAATTTTATTTTGATTATTATTTTTAATCAATTTTATTAGAAATATAAAGATAATAATTTAGGGAAAAATCATTATTTTCTTAGAATTTTTGCTAAAATTTTGACGAATTTTTCAAATGTTTTCAAAACAATATAATATTTACTTTATTATTGAATGTCGATTGTCTCCATTAAAGTCAGACACCTTTAAAAGTTATTCAAGTGTTAAGAATATGTCATTAAATGTTTTTGATTTCAATAATAATTAGACTTTTGTCTCTGTCTGTCTGTCTCTCTCTCTCTCTCTCTCTCTCTCTCTCTCTCTCTCTCTCTCTCTCTCTCTCTCTCCCTCTCCCTCTATCTCTCATTTGTTTTAACCTTTAAAAAACTTTAAAATGTACTGTACTTTATAATAAAAAGATATTATAATAAGCATTTGTTGCTTATTAAGCAAATGCATTATAATTCACGTTTTGTAGTCATTTATAATTATATTCAATAAATAAAACATTGTACATATGGTGTGCAAACTTATGTTTTATAATAGTGTATATTTGAAGAAATATAATCAGTTTAGTCGTATCCATGAAAGTGGCCTCTATTTACAGCACTATTATATTATACGTCAAACCGGTATTTACTACAAACTCTATAGAAAGGAGTTTTCCTTCAATGCCTTAATCTGTTTCTTCATTGTATTACTATTACTGTATTATTGAAGTTAACATATAATTCAATTTACTAAGTATTTCTATGTTTTACTCATTTTCCAAGTTTTTTATTGTTTAATAATATCCAGAATTTTTAAATTAAAAAAACTATTGATATCTAACTTAAAGGCCATTTAAATATTGTTGTTGTTGTTGTTGATAAAACAATATTTTATAAAACAAACTAAATTTACTAATATTTAATAAGTTTGTTTCAATTTCATACAATACATAGTTTAACGTTAAAGTAAAGTACTATTAAAGTTATGCCGAGACCAGTGACCGCACAGTCCCGTAATGAGATGCGAATGCAGGAAAAGGCCGGACGACAGGCAAACGTCACTAAAGATCCGATCGAGAAATTGAGACTCCGGTGCCTTCAAAGAGGTGCCACTGGTATACTAGGGCTCGGAAAGTAAGTCATTCATATTTTTTTAATTGTTATTATAATTAGTTAATTTTGACATATTTATGAGACATTATTTTTATTAGTTAACAAATTTGTTATTTATTAATATATATAATAATCAGATTATCTCATAGTTTTATCTCAAATAAGCCATGTGTTCATTCAAGAGTTGAATTTTAGTTTGAATTATTGCATGATTTTTAATCAAACAACATATTGCATCAAATATGAGTCAATTGTTAATGTAGTGCATAATCTGAGATAACCATATATGTAATTTTAGCACATTTTAATAAAAATATAATCATTTACCAAATTATTATTAAGTATTTTATGGATTAAATATTTAGTATGTCGACAAATATTACGATATTTGATTAAAAAATTAGCCCACTTAAATTTTACTAATAAAATATATTTTAAAAAATACAAATATTATTAAAATAATGTCTACACAATAATACCATTCAATTAAATTAAAAGTGAATTTGTGTACAGAATTGGATATTATTTGTTTAAAGCCTTTAAGCAATGTTTGTCCTTAACATAGATTATTATTTACAACAAAATCGTGTCTTACATCATATCTTAAGTATTTATAAATCAAATACAACTGTATTTAATAGTTAATTTATAATTTATTAAATTAGTTATACAAATAAACAATAGTCTGATTTTTATTATATTTTATGGATTATATTCTTTAATATTACAGTATACAGTATATCTAACAAATGTATTAGATACTGTAAGTACAGTACTTCATAAATGTATATATAATTAAAGCTATTAAAAAATATTAAAATAAAATATCATTATTATTACTGTAATTGATAAATAAATTATGATAAAAATTCTATGAATAAATGTTTAAATATAAAATCATTAATTCGTATAACATTAACAATTAGTTTGGTTATCATTTTCTAAGTGTCATCTTTTATTAAATTAATTTATTGATTAAACTTATATAATATACATTTTTCTAATATCTATTAGTTAATAGTTAATAAAAAATTTCATTGAAACAATTAGAACAAATTTTATTATTTGAATAGTATCTATCTATAAATTTATTTTTATTAATTTATTATTTTAATTCAAAATATTTATTAATTATTTGAAATATTGTAACTTTTAGTTAGCATTTTATTATGTTTGTTATTTTTTATATTTGTTATTTATCTACAATACTCTAATTATAAAATACTATATTAATCGTTAATTATTAAAAACATTTAAATGTATTATATTTTTTAAGGACTTTTCGGATAATGGATGACAACCAAAACGGTGATCTATCACTTGAAGAATTTACTAATGGTGTCAAAGATATTGGTTTGGATGTTAGCGACGATGAAATTGTTGATATGTTTAAACAGTTTGATAGGGATGGCAACGGAACCATTAAATATGATGAGTTCTTAAAAGCTGTTAGAGTAAGACATAATGTTTTGCTAATATTATAAATACATTTAAATTAATAATATTTACTTTCATATATAGCCACCAATGAATAAGACTCGACTTAATTTAATAGATATGGCATTCAAAAAGTTGGACAAAACAGGTGATGGAGTCGTAACGTTAGATGATTTGAAAGGTGTCTATAATAGCAGAAGTCATCCCGATTATCAAAACGGACAGCAAACAGAAAAAGAACTTCTGGAGGGATTCATCAAGAAGTTTGAAGAGGGAGGTTATATTGATGGACAGGTAGAGTCATTCATAATAAGTATACCAACTCTTGGATGATTAATGAATTTAAAACTACATTTAAAATATTTTTAGTTAACAAAAGAAGAATTCATAGACTACTACTCAGGAGTTAGCGCTTCAATAGATGAAGACATCTATTTTGATCTAATGATGAGACAGAGTTGGAAACTGTGATCTCATTTATTATAATACTGTACATCAATAATACCATTCATTTATTATATTGTCCATCAAATTAATAAATGTTTCAAAGTTTTCAAAAATTATATGTTAATTATGCTAATAGTTTATTGAATAAATATAATTAGCACTTATTTGTATATTAAATGTGTTGTCCAGTTTTAATGCATTTTAATTGCAATATAATTTACAATCAATTTATTATGGATATTATTGAAACAATTACGGTAGTATTAAATTTTGATTGTAATTTAAAATAAATTGTTTTTGTAAAATTACAAAGTTTATAGCTTACCAATAAATACTGTTCAATCACAACTAAATATTAATTAATAAGTTAATAATCAATTTAAAGTATTCGTGATAAAAATGTTAAGTTAAAAATAATAAAATATTTTTTGAATTTAGTTAAGATGTTAAATTAATTAAATTATAAAATTTATATATATGGTATTATCAATACATATAATGCAGTAAAATGAGTATACTCTAAGTGTGATTTTTATTTAAAAAATTATATATTATTTCTATCTATAAATATTTAGTTAACTATATTTTAAAATAATTTATAATTACATTTATATTAATTAAATACACGCTTAAGTGCACAGGTTTTTGACACTTAATGACCTAATTTTGTGTATAATTTTAGTTAAATATTTTTTTTGTTGCTAAAATATAACAAAACTTATAAATATGTGTAAAGATATTTATTTGAATCAAAGATATTTAAACAAACCATATCTAATGGTAAGAGTTTTTTAATATCATATATTATATAATTTATTAAATATTTTTAGTTAATCTAAGAATATTTCATATTTAATTTTATAGACAATTTAATAAATTTCTAATTAATTATTATTATTATTATTATATTTAATAATACACATATAATTTCTTTAATATAATTAATTAAAATATTTAATAATTAATAAATATATAACAAGATTATGACAAATGTGTTAATTTATGTCATTTTTTTAAAAAATAAAATATAATTTAAATGAAGCGCTTCTCAGCCAAACAACTGGTGTTTTTCATTGAGAGCACTGTTTTAATGTGTAAACCATTAATAGAGCAGTGATTACAACATTTGTGTTGAATGTGTTATATGTTTCACAATATTGAAGACACGTCTCAATCGGCTTTTAGTTAAATTTGGAAACAAAAAAGTTTTTAAATAATATTAATAATTAATATATTAATTTAAAATTAATATAATTTTGTTTTTTAATATTTAGTATAAAATTTTATCGCAAATGATATTTTCTTAGCTATATTTTGTTAATTTAGTCAATTTATATGTTATTTATTTAAGTTTTGTTAGTTTTTTTTAGTTAATTTTAATTTTGTTAATTAATATTTTATAATTATTGATATGTAATATAAAGTTAGTATTAATGGATTGAAAATGTTGTTTAAATACACGACAAACACATTAATGACAATCAAATGGTTTATAATATTGTTGTCATTTTCAACACAAATCTCAAGAGGTTTTGCATTCTTCGATGGCTTGTATTGCGGTCGAGACAACTGTTATGATAGTATGTAGACATCGATGAGTTGTATCTAAATATATGTCTTAAATAATGAATGTTATTGTATTTAGTATTGGGAGTGACCAGACAGTCGCCACGCGATGAGATATCAAGAGAGTACCGCAAGTTGGCCCGCAAATGGCATCCCGATGTCCATAAGGGTGAAGAAGCCAAACAAATTGCTACCGAAAAGTTCCGTCAGTTGGCCAACGCTTACGAAGTGCTACGGGAAGAGGAAAGTCGTAGAGATTATGATTATATGTTAGACAATCCCGACGAAATGTATGCCCATTATTACCGATACTACCGGCGTATGTATACACCCAAAGTGGACGTCCGTATTGTCATTGTTGTGACCATTACTGTCATATCTGGCTTTCAATATTATGCAATGCATTCCCGATTTAAAGAAGCCATCGATTATTTTTTAACAGTTCCTAAATATAGATTGAAAGCACAAGAAATAGCCAAAACTGACGGACTTATTGACAATTCAGCGGCCAATCGTAAGAAGAATCGGTTCCGTAATAAAGATGACATTAAAATTGAAGAAGAAAATATCTTAAGGAAGATAATTGAAGAGAAAATGGATATTAAAGGCGGTTATCAAAAGCCTTCGTATAAGAATGTCCTTTGGATTCAATTGATATTTCTTCCCTATACTATCACTATGTATCTCATTTGGTACTTTAGATGGATCTGGAAATTTACCATTAATAAGGAAGAATTAGGAGATGAAGAGAAAAAATATATAATAAGGAAATACATGTCATTGTCTCAACTTCAATGGGAAGCTCTGTCCGATGATGAGATCGAAGAGTATATGATTGATGAGTTGTGGATGAAAGACAAGTTTGATGTCTGGAAAAAGAATAAAGACGACGAAACAAAGGCTCAAATGGCAGAGAGTTCTAGTTATAAACGTTACCGAAGATATATGAGGAAAGGAGGTCCCGGACAGATGACATTCCTCGATGACTGAGCCCAATGGTTAACAATAACAACCAATGGCCACATCTTTTTTAGGTTTCAAATAAATTTTATTATATAAGTCTTCCTTTTAAAATATTTGCGGTACAGACTAGTCGTTCTCGGATTAGATATTATTTGGTTCAAAATTATCATTTTTTTGTCTATCGTTATTATTATAAGATATGACAGTTTTATATGTTTATATTGTTGTCCCAAATTGATAACATCTTAAAATTTTTATCTTTAAATCTTAAAAACAGTTATTAGTCATACCATTGTATGTCTGATCACTCAAATTACAGTAATTTCAAAATTTAGAGTTCATTACCCAACAGTATATGAAAAAATAGATATAAAAATTCACTTATTATTATTACTACAGTATAATATTGTTGTCTTTCAATTTAACAAAATCTCTTTTTTATAAACTTCAATAAATTATTTATATTTTATTGTAATATACAATATCTTATACCATATTATAAAGAATGAAATGAAAGTATTTTTATTACAGTATATTAACAAAAAATAAATTATTAAAAGTACCGGTAATTATGGAAAGTATTGATTTGCAAATTGATAATAAATTTATATTTTTTAAATTTTACATAAAAATACAAATTAATATTTATATTTTAGTTAATGTATTAAACAACTTATGGTTCATCTCTAAGATAATCCAAATAAGAATCATTATTTGGCATCAATTTCTTGCGCTTTTGTCCGACCAATTCAACAGTAGGTGCGTTCAGTTCATCGTCTTCTGAATCCATGACTCGAATCGATAGTTTATTCTTTGAAAACTTGGTCTTTGAATGACAACCACTTTTGGTAGCATTTGTGGCAAATTTGTTGGACATTTTGCGGGCCTCCGACTCAAGTCTCATATGTGAATATTTTTCGTTTAATTCTTTGTTTTCCATTTCATATCGTCTGAGTTTTGTTTCATATTCTTCTTTGGTTTTTTCAATACTTCGCAAACAATTAGCTTTTACTTCAATTATCTTTTCGTCATTCCGTTGCATACATTTGTGTAACTTTTCGTCAGAGTCTTTGTAAAGACTTTTAATCTTCTGTTCGTAAAAATCTTTGATTTCAGCGATATTTTGTTCGCTTTTCTCCTTATTGTCACTTAATTCGCGTTTCATTTGATTCAATGATATCTCTTTGCCACTGGTCTTCAAATTCAACTCTTGAATAGTTTTTTCCTTTGAATTTAAACGTGTCATCAATTCATTAATCTTTGAATTCATCGATTTGTCATTTGTGGTCAATGTTTGGTTTAATTCAGATATCTTTTCATTCGACAAACGATTGGTTTCTTTAGTTGTAAACAATTGGTAACAAATCAAGTCTTTAATATGAATATTATGTCATAAATATTGTCAAACCTTTTAATTGATTAATTTGATCCAAAGCTTTGTTTTGGCTTTTAATACATTTGTGCGCCTCTTGTAATGATTGTCTCAATTGTTGGATCACTTGTTGATTCCAGTCTTTGTTGTCTTCAGTATTAATCAACATTTGTTTAAGTCTTTCCTTTTGTTGCGTCTCTTCGGTGATCAACTAAACGATGAATTATTAATAATAATAATAACATTAAATAAGACAAAAACCTCTTTGATTTGTCCATAAAGAGCAATGAGCTCGTGATTTGAGTGTATGTCCATCAGTGGATCAATTGATGTGATAATCAATGGATTCAAAGTTAGTGTATATTTTGGTCACACATTTGTCACACATTTGTCACACATTTGTCACACATTTGTCACACATTTGTCACACATTTAGTGAATCTATTAAATTGAATGTCAATTGGATTTCAATAGAATTGCATTAATCTATTGATTACACAATAATTACTATAATATTGTGTAATACCTTATAATAACGTTCGATATGATTGTTTGCTTTCAAAATATATGATTCGAAATTCGAAACAAGTGTTTATTACTCCCTTTAACTTAATTCCCTAAAAATGTTATAATAATATTCCAATTCCTAAATAATTCCCATAACTAACTAAAGTATTATTACTTTACAAACATTATTACAATAATATTGTATAAAATTCTGACATAAAGTTAGAGTATATTAATTACTCAGCAAATCATATAAATTTCATTGAATTTTATTATTGATATTTAATAAAACAACAAAATTAACATTAAAAAATTGGTTAAAAAAATATATAAATTAAACTTACTCAATTTAGTACTTTAAATAAAAATTATGATTATTTACTAAAAATAAAAAAACTAAAAATAGAGTGAAATTATATAGCAATCACTAGAAAAAAAACATTTAAATTCTACTAATAATAGGTTTGACAACATTTGACATCAAAACTATACTTTAGATGAAATGATAGTTCATTAACACAAACAAAACATATATACATACTGTATATTGTATTGTATATTGTATTGTATATTGTATTGTATATTGTATTGTATATTGTATTATATGATTTGTATGTTTAGTTTTTGAGATATTAAAGAAAAACATTTTTACTATTATATAATTTTTTCTTATAAAATTTTATTAATTATATTTATTACTTAATTTATATAATGGTAAAAATGTTTTTCTTTAATATCTCAAAAACTAAACATGATAATTAAAAATTATAAATAGAATAATTATTCCTTATTATATAACAAATAATAATAGATTAATCTCATAATAAAATACCTTGATACTTTTTTTCTAGAAAATATCAAAATATCACAAATTTTACAATTTTTTGCTTTTTGTTTAAAATTTATTAATTTTTTAAAAAATTACCGAAACACGTGTCTAATAAATTTTCAACTAGTTTAAATTCACATTATCAGAATTTAGATATTTATTATAGTTTTAGAGATATGGCACATACCGGTGCTTAGCTACATAAGCTTAAATCTATAAAAACTAACTATACTAAGTTATACGTCCCAGGATTCCATGTTTCTCATAAAATTTTTGTTCATCTAGCTCAATTAGTTATAAAGATATTAAGCAAAAACCAGTTCGCACCCTTCTGTCACAGACTTTATTTGATATATACTAGTGGTGTAAATTAAGATGAAAGTCCTGTCCTGTCCTGTCCTGTCCTGTCCTGTCCTGTCCTGTCCTGTCCTGTCCTGTCCTGTCCTGTCCTGTCCTGTCCTGTCCTGTCCTGTCCTGTCCTGTCCTGTCCTGTCCTGTCCTGTCCTGTCCTGTCCTGTCCTGTCCTGTCCTGTCCTGTCCTGTCCTGTCCTGTCCTGTCCTGTCCTGTCCTGTCCTGTCCCGTATTGCAAGATCTTTCAAATCAAGTTTTCATAACATAATATACAGTCAATTCTTTTAATACTATACTTCAATAAACATAATACAGTCGCACCTCTCTATTATCTACTATTATCTCTATTTCTAATTTCTCATAATTCAAGTAAAAGCTATAGAAATATTGTTAACTGTTGTTAAAATAATGTCATAATTTTTTTAATCATTATTAATTGTCTAAAATAATGTAAATAAAAATAAAATGAAAATCTAAATAAGATTAAAAATAATACTTAAGGTTGTTATTATTTATTTTAAATCATGAAATACTAAAATTATTACTTTATTTTTATTATATCTTAATTATATAAATTAATATAAATTTTTATTTGATTTGATTTTTTAAAATTATAAAAAGTAACAAATATATATAAATGAATTACTGCTTATAAATATAATAAGATTATTATTATATTATTTGTAAGAAATTGAATTTTATATTTATTGTAAATTACATGCTATTTTAATACTTTAAATATTATAATAAACTAAAAAATAAAAATGTTTAACATTTTTATTTAATAAAAAAATAGATACTTATTCTGTATGGTATAACTATTAATTAATGTTACTATCTTTAGATATTAAATAATATTAAAAAGCAATGTTTGCAACTTTTTAAAAACAATTAATCTATAAATAAATGTTACATAACTTATAATATTGTATTGACATCTCATTAGTTTATTTGTAGATTTATTTGACAATTATTGTAATGCATAAAAATATTAAATTATATATTTGTGTTTTTATTTATATATTATTTACTTATACAGATGTGTATTGCACTGTATTATGATATTTATAAAATGAGAGAAAAGTGAATGTATTTTAACTCAACATTTTTATTTTTTACTAAAAAAACTATTTATATTCATTACTATTAATGCTTTCATTGGTACTGATATGATATCATAAAAGAAAACTACAGAATATTTAAATTTTAGTTTTTCATTATTTTCTTAAGTAAACTAAAGTTTTGGCAATAATTATGTTTTTGTAATGAATTGAGGGTTCAATTCACACATTTTAAAGTGTTGATTAAATTTGAAAAATACAATTAAAATTAAAAAATAGTATTAGAATTTAATTATTATATTAATTTTTACTGATAAAGTTAAATGTCAATTATTGTAAACAAAATAAAGTTTATATAAGTTTACATAATTAACATTTAGTTTTTGCCATTTTTCCTGATTTATGGATATTTGAGTATTTATGAAAATGTGAGTATAAATATAAAAATAAAATAGATAATTTCAATAAATTAGAATTGTTAATATTTTAATATGTAAAAATAAACTTATATATATATATATATTATAATTAAAAATAATTTAAATTAGTATTATCAAATTAGTTATTTTTCACTATATATTTTATTGTGATATACTGTAATTGTATTCAAAACTGTCAACTATAAAGGATATTGTAATAAAAATTATTTTAATGTTAATATAATTAAAATTATAAATTATAAAAACAACATTATAGTCAATTCTAAACTCGTGATTTTAATCAATTATAATGATTATAATTTCTAATTTTAAAATTTCAAAATAAATATTAATAGATTACCATTTAAAAATTCTAATTTAAGTGATAATTACATGTTTATATTATTAAGTTAATATTTTAAATAATATAATTATAAACTGATATTTCCATATTTGAGTATTTATTTATTTATTCTAAAACATTAATAATAAAAACATTATATTTAAAAAAATAATATTTGTATTTATCAAAATTTATAATCCATTTTTGTAGTTATGATACTAAAATATAATTATATATTAAAAATTATTTTTTAGTAATGAAATAAAAGTATTAAAATTTTATTTTTGTATTATATATACGAATATAATTTTACATTAAGATATTGGTATAAATTTATGTTATTTCTATATATATATAAATATTTATTTTTTTTATTTATGACACAAAAATAAAAAATATATGATTTCTAACGTAACGTCAGACAAATATTATTTAAGCGGAAAGTTGTTAATAAAACTATTAATTTAACTTATTTTAGTTTTAATGGCAATAACTCGTGATAAGTAATTTATATACCATTTTATATGATATTTTCCGCATTACTTGTCATACATCACAAGGATTTTTAGTTTTGACATTAAAAACACGCTTAAAATTATTATTTTAAGCGAAAAATAATTTAAAAGTAAAATTTATTATTTTATACTAATATTTTTATTGATATAAACTCATTTTTAGACATAAATAAAAAAAGATAAACAAAAATATAAATATTAAGCAATAATTATATATACAGTATTTATTAATACGTTTAGTATATTTATAGTACAACTATTTATATAGGTATCAAATACTTTACAAAATGCTGTAAAATATATTATTATATTTTGTGAATTAGTGAATGAATGAAAATTCTAAAAAAATATTATTGAAAAAAATTAGAGGTATTTTCGAAAATATATTTTAGTATAATTGATATACACTAATACAGATTGATAATGAATAAAACGACAAAATTTTATATAATTAACTTGCAGTAAAAGTTATCATGATCAATTTACAATTGATTTTTTAAAAAGTAGAAACAACTTTATACAATAGTGTATAAATTATTTAATATACAAATATTTATATTTATATTGTCGCACACATCAATGTGTACACATCAATAAATAATATTATATACTGTAATATAAATTACTATAAAAAACAAATTTTAATCTTATATAATCTAAATATATATATTAAACATTGTCATAGCAATTTATTAAAAATTTCTATTTATAACTCTCTAACGATAAACTTGAATTTTAATAATTATGTGACAATTATTGATTCATTCAATAGTAATATTTGTTAAGTATAATTTTATTTAATAATAATAATATTAAAAATATCTTAAATTTTTAATTTAATATATTAATTTAATTAATAAAACAAAATATTAAATAGTTAATATTTAAGTAATAAATTTTTAACTTATTTGATAATTATTGTGAATATTTACACAGAAAATTTAAACTTAAAAAATAATAAAATATATTGCAATTCATTTTCTGTTTCAATAATAAACAACATATGACTTAAAATGATTTATTACTAAATTTCTGAATTACTTGAAAATATTTTTTTAAATTTATAAATGCCTTTTATAAACATAAGAATAGCAACAAAATGACAATTAATTTGATTGACTTTCAATAATACAGAAATTCAGTAAAAAATAACTTATAAAACAATTTTATGTTATTTAATATAATAGTTTTTACTGAAATTGATTTTATCAAATGATTTTATCACAAAATGTCATTTACTTTAAAAATCTAAATAATGTTTTATTATTATTATCGTTAATTTGTATACAATATTATTAATTTGTTGTACAATCTATGATTGTTTTGTATAATATTTTTTACATAAATAAGTATTGATTTACAATATATATATACAATATTTTAAATGTTTAATATACAACTATATAAAGCTAAAAATATTTATTGTTTTTATGATTACACAGCGCTGAATAAAAACAGTAAATTTTATCATATTTTACTATTTTTTAATTTTGTGATTGAATGTTTAACTTTGTTTAAAAATAATATCTAAAATTTTGATTGAATTTTATTTTTAGTTTTACTTATTTTTATTTTATTTTTAATATAAAAAGTATTATTTTACATTTATTTAAATTTTTATTAAAATGTGTACAAATATTTATTTTGTTTAATTTGATTGATTGATGCCAATTCAAATAATATTATTTACATTTGTGTACATAGCATTATAAATATAGCTGTAATGGAAATTCAATTGATTTTAATTTATGTAATTTTTTTTAGTTTAATGATTGAATCAATTGATAGTATAAAACGTATATAAATACATAATAAGCATGAGATATGTCTCATTGTCTTACAATTTACATCATATTAAAAGTACAATATTATAAGTAAATTATAGATACAATAAATAAAAAAATTGACTAATTAAGCATTAAATTAATTATAATAATTTCACAATCAATATATTTAATATTAATAATACATATCATTTATCAAATCTAACAATTACCATTAAATAAATTAATAAACATGTAGTGTATATTTGTTGTTCAAATATAAATAAGCATAAGTTATAGTATAAAGAATATTCTGAATAAATTGTCAAAAAGTATAAGTATTTATTTGTTTTAATACTGTTTCAACAGTTGCATAGCTGTTACTCAAACTCAGTTAAATAGTTTGAATAACATAATGTTTCATTAAATTGTTTTACTAGTGATTATCGGTGTTTAAAGTGATAATATGATTGAATGTCATACGTGTACGGGTTGGCAGTCCTTTTTGTCGTATTCATCGATATACCACTGCTGGTTGAGGTAAATAAATTTGATAAACAACTTATAGATGGTATGTCTGGCCTTGACTTCCACATACATTGCCATAAAAAAGGCTAAAAAGAAAAGTACTCCACATATAAGTGTCACGATTTCCGATTGTGTTAGTTCTGCTTGATTTGTCTCAACCCTATGACCCCTGTCCTGTTTGAAACACATTATTGTAATGATCGCACAACAGGCCATCACACCCAACGACACCATAAATAGTGAATGCAATATCTTGTCATTGCGTGAACAATGAGGAAACTGCCAGTGACTCACCTATTCATTCAAATTATTTATTAATTTTAAATTTTAATCATTTATTTATGTAATTATTTTAACTAATTTAATATGCCTACAATAAATATTTTATTTAAATAAATAATTTTTTTAGTTAATAATCTTATTAATCATCAATATTATTAGTTTCATAAATTTCAACAAAATTATTATTCAATGACAACTAATTCAAGACTAGAGATTATACAGTACTATAAAAAATACATTATTAACTAATGTATTAATAAAACATATAAATACATTAAATAAATTCAATTATAAATCATAAGGTAAATTAAACCAAAAATTATTGTATAAATATAACTTTAAACATTTACTTATATAGTGTTACATTTGTGTGTTTAATGAAAAGATTTAATGATAACCAAAAATAAAAATTTTTATTTATTGTATATAACATACAGATTTTGATGGAAAAAACAAAATTTTAGTGATAGCTATAGTAAAAATAAATAAATAACAAAATTGAAAATAAGTAATTAACACGCTTTACATGTATAAAATACTATAAATTTACATTGTATATAATGTATAAGCTTATGTATGCTGTCATGTAATTATAAATGAGACTCACGTATGTATGTTCGCATATATATGAGATTATAACTTTTATTTTTTTGTAAAAAAATTTATAATAAAACATATTTTTTGAGTAATTTAAAAAAAAACTCAGGAAGCAATGCTTAGAAGCACACAGTATTAAAAGTATAATTAATGAAAGTGTTGGTTTATATAAAATTGTTTGATATTATTTAAAATAGTTTTACATTAGCATTAGCATTATAAGTAATAAAAAATAATAACATATAATAAAATATAATTTTTATTTCTTAGATTCTTAAAGTTAATAATACAGTATATAAAAAGATTTTGTTTTCTTTACCGTTAGAAAAAAAACTCCAAATATATTAAATGTATTTTAGCTGAAAATATTTCATTATATTTATAATTTTTGAGGAAAACCCTTTTGGTTAAAGAGGTATATATCTAAGCGATTACTGACTGACCTCTATTTAAAATAGTTCAGTGGGTTTCTATTTTTATTGTTAACATACATTATTTTCTATGCAAACATTTTTAAATATTTTCTATCATTAATTTAAAAATTCAAAATATATATACTATCTATACAGTATAGTACAGTAGATAATTAACAATTAAATCTAGAGAAAATGTTTAAAAAAATACTGTACATAATATTTAATAAACTTATAAAATATTTTTTTTTAAAATATTAAACATTCACTAAATTTCAAGTATAATTGTATGGATTTTAATAAAATATAAATAATAATAATGTGGTGACACTTGCCTTAAATTTTTTGTGCCACTGATACTGATATTGACATAATTCACAACTCAATGGTTTTCGTGACTTCTTAGACGTTATTTCCAGCCATCGCTGTAATCATAAATATTTTTATAAATATTATAATTAATTATAATATAAATTCCAAAATTTCAATAAACATTTAAATTATTTAAAGAAAAAATTTCTAAAATTCATTTGATATAATTGACATAATCTGTTATTTGATTTGGCAATAAAATTGGTAATAAATTAATATTTTGACTAAAAATGTAATTTAGTTGTCTTAGTAGTGATGTTAAGAATATATCATACCATAAGACACCCGCAATGCATGTATTGCATGGTTCCGGAGCAACGACACGGACTGATGAGAGGGTCGTTGTCTTTAGCATTCATGTGACATATCTTACACATTGGAGAGTTGGGATCACTTAAAGAATCGGTAGAAACAGTCATTTCACTGACTAATGATGTCTCAGATATTGGTCGACACGATATAGTGTTAACGTTAAGTCTTTTATTGTCATCCATTTCGTCATCCATTTCTTCACTGTCTTCGTCATCGTTTTCAATATTTTCTTCTTTATTATTAACCGATTGACAAATATATTTTATATTTGAAACTTTTGACAGTTTGTTACTATTTTGTTGCGACTTTTGTTTCTTAATTTGTGTATTATTTGTATTTTTCGACGAACCGGCCGTTATATCGTTGCTTTCAGTTTTGGCACATAAGTACTGTAATCAATAAGAAATATATATTAATATATAAATTTTAATCCAATTATATTTTTATTTAAAAGTTTTATATAATTCATAATAACAAGCAAATGATAAATTCAAACAGAAAAAATATTAAAAATTATATTTTGATAATAAGTATATATATAATGTATATGTTATACAGAAAATAAAGATAATTATGTCATATATGTCATACAATACAAAAATCAATAATATTTTCGTAGTTAATAATTAAAAATCGCTATTTGATTTACAAATTATATAATCATTATTTAGAAAATATGATATAAAATAAGTTATTTTATTTTATTTTAGTGAATCTTCAGTTGATTTTTAAATCTCTTTTTGATGTTTATTAATAATAGTATTTCACATGAAATTTGTTACACTATTTATAATAATATTACTGTATATGTGTTTCTAATCCACTTTTAATTCTCAGTGGACATAAATATCACATTAAAATGGGTCGTATTATTAACTATCAAAATAAATAATACAATGACATACAATATCTATTAAACATCTACAATATATCCAATTATAAATAAAATTCATTATATGACAAAATACAATTTAAGCCCAATATTTCTTATTGTCCTATAAATGAGTAAAAATTGTGTTGAAAATTTGGTTATTAAAAATATTAATAGTAATGGAAAAATACATGAAATTGTATAAAATGTGAAAACAAGTGGACAAATACAATAGTGGAATGTATATAATAAAAGATGATTTTATCAAAATATTAAATTATAATTTTGTTTTCACAGTGAGTAATCAATTTATTAAAAGAAATGCTTTATAATATAGTTATACAATATAATTATGTCATACATAATACTGCATTAAATGCCAATTATGTATCTTTAAGACATTGCTTTAAATAAAGCTTAGCATTATATAAATAAACAAACGATTTTTAAAATTAATATCCTAAACATATAAAATGCATTTTTGTAAAAATAACTTATAATTGTGTCAAATATGAAAACCATTAGCCGATGAAATTTAAAGTATAACCCGAAAGGTCTGGTTTTGCTAATTAGTAATATATTTATTCAGTCATTTATTTAAATATTGCTTTACATTTGATTTCGGTTCATATGACAAATGTATTAAATTATTTACTTTATAATACTGTAATAATTTATCAATAGTTATGAATAATGACTTTAATTTTCAGTCTACGACAGAATACATTACAGTCAGGGTTAAGCAAGGTTTTGGATTTTAGGGGGGGGTAGACCGGGGTAAAATTTACAAAATTCTCAAAAAATCTTGGGGGGGGGTATTGGGTGGGGTAAGATTTTTATTGCATTTTTAAACGGCAATTTTTTCAAAAATCCAAAATCAAGGGGGGGGGTCTAGAGAAAATTCCCTAAAAATTCCTTAAGTTCCCGAATATTCCCATGTAAATTCAATAAAATTCCCACAAGTTCCCGTATAAATTCCCGGGAAAATAGGTAAAATTTCCAAAAATATAAAAAAAAACTAAAAACTTAAAAATTAACAAAAATTTAAATTTTAACAAAAAATAAATATTTTTAAAAAAAATTTTTTTAAATTAATAAAAACTATATACTATAACTTATATAACTAATAAAAAAATAAAATAATGTATTTAAGATTTAAAAATAGTTGATAAAAGCATTAATGATACACTATGAGTTATTTTTAGTATTTTAATAATTTTTAACTTTTAACATAATTAATTTTTTAAACAATACTTAATGTTTATAGTTTGTTATATATTTTTATTTTTATACAAATACTGACTGAATACTACTTATTTAACTCAAATTTCGTTAAAGTTTAATTATATTAAGTACAAAATTGAAAATATTTTTAAATTTTTTATTTAAAATTTAAAAATTATTAATAAAAACATAAGTATTTATTGTTTTATTAACTTCTTAAACTTATATTTAAATTGTAATATGATTACTCTTTTCAACAAATAGGTAATTTTTAATTTTTTAGTTTATTTTAATTAAAATAATGTTATTTTTTGATGACTTTTAACGTTATTTTAACTATTTTTAATCAATAATTAGATTTTTATAAATATTAAAAACATAAAAACACTTACTAAAATAGTATCAACTAAAATTAAAATTTTTATAAATTTCAAAAAAATTTTCGGCGCCTTCGGCGCCGAAATTTTAGGGGGGGGGGGGGTCATTTCTCCTCGTTTTTAAGCGACAATTTTTTCAATTTGGTCAAAAAGTCTGGGGGGGTAAAATCCCAATTTCTCGATCTTAGGGGGGGGGTATTTTGGCCTTACCCCCCCTTACTTAACCCTGATTACAGTATAATATAAAATAACAAAATATGTTAAATAGTGGTATAATTTTTTTTACTTCTATAAATACTTTATATAAAATGCAAGTCAAGTCACTTGATTATTTCAAATACATTTCACTGATTATTTCAATAGATTTAAACTAAATAAAAGCAATTACATTATAATGTATTTAGTTTTTCTGCTGTTTTTCAAAATTATTTAATAAAAATTATATTCATAGACATGTATTTGTTTTATTGCAGTTACACTGAAATTGCAACAACTTGAGAATAAAATCATTTTTATACATAAAAAATAATATTATCAATAATTTTAATCAGTTTATGTATTTTAAACACTTTAAAAAAAATAAATTAGTATTGTTTTTAATATATATTATTTAAATAATTAAAAATAAAACAAAAGATTTAATGTTTATATACAGTAAATGTCTCTGAATTTCATATAAAATAATTTTAGTTTATAAACAAAGAGATGGTTTTTTTTGTATAGATTAAGGTTGACATAAAAAGATGAAATTTTGACATAAAATTATATAAATCATTAAAGTATATATAAGATAATACTATTTATAAAACATATGATCAAAGAAAAACTTTAAAGACATTGAACTTTAAATTTAAGTTTAATTATAAAGTAAATCTTGTTTTTTTTATTAATATTTAATTTATACGTATATTTCTCAATCATATAAAACAAGTTATTGATACTTAATATTACATTTAACTATTAATAACTTGTTTATTATAATTAAGAAATAATTTTTAAAAAACTGTAATTAGTTGTTATGTTAATGACCAGAATTATATCTTATATTTTATAAAATACTCGATGAAATAACTATATAAAGACAATTATTTGATAATTAATATAAATAATTTACAAATATGTGTGATTTAAAAATTTTTTATTTCAACATCTATATAATAAAAAGTTATAATGATTAAATAATATTGTAATAAGCAATAATAGATAAATTAAGCATAATTAACCAAAACAGTTGTATTGTTTAATTTATATAACACATTGTAAATAAATATAATTTATCTCCTTATAAAGTATCGTGAAATTATAAATGATTTTTTAAATAACCGATAAAATCATTAAAAAAAATTGTTTCCTTAACTGTATAAATATAATTTTAGATTGAATTGTAGTGCCTTTATAACATATGCCCTTCGGAAACAATAATATTAAATGATAATCAGTTTGTATAACATAATACATTGTGTAACTTTAAATGAAGTTTATTGTATTTTTCGATTAATTCATTTATTTTTGAAAACAAGAATTGATTTTCAATATTATTAAATATGTAATGTATTTTAAAATGTGATGACATATTAAAGCGGATCGTAATTCAAAAACAGTGTTAAGTATCAAATATAAAAATCTATATTAACTGTAGTTTAGTGTAAAATATACACTATGTATATGTAAACAATTTATAAGTTATAAATTATAACTTTGTTGTTCACTATAAGTATAACATTAAGTAAAAATGATAATTTTACAATTAATAAAATACAAATTAATGTAATACTTGTATTAATAATTAAAAATCAATTTTTAAATAACTATATCTACATATATTCAATAGATAGTGTAATTTATAAATAGAAACTTAATATAAATATAAATAGTCTATTAGTAATTGTATTAATTTATTTATATCTGATTTGATTGTTAACTTGATTTAATTAAATGGAAAATAAGTGAAATAAGTACTAAAAATAAAGGAATCGTTTAAAATATTTGTTAAAAATTTCTAAAATTCTTTTAACAGTAACTCCAATAAATTACTTGCTTTCTTAACATTAAATCATAGATTATATTAGTTTATAAAAACATTAAAATAAATAGAAATCTACAATAACTAATACATTTGTATAAAAATTATTTTGGATTATAACCAAAATTGCATTAATGACTAACTATGACATTATTTTTTCTATCAAAACATACAAAACCATAGAAATACAATAACAATTACTTTCTAAAAATGTGATAATTATATGGCGCTATAATAAGTTAGATATAAAAATGTATAATATATGAGATCAATGACATACTATAAATCAATCAATTCATTCATTCATTCATTCATTCATTCATTCATTCATTTATTCAATCACTTGTAATTAATATTTTAAAAAATCATTTCAATGCAAAAAAATAATACAAATTAATATAATATTTAATTCTAAATCTTTAGTATTTTGCTTTCGCTGTATTTTTTCTGATTTTATCATATTTTTGATTAGCATAACAAATAAACAGATATAATACGTGAAATTTTGTTGACAATTAATTATAAAAAATGCCTTTTATTGTCATATTTATAATTTATCACAAGTCATGAAATACAGTATATATATATAAATTATATGAATTAACATCAAATTCAAGGCTACTCTGTATTTACTAAATACGGTCTATACTGTAAATTAAAAATAATAATAACATACCACTAATAAACTCTACTTTTAAATAAATATTTATTTGGCATCACTTGTCGTATAATATAAAAAAGTTTGTTTTTTAATAAGATATGCTTAACATTGAAAAGTTTGATTTAAAAAATTAGTTAACAATTGAAATTAATGAGAAATAATAAGAAATAAATACAAAGTATAAGAAATTTAGAGTTTGTTATCAAACACATGGAAACAAAGATAGAGTGAAATCGATAATAAATGTTATGTAATGTTATATAAAAAATATATAAACAAATACTATACCAAATCATCTAAACTCTGATCGCTCTCGAGTTCAATGAGATCAGTGGATCCATCGATAAGTACGGGTCCTCCGCCACGGATCGGGTAGTGATTCACTGTATTATCACATGAAGTGCTTTGTTTGGCCATAGGATACGTTGTTTGTTGTATTTGTCATTCAATGCAAACAACAAACCAAACTAAAGAAGCAAACGATGGGAAACATGAATGAAGTGATGCAGAGATGCTCTCAATGTCTGTACTGTTGAGTCAAACAGCCCTAACCAGAGCTGCGCTGCTTTAAGTCCAGTGTTGCACTTGTAGTGCACATCCAGACTCAACTCTCCACTGTATGGGTCTCTCCTCTCAATGTATGCCTCTCTCCCTCATTCTGTCTGTGCTCTCAATGGGATCTGTCATGAGTTGGCTCTACTCTCTTATTGGTTCTTCAGCTGTTGTCAAGGCTTGTCTACAATCGACTCTCGACTTTACAAACATATTGTACAGTAAAGTCATTGCATATCCATAATAATAATCACACCAATAATTCATTTGAAATAATAACAAAATCTTTACATTTTAAATCATATAACAATAGCTCTAAATTTAATATAAATATCATTTAATGTGTATTCACAACAATACGCAAGACTTAACACTTCATAAAAAATCGTCGATTAAAAAGTTTTAACACTTTTCTCATATATTTATTTCTATTAGAGTTTTCATAAGAATTTTGTACAGAATTTCAATGTTTTCTATTCATATTATATTTAAGTTTAAATCCAATGAAAACATTTCATCACAAGAATTATCGCATATTTTTTATAGTTTAGCTAAATATGCAAATTTCATTAATAACTTAAAATTTTATTTCTCTAAAGAATATTCGTTATTATCATAAATGTATAGAAAACTACTTTTAAAAATTGACTTTTCATTCAAACTCAATAGTATTTATTAAGTAAAAACATTGAAACGATATACTTTGCCTAAAAAGTATTATTAGTTAAAAACTAAATCTAAAATGTTTTGATCTAAAATATTTCAAATATAATGTTAATGTTGAAAATATTTACAAAATGTTTAAGGAAGTCGTCAAATAGTGTGTGTGTAGTATATGACAGAATAACCTTTATTTAGTAATTAAGGGTCGTTTAAAGCCTTCAACATTTCCTATGAATTGCCAAAAATGTAATCATTTTCTTAAAAACTTTGGTAATATATTATTTATTTACACAAAATTAAACTTATAGTAATATAAATGTAAAAATACCTAATAATTTATTTATAAAGAATTTCAAAAATTAGTTACAAATATTGATTTTTTTGCTTTATTTATCATCAATTAGAAGCAATCAAAATATATTGTATTATTAATTGAATTGTAATTCATGTGAAAATATAGTTTCAATTCTTGCGAAAACAATAGCACCAAACAAACACAACAAATGGCAAATTGTATGTAACATTAATTTAATTTTATATAAAAATATAGTAAATTATAATGAATTAATAGAATATAAAAGGTTTCATATAATATAAAAATATTATCCAAAGTAGTGCTTATTTTTTGGTATAATCATAGAAACCTTTACCCGTTTTTTTGCCTAAATGTCCCTTTGCAACCATACTTTCAATTAATTTTGATTTATATATTTTCAGATTTGGATCACCCCTTGCAGCCCAAGCATCTACTATAAACTTATTGGTATCCAAACCTACATAATCTATATAAATAGCATATTTTAAAATCAATTTAAACTCAAACAAATTTAAAACAATATTTTACCCATTAATTCGAATGGACCTATATTATAAATATGCAAATACCAGAAATTAATAAAGTAATTGAATTTTTAATCCAAATTAATAATTAAAATACCCATTGGATATCCAGCGCCTAATTTCATTGCAATGTCAATGTCTCGGGCGGTAGCGTCACCTCTTTCCCTAAATAAGTAAAACAAACTATAATTACCGAAACAGTATTTACGGTAATTGCAAAATAATAATAATAATAATATATTACAAAAGAGCGACGGCTTCCTGCATATACGGTACAAGTAATCGATTTACTATGAAACCCGGCGTATCCTATATTAGTAAACAATTGTTTATTTTTTAGTTACTTAATGTTTCATATTTTGCAGTAATTGTAAATTATATAATATACTAATAGTGCAAATCATACCTTACAGGTGACACCAACTTTATCCATATCTTTAACAAACTGAATGAGTGCTTCAAATGTATGATCATTTGTTGCGTCCAATACACGGATTACTTCAACCAATTTCATCATTGGTACCGGATTGAAGAAATGTAGACCTAATCACACAAAAACATGATTTATAGTTTTGACTTTTAATTTAAATTAAATCTATAATTACCTCCAAATCTTTCTTTACAGTCAACATATTTGCCGATCTCATAGCAGGGAAGAGAAGATGTGTTCGTAACAAATATTACTGATTTGTTGTCTTTGAATTGTGAACTAAATTATAAATATATATATATTTATACTTAAACTTAAACTTAATAAACATTCAATAATTTGTGTCCAAAAACAAACCAAAGTTCTTTGAATATTCTTTGTTTTGGTTCCAAAAGTTCGGGAATCGCTTCGATAACTAAGAGATTCTGATCGACAACTGGTTTGCGTTCAGTCGATAGAGTTATACGATTGACCACTTCATCAATGCTATTAATATTCACTAAATTTAAAAAATAGACATTAATAGTACTATTAATACTGTAGTATCATATATGCAATTATCTATACAAATACAAGTTTTTATTCAATTATATTTATTATATTTAGGTTATTAATATTGTGTACGGATTTACTATAATTGTAAATAAGTTGTATTATTTGTTTTATTAATTTTAGGTCAAAACACCATTGATTTCGTTAGCTATCATTTCCTCTCTTTCTCTTCATTAAAGTATTAATAGTTAATACTATGCAATAAACATGTGAATCAATGATGTAATGCCGTTAAGTATTATATTAAATTACCGGTAGCCGATAAAATTACCGGTATTTTTGCTGATAACCGGGTCATCTCATAAAAGTATATTCAAATAAATAGTTATATTTTAAACAATTAATTAGAGTATTGTTTTATATTAAGTAACAAATCATTGATAAATTTATGTAATGATAAAATAATATAATAAATACAGTATTAATAAAATATAATTAGTAATTAGTAATGAATTTTAATAAATTAAATTAGAAAAACTATAATAATTAAGATTTAATACAAACTAATCAATAAAAAGCAAATTATTTAAAATAATAAAAACCTTTTTTCTTTTCCTTTAAATTGTTAAGACTTTTAGTGATGCGATCCTTAGCTTTAGCTAACTGTTCATTGTTTACATCTTGTAATGTAATTGAATTGAATCGTTCAGTTGTGGCACACGACTGGGCAATACCTGACATCACCGACAAAGTGGACACACAATTGATATTAAAAATATATCATCAAAATAATAGTCACATACCTGAGCCCATAAGTCCCGATCCAATAATGAGGACATTTTCGATGCGATTAACGGCCGCTGTCTTACTAAACAAACGGATTAACTGTTGGCCAGCCGTTTGTTGACCAGTGGTCACCTGTTTGGCCGATAAGACTGTTGGTAATCGCAGTGTTTGTCTTAACAAAAGTTTTGACATTGTTTTCAATGTTTTCTCAAAACTCAATGAAAACGTGTATTGAAATAACAAATTATATGATAATTATGGCTATAATTACATATAATTACTACAAATAAGGAAATCAATTGCTATTCAATTAAATAATAGTTTATAATATAAATATGAAAATTCAATTCAATTCAATTACTTAACAAAATTTTAAGTTTTAATATTTAGATGTGTTTTGACTGAGATTTTGGTGAAAAAACTGATAAATAATTAATTGATTGAGTTATCAGAAATGTTTGCACTTTTAGACTCAAAATTATCACTTAATTTCAATTATCAATTAAAACATTTATACCATTATATCATTAATAAATACATTATTATTAACCAAACAGTAGTATTCATTTGAGTGATACAAACAAAACATCAAATCAATGACAAGTTTTGCATTAAATATAATACAAATAATTGTTAAATGTATGCAAACATTGTATGGAGACATCTGTAGACACTTTTAATACTCATATATAATATTATTAATGTTTTACTGTTTGACTACTTTTTCTTACAAATTCTGTTAAAATTGTATACTTTTTGAGTGCTTTTTACATTTTTTTAAGTACATTATTATCGTTAATATCAAAGTACTAATGATTACATATTTATAGTATTATATAATTTATAGAATAAATTTTATAGTAAGTGATAAAATATTCATTAGATTATAATAATTGTAGAAATTTATTCAAATCCAAGTCTACTATTTTTTAAGTTATGTAATTAATATTATTTGTATGATATATTATATTATATTAATTGATATACTTGATTACAATTATTGTAGATTTATTAACACTACTAATAGTAAATAACGAAAACATATGAAAGATGTCACTAATTTGAAAAAGTTTACTCTTATTAAAGTTTTTTTAGTAATTTTAAATTTTTGATTATTTATACAGTAATTAGAAACTTCACATTATCGATATCTACAGAGTTATCGATAATAATTAATTCAATATTATTACATAATTTACGAGATTTTATCTAAAAAAATAAATATAAATATCAACAAAAGTAATCTAATAATTTAGTAATTTAAATAATTATTAATGATAAAAAATTATTTATTAATATTATTATCTAAATATTAAAACCTTAAATTGGTCACAAAATAAAATATTATTTATTCTTAATAATTTTTGATAGACTTGTACATAGTTTACAATTATAATTAAAATAACTTATAAATTAAAAGTATTTTAACAACTATTTAGTTAAATTTTAAAATAATTGATAAGTTTATCATTAATTTCGAAAGTAAGAAAAACTTATATTTACAATAAATTAAAAATATTATTAATACGTTATGCTGTAGTAGATTAGCTTATCTATCGGACAATTAATCAATAAAATTATTATTTTATACTTATATATACTTATTATTTATTATTATTATTAATTATTAATTATTACTTATATTTATATAATGATATTTAGATATTATAGTCAGTTTGCTTATAGTAAAAATGATTTATTAATGTATTAATAGTTAACTATTTAATATAATATAGAATTAAAATACAGTAAATACATAGCTTATGATTAACAATTTATTAATAATGATCATTAAACTTATAGTAGTTATAATTATTATTGTTTATTACTTTTACTAATTGTATAAAAATGACCAAAGATTGCAAACTATGTTTAGATCGAACCGTACTAACCAATAGTTTTTTCAAATACATTAAATATCTTAATTAACCAACAATTGCCTAAAGCTATACAATTCCCATACCGATCATTCAAATATTATTAAAAATTTTTATATATAATTGTATTAATTATAAAACATTTCTTAATATTTATACTTATATAGCTATAAATTAATATGCCTGATAATGTGATCAATAACTCATTTTAAAAATAAATTTATAGTACTAATTATATAATTTTTGTAATTGTAAATGTTATATACTTATTTTTAAAAATTTAATTAAATAATTATTATTTGATTTTTAACAAATATTTTAAATTGATATTTATTTTATTTATATTTATACAAATAAAAGTAGTCTTATAATTTTGTTTGCAACTAAAATAGACTAATTGTGTGATTATTTTGACAAATAATATAAAATATTGATTTTGTTACTCATTTATAGCCAAAAGTCTGTTTTTTCTAAAGTCTGAATAATACCGCTAATCAACACTTTCACGAAAATGTTTTTCACTTTTCAAATAAATTCATTTAATAAAATTACTTATTTTTATTATTATTAAATTAGTTTCTCTCAAATTTTTATTCTTTATATATATAATTATAAATTTCAATATCACAAAATATAAATAACAATATTTCAATAATATCGATATTTAGTTTAAAAAAAAGATTTTATTTTTAAATTTAAAAATCTTTAAAATAATAACAAATTTTAACTAACATTTATGAAAATACAAATATTTAAAAAAAGTAATATTTAAAGACTACATTTGTTTAAGTGATATTCTGTCGCTAAACTAAAGCGATCCAAAAATCTTGAAAATCTAAATCGATTAACCAATTCTTGATACATGTTTTCCTATATATTATACAATACGATGGATACAAATCTGAAGATTTTGCGCATAACTAACATTTTTGCTACAAATAACAGTGATTTTAAACAAGATTTCCGTATTATAGACTAGTTTTTGTCTGACAACTGTCCACTCATTTATACAAGTATTTACTTAAAATTATCTATTGTTATAAATACATTGTATTAGTAATAGTAATAAAGTATTAATATGAAATATATTTGTAAATATTAATGTAATTAATTTGAAAAAACTTGATAAAATAATTTTAAAATGTTTGAAGTGATTTGTGTTAAATAGTACGGCATATAAAATATATTTGACAAAAAATTATTAATAAAATAATGAGTGAAACAACGGATAAAGTTATTAGAAAAAAGATAATAAATTCAAAATTAAAAGGTTTGATAAACTTAAATGACATTATTTGGTATCAATAAAATCATAAATAAATTTGTAATTAGATTTAAAGTCCGGCCGTTCAGTACCGGAATGCGTCCGCTGCCGAAATCACGGCCGAAGAATTGCTAAAAAAGGTGATATATATCTATATATGTTTTATTGTCATATTATTTATTATCTAAATTAATATTATTAGCTATAAAATAAAAATAATTAAAGAAAAATTAGTTTATTAGAAAATAAAAGCAATAATTACAATTATTGTAAAGGATTTAAATATTTGATTATCTTTTAATAAAAGGAATTTTTTTAAAATACAATTAAGTTTATGACATATAATACTTAATAAAATATTAAATCACCGAAAAGGTCACAAAAAGGATTGTAAGCACAAGGACTGCATCTGTGAAAAGTGTATACTTTTAGATGAAAGAAAAAAAGTTGAGTCAAAGCTAAAAGAGACAGAAATGTTGGAAAGACAACAACAATCTAAACATTTATCGACAGAAAATGGCAAACCTTTGCGTTTTAATAAAAGAAAAGAGTCGTTGAATACAAGTGAGACATATAATAGATATAAAAGCCGTTCAATTGCTACTAACTCTGTATATATCGGCGGCAATCAGTTATTTAAATGTCGAGAGATATGGAGTTCAGCACAGATATTGTCGGGCCGTCAACCGTCACACAAACAGTGGTCGACTCGACATAAATCAAATGTCAACCAACTGTGTGATGATATGAACCAAAGGTTTACAGACCATAGAATTGATAATATATTGGGAAGCAATAGGAATGGTATCTACAGTGAGACTGAATTGAATGACTACTTGAAAAGCGAACCTATATTTGGCACTTCTCTACAAAATTCACTGAATATTCAACAGAGTCTCACATTTTATCACTCAATTCTCACTAACCTTTTGAATACTGAACAAAAACAGACCAGTCATACAACTGTTCACTTGAATGGACAACAAGTATCAGACCAACAGATAAATCATGTCTCAGATAACTAGACATCCACTAAAACACAAGATTATAATATAGCGCTAAATCATAATTTTTTGTGAAATTATATTTTCTATTATATAGTTTTTTTGTATAATCATAATATTGTTTATTTAGATAAATAATGAAATTATAACTATTATAAAACACTCAAATTTTATTAGTAAAGATATACATCAATTGTGAAGCTTAAGGATATAGCAAAAACAGAACTTTCAAACTATATATTATGTTTAAGTTAAATGTCATCAATTAATTAAACTTTTGAATAACTTGAGTGAACAGTATATAATAATATATTTATTGAATAGTTTTGGGTTTATATTTCAAAAATTTAAATACTATTTTGTTAAATTTTAATATTTTAATTATTAGTTTATTTCAAAAATTGTAGTGATATATATAATATATTACATAATATAGATAATTTATTATTAGTATTGCTATTATATAAAATTGAATGTTTATTGACCTTATTGATACATATCTAACATAATAATCTATGTTATAATTACAAATATTAATAAAATATCCACCATAATTATTAGATAATATAAAACAATATTATATTAAAATTTATATAAATTTAAATGATATAATATAACAACTTTTAAATAAAAAAAACAAGTTAGTCATATAAATCATATATTGTATTAGTAAATAAATATTAAATACAATTATTAGATTTTACAATAATTATTTTTAAAATATACAAAATCTATAGTAAATTATGTTATTTGTTATAAATTAATTAATTACTTATTTTATCAAAATACTTTTTAAATTATATTAATTATAACTCAATATTGTTTATCAATATAAATAATGTGTTTCATTTGCAATTTTATCATGTATAATTGTTATTGTTATATCTACTATTCAAATAATAAATATTATAAATAATATTATAAAAATTTATAATTTATATATCTATATTGTTTATGAATTTATTTCAATTAAACAGTAATTTAAGACTACTATTTAATATATTATATATATTATAAAGCATAAATTAATTAATTAGTCAGTTTAATATTATTTCATTACAAATTAATTTAAATACAATATTTTTGTTTAAAATTATTAATTAATATAAATATTTAATAATAAAATGTTTAATTGTATTATATTTTAATAATACTGTTTTTAAATCTATAAATGTGTTATTTTAATAAAATTGTTGTCAATATAAGTAATCTTGTTATTTAGAAGTATCTAAATATATATTTTATTTGAAAGTGAATTACATTTATATTTTAATTTTCTATAAAATAAACAATATATAACATCCTATATAATTGAATAAAATGGTATTTAAAATATAAATCTTCTCACAAATCATTATATAAAAAGTACTTAAATTTTGAGCCAAATAGAAGAGAGAGAGAGTGAGAGAGAGAGAGAGAGAGAGAGCTTTTAAATCACTTTTAATTTAAAGCTTAACTATTCTAATGTCTTAAATCCAAGACTTCCGCTAATATTGCTATTACTAGAGCTAGTATTGTATAATAAAATATATTATATAAATAATAGGGATATTTGTTTGTAAATTATGCTCTTTTATGTTAAGTTTATATTTTATGGCTGTTTATACAGTAAACGATACATCAGTTGGTTTGGTAGTCGCGACACAATATCCAAGTGTTTATCAAAACATTTTAATGCGTGCCTTATATTATAAAATACTGTATATAGATATATATTTCACATAATATCAAAAGAGATTGTATTTGAATATCATTATAAACATTAAAATATTTTGTGTTTGAAAACTTATGCTAATTAATAATTATGTGAAACACTAGTCTCTAATTAAATTGAAACCACTTTTTACTCAAATTTATTTATAGTATTAAATAAAATTATTCACTCGAAAGACTTAATATTTTTCCAAATTATTTCAAAATGTTTTAATTGAGTTTTCAAGTAATCATTGCTTATAAAATACAAACAATTTTTATGACGACTGTATTCACTTTTAGTTTAAATGCATAAAAGTTATAAAACTTTAATTATTGAAAGTGTTATTTACATACATCCTTATTCATCACAATTTATAATATTATTATATTTGATTAGTGTTTTTGGTTTAATCTTTTATACTTTAGTATATTAACAAATATTTTTATAATAATGAATCATATTTTTAAATAATAACATAATATTTTTCAAAATCATGCGACACAATCAATGAATTTAATATAAATTAAATGGCAAAAATATTTTTATTGTAGTTATATATACAATATACTGTATAAATATTTATATATGTATTAATGTAATATAAATTATATATATTACATACTATATATAACAATATACTGTATTAAACTATTATAATATATGGAATATGCATTATATAAATAATAATTTGAAAAATATTTTATTCAAAAATTAATAAAATTTGACGACAAAAATACACGAATTTCAAAATAGCAATAAACATAAAGTGTTGTTTTAATACATTATAAAAGTTATAAATAATAGTTTTAGCTAATGTTAACAAAATTTTTATATATACATTATAAATATAACCGTAAAAAATATATATACACAGCAAATATATATATATAATTATTTTTGTTATTTATAAGTGAGTTACCATTTATATTATAGTTATTACATATAGATCAGAGTTAAGCAAGGTTTTCGATTATAGGGGGTATAGAATGGGATAAAATCTTGAGTATATAAAGTGGGTGTACACTTTTATTGTATTTTTAAATGACAATTTTCTCAAAAGTTTAAAATAGAGAGGGGGAGGGGGTCAAAAGAAAATTCATTAAAAAGTATATTTAATTTTGGAAAAAAGTCTGGGAGTAAAATGGCCCCACCCTACCCACTTGCTTAATCTTGATATAGATATTAAACTTATAATTTTTAAAAATTTATTGGATTGTGTAGTAACACAAGTAATAAAATTTTGTTTATTGTAGTTGCATATAATATAAGTATTTAATATATTTTATTATTTTTGTAAATAAATAGAATAGTTAAACTAAAAATATTTTTACAATAAATGTAAATTAATTAATATTTTTATCTTAAAATCAGAATTCTCAATATTTTTGTTTTAATTTATTACAAATCTACATATAAATTATTTTATATTGTCTATATAATTAGTTATAGTATTTTTGTATTATTAATTAATTTATAATATTAATTGTTACCATACACAATACCCAAAATTATATACTCAAATAGAAATTTATATTTTTATATCTGTATTATAGTATTAATAATATCCATACAATTTATATATTATAATGAGATTCTGTAAAATAAAGTAAAGTATTTATAATTTTGATAATTTTTATATTAATATTAGTTATTAAACCGTATTTATAAAGTTCTTCAAAGAAGACTTACTATTTATGCTTTAATATAAGATATATTATATAGTGTAGCATAAATGTCATCTAATTTTAATTTTTATCCATCAAGTATTGAAACATTATTTTATAAATAATATACAGTATTAAGTTATTTATTATTATAATATAAGACTTTATAAATCATAGATATTAGTTTTACTGTAAAGAATATTAATAAAATAATAATATTTATAAGATTTCAATGTTGTCTATAATTATCAAAAATATATCATTTGTATCTTAATATTGAATATATTAAAACTTTACTATAAAAGACAGAATCACTGTTAATATTGAATTATAACACTATTTATTATTTAATGCATTGTATCATCACATGCGTAATGGTTTATCAATTTACATGATATTTGTCGACAAATTATGGCACAGACAGTGTATGACTATAAGGTAGTTAAACATAAAAGTCTAGACATAAAACAATCGTTTTTGAGAAAAGGATAATATCATCCAAAAAGTATCTGTATTGAGACAACCACTTCCCATATGTCGAGTAGTAAAAACAAAAAACAATTATCACAAACTATTTTAAAGTATTTTCACTTTTTATTGCACTTTATTTAACAGTTACAATTCAAATACAATATTGTATTTTTTCCGACCACAAGTAACAAAATTATATGACATAAGATTTATAATCAATCAATTTATAAGTTTTGTATTTAAATTTAATAAATATATTCTAAATAAAATTTAATTATTATATAATTTTAGTTGCTATAGATATATTAAAAAACATGGTAAATTAAGCGAAAACAAATAGTTTATTATCTATACAGTAGTATATTACTACAATATAAAAAAAGTATAACAACACAAATATATTTATTTATTATTTAAAACTGAACTTGATATTAGCAACAACAAAAAATAAATACAAACATTAGTAATTAATAATAACTTATTATTGTCTGATAGTTAAAATTGTATTTATAATTATAATGAAATTACTATTTTATATAATATCAAAGATTTCTGAATTGTAAATTATATTAATTTAAAAAAAGCTTTAATAACATATTTATGAGAAAACACTTATGTTATAATTTATTACTATTAAAGTAAATTTTTAATCAACTTAATTGGAATATTTACATAGTTTTACAAAAATACATTTTTAAATAACTAAAGTTTTATTTATATTATTTTATACAATGCATTGACTTTATCTTAATATATTAAATTAAAAAAAATATATTATTTTCTATAATGCTTCTACCTAAATATATGAATATTATTCACATTTATATACTTATAATAGTACAGTAGCATCAGTTTCATTATACTGTTACAGTTAGATAAATTTGACTTAACTTAAAAATTAATACTAATTTTAATAAGTGTTAAAAAGTTGAGAATATTTTAAGTAAACTTAATAATTATTACTTATTATTTTAGTTATTTACTGTGTAATACAATATTAAGTCAAGTCATTGCTTTACTTTCAATTTGTGATTCTTCGTGAATAATATTGTTGTATTGAGAGGTCAATCAAATTAATTAACTATACAATCAATTGATAAAATATTGTAATAATTATTTAAATTATAATTAAATTATTTTTAAAAAATTATAATTTACATAAAAAGGAAATGCATTTTAAGGATGGAATCTCTTTGATAGAGGCATTCAATGGTGTCTATAAAAGAAAGTCATCAAAAAAGTTAACTGAATTGACAGCTAATGACCAGAAATGGCAGATCTGGAAATGGAAACGAAATGATGGACACGAAAGACATAAAAGTATCAATCAGTGGGAAGACTATCTGCAGATTAAAAGCACTTTTGTCACTAAAGATGACTTCTGGAGGTACAGTACTGAATGATTATCAATAAATAACAAATTTTAATTATCTGTTAATAAAGGTCTTATAATGAAGTAAACGGCTTTGAGTTTGGTCTTATGACTTCCCATTTCAACTATTTTGTATTCAAAGAGGGAATTAAGCCCATGTGGGAGGACTCGGCTAACAATATGGGAGGTCAATGGGTTATGGAGTTCCCAGGAAAAGAGGATTGGAGAAAAACTAGTCATTTGAATGAAATTTGGATAAAATTGGTAATGAAATGTTGTATAATTGACTTTACAAATATGTTATTTAAATATTTTATATTAGTTGCTTGACATCACAGGAATCAATACAAACAATGGATCACTTATTGAATTTATAAATGATATTAATGGTGTGGCCTTAATGTTTAGACATCATTTCAATAAAATAGCCGTTTGGACCCAAAACTCAAGTGATACAGTCGTCAATTTGAAAATTGGGTAAAAATATATATAATTTATTATATAATATCAATTATTTAATTTATTTAATTTATTACAGTCAGGCATTAAAATCATTGACCGGATTCAATGGTAAAATGTATTACGCAAAACACAATTCAAGAGACAATAAGATAGTCATTCAAAAGCAAAAGAAAACTACCGATAGTTTTATTTAAGTAATAATTTAATAGATTAACTAATTATTATATATTTATCAAAATATTGTATCAATAATATAAAGTAACTGTTTTAAATAAATTTTTATACAAAAGCAATATGATAATTAAATTTAAAATTGTTTATTTATAAATTTGATAGATTTATTACAAATGGATTGATTACATAATTTTGGTATTACAAATAATTTTATTTCATATTTATAAAATAATCAATTTTTAAAGCTATCGTAATTTTTATATCAATTCGGATATACATGTAAAATATAGTAATAATGTAGTAAAATATAAACTGTATTAATTTTAAATTATAAACAGTTTTGAAAGTGTATTTATCATTACCGTAATAATAAACCATTATTACATGTATTAAATACTAGCATTTTCAAAACATTGATGTAATTAAATTAAATAAAAAAATATTTGATATCAATTTAAAATATGAATAATATGATATAAAATAAATTGTAAATATAAACATTCAAATTTAGTTGTCTATAATATCCAATTGAAGTATAATAATGTTTTAAAAATACATTACCAGTAATTCTTTAGTACTAATAAGTTATAAATTCAATTATATATTTTTGTTTTAATAAATAAAAATTTAATATTATTTTACTAATAATGTAAATACATGATAAATGAATTTATGCAATGTAACGAACAAGATTATTTTGAATTTTTTGTAAATAATATTAAATACAATATGTATAATAATAAACATATGAAACGTTATGTTAAAATTAAATGCTTGTTATGAGAGTATTTTGATTTAAATGATTACGATATTTATAAGTTAATGTACGGTAAATGTCGACAATTTATATCAAAATCAAACCCTTAATATTTCAAGTGAATTATTATAGCAAATGGCAATCCAATCGGGTTGAGTACTGGCCCATTGAATTTGGTTTATTTCACATTCAGCTGTATAAGCGAGAATAGGATCCTCAATGGCTCGGGGCATCTGCTGGATGTCCCAAATGAGTGCTTGATGGTCGTCGGCTAATATTATTTAATTTAAGTATAAATAACATTTCAAATAATTTTAAATAAAACAAATAAATACCTGCTGTACAGATATGACACGATGAATGTGGTGCCCATGCGATGCCATTAACACAGGCTCTATGGTTATTGAGTCGGGCCACTGGAGTGCACGGCACGCGTACGTCCAAAATGATCACTTCACACGCGTCCATCGCAAATGTGGCCAAATAATTAGGATCCTGTTTGTTCCAGGCCAGTCGTAACAATGGGTGATGTTGTGGATCCTCATAAATGATAGTCGAGTGCTCCAAATGTCTTAAATCAAACATTCGGACGGAACCGTCGGCACCAACCGAAGCAAACATATCGCGTCCACCGCCGGCCCGACTAAATGCTATGTCATAAACTTCTTTGTCATGTGCTATGAGTTGTGTCTTGACGTGTCCGGAGACCAAATTGACGCGACCTATCACTTGTCCTGTTTCGAGGCCCCATATGGTACACGTCGTGTCTATGCTGGAGGTGCCCAACAGGTTCGGGTCCACTTCATTCCAGTCAAATGAGGTCAATGGCGCACAAAAATCTGAATTTTTATTCTGTGTTCATTCATTATAAACAAAATTTAAATAATGTTTAAAATTAATAAATAAATGTTTAAATAAAGTATTACATTGTTAAGTAAACATTCGAGTCGTGTCTCAGTGTCTCCGGCCCTCCAAACCCTCAGATAGTCACCACTTGTAGCCAATAGATCGGGAAAAATGCCTTTAGAGTCGGGAATCCACATAATCTTGGTTGTCGGGTACGGGTGATCAAAGGTCGACTTGGCCTCAAACTCGGTTGACTCCTCATCTAATGCAACGATCTGTACCTATAATATGCCAAATGTTGTCATTAATAACAATTATGGTATTTATACAATAATATATCAATCATATTAATCAAATTAACATAAATTATACATTTCATTCAAATTAATTGCATAATATTCATATCAATTTTGTTAACTATAATACAGTTTAATAATAGTTTCAACCGCTATAAGTTAAAATAAATTTTAATTTTATTGTTTATTATTAATTAAACCTATTTTTAATTAAGTTAATAAAGTTTTAATTATTTATATGTAATTATAATTAACTTTCTATTTTTATAGGATATACAGTATATGATATAAACTGTAAGTATTGTCTAATTAATAATATACCGGTATATCATATCATATCATATGATTACTTAATAACTACTAATAACTATATAAAAACTAATTACTAAATAAAAATGTATAGATTTGATGTCAATTATTATAAATTAAATTAAAATTGTGATCAAAATAAGTGACAAATACTTTGTTATTGTACTCCTCGATGAACGACCCGAGAGCTAATCGGAACCGTTTGTCGGGTCTGACCGACCAATTCATTGAATACACTGTCCATTGGGCCTCATATTTGTAGATCTCTTTGCGCTTAGTTTGAGACACAGATGAAGCCATCGATGCCGAGGAATGGACAGCCATTGCCGGCTATGACAGTCACCGAGTCGTCGATTAGGTGGTCAATCAATTAAATGTCACACAATTGTCATATAAAACAATTTAATCTGAGATAATAATTGTTGGCAATAATAAAATTATCACCAGATTTGGTCACCAATTAAATCGATACAAACAATCGTTTATTTAAATGTTTTTTGTTTTTTAGTGATAATTAACTGATCGCACAAATCATGATATCATTGATGATTGCATTCACACTAATAACACATATATTGCGATAACAGTGAGTATTGTTTAAGCAATTAATCGCTTTGTTGTCTAATATATCAACTCAATAGTCAATCTCTCAACAAATTAGCAATCAATGCATTCAATGCATTCAATAACAGGTATTAACAATACAGTAGACTATTATTGTTTTCAATGCATTATTACATTCATATATTATGTATTAATACATTACATTCAATCGGTAAACAATTTAATCAACTTTTCAACCATAAGATGGAGCAAAATATTGCCGTAAATATTAAAGTAAAATAAATTTACAATACATTTATCAATGAATGAATCAATTGTCATATTAAATACATTATGTGCTTAATTACATATAATTATTAGTTTAAACAAATGCAATACATTTAACCGATTAATACAACTAAATGTTTATTTAATTACAATTTTTATTTTTTTCTCCAACTATTCAAATGTTTTGTCAAATTAATTGCTATTTTATGTCTAATAAAGTACTGTATAATCAAAACAAAAACATTTTTCAAACGTAATCTATGGATAATATATGATATCACTATAGGTTTACATAATTATAAATACGATTAATATATAATTTTTAAATATTTAATTATAAATATAATTCTTAACATTTTATCAAATTTAATATCAAATATATTTAATAAATAAATATAATTCTTAAATAATTTATTAAAATTTTTAATAACTCAGATGTAATCTAATAATAAAATATCTTAAATTTAATTTATTAAAGTTATTTAATCACATATAAATTGAAGTATTTATAATATACAGGTAGATATAGAGTATTATTATAAAATGAATATTATTATTAATATTTTATAAGATATTTAGTTTAATAAAATATAATTAATATAATATTATGTAAATAAATAAATAAAAATAATTTAAGTAAACATATAATGACTTAGTTTAGGGGACTGACTGTATAAAAGTGTAGAAAACTATGATTACGACAAATATCTACACATAAGTTGTTTATACTTTTGTTTATTAATCTATTGTTTTGTCATTAATTAATGTGTAATAACTGATTATAATCACACTTTTCATTGCAATCATTATAATCAATGGTTTAGTGTTTTATAAACGACTATTTTGTTACAAAATTTACAGTTAATTATCAATAGTTTTTGCCAACAATAAAGTGATGACAGAAGTGTAATATAATCATCCATTTGTTGATTTGATGATCACTTGAAACAGTTGGTCCACAACAAGACTGTGGTTTGTTTATTGACATTAATATAGCTGTCATTGACACGGATGTGATGGTTATGTCACTCAAAGTTATATATTGATATCAATTAGTGTTTGTCCTGATTGTTGGCCATTGATATGGTATTGAATGAAAAGCCATTGATCGACGGCATCGGCAACGAAGTGGTCATTTTTGCCACCGCTTTCATTGGCATTGCTATTACTGTACTCTTCATTATCATCAAGAGGTTAACCATTTATTTTGTCGTTTATTTTATTAGTTAATTATTATTTAATTAAAAAAAAATATTTTTTGGAAATTTAATTTTTGTTGTTTGCAAAAGTTTGCATAAAATTTAGACTATTGAAACATATTTAGTAATAAAAGTTTTAATTTTAAATACAAATTTGAAGGTTAGATAATATCAATTAATAAAATGTAATTAAAATGTGTGTTAATGTCTGGCCTTGATATTCATTATCTCATTGATCGATGTCTTCAATTGATTTAATAAATGGTTAATCGCGTGAAACCATATCTTACACTAAAAAATGATAACTAAAGAAATGCTTTATTTATAGTTTATAACCAAAATTACTTTTAAATTGATTATTAATTTAAGTCATTTAATGGTGTAATCCTTGGATCTAAGTCTAAGTCCAGTCTGTGGACTAAATAATAATTTTGTTTGAATAGTATTTTTAACTATTTATGATGAAATAAAAAGAAATATTTTAATTAAATTTATTATGTATTAAGAAATGTTTTAATAATAGTTTATGTGTTGATTAGGTGTCGGAGTGTATACTATCAGCGCATCCATCCGTCAAACGAGTCGGTGGTCAACGAAACCCGCGAACACTTAACTCATTTGTTTTCCAATCGATTTGTCAGAAATTCTAACACTTCTAACACCATTGATGACAATAATGACATGAATTTAGTTAACTCTAATCACTACGGAATGGATAATCAGTGTCCCGTATGTCTTAATGAGCCCCGATTCCCAATTGAGACCAATTGTGGACATTTATTTTGTGGTATGTTGTCATCTATTTGAATAACATAATTAACAATACTTTGATGTTGTTTCCGATGATTAGCTCAATGTTTGATAGTGTATTGGCAACATGGTCAATGGAGAGGTGGTCCCATCAAGTGTCCTGTATGTCGACAACAAGTGTCTGTAATGTTACAGTGCTTCCAACCAAATACTGTACTATCAGATGAAGAGTCGTCAGAGAGATCACGTATAATGCATGACGTGAATGATTATAATCGTCGTTATTCAGGAGCTCCCCGTCCGGTAAAGTTATGGTTACCGGCTTTCGAGTCGTTAAATTCATTTCTTGATCTCATTTGAATCGCTAATTTACATCTGTGTTGTTAATTATTGTTTAGTTAATGGATTATATATACGATTTACCCACACTTTTGCGTCATTTGACCTCAGAGTTCTTCACAGTCGGTGGACTAATGTATATGTTTAGGATCCGCATTGTTCTGTGTTTTGTGGCCGCAATTATGTATTTAATATCGCCTTTAGATATGATTCCCGAGGCTGTCTTTGGCCTCTTTGGTTTACTCGACGATATATTTGTTGTATTATTGTTGGCCATATATGTGACTATTATTTATAGAAGATTTTTATCGAGAAGATGGGAAGAGGAACCACAATAATATATCAATTGTATTGTAATTTTAATCAAATAATAGCTAATCAATAGCCAATTAGATAAAAATATTTTATTATAAAACATCAAAAAATGCCTTTACATTACTAGTCATTTAGTCATATTTGTTGATTTTATTATCACATAATATATCAAATATTGAGATACTTTCAAAACATGAATTTGTTTTTATTACGATATAATAACTGAATTCAATGTTTTAGTTTGTCAATGGAAATTAAAGCAATGGATTTCGATATATTTGACTTTTATGTGGTATTTACTGAATATTAATTTTATAATTTTTGGAGATCTAAACTATAAAATATTTTAATTAATGATTGAGTGCCTAATAGCAAATTTAATTACCGGTAATTAATAGTTTGCTGATAACTGATAGGTATAACTTTTATAAATATATTTTACATAACATGTGGCAATTGAATTAAAATTAAAAACAAAATTTATATGAATAAAATTTATTTTTATGTGTTATTTATTGAAACTTAAAAAATGTTTTATATTTTAATAATAGTGAGAATTTTTGAGACAACTCTAATGGATATTTCCATAAAAATATTTCTATACATTGTTTATAACTTTTACTGTGATTCAATGATTATGTTAACCAAGCTTAAATACTGAAAATTATTTTTTTTTGTTAAAAATAGTATAAAATAAATTTGTTATAAATTACAAATTAAATGATATTGTTTTTATTACAATCTAAATAAATATAAATTTAATTCAATTAAATATCTATAATCTAAATACTTAATAGATGTTATAATTAAATAAAATTTGGAAACAAAGTGTATTTTATGTTTGTGATTAATAAAGTTATTAAATTTATAAATAATTTTAATTCACTGATTTAAATAATCTAAAAAATTATAGAAATAAAATACAATACATAATTAGATAAAAAATTATATAAATATAGATATGTTATACCCGTATGATATTGTATTGTATATCTGTATTTATTTCATACAGAGTTTATAATGTATTTTGAAAAATTGAGATTAATATACAGTAATTGTAATTCAAAGAGTTTACAGAAATTTATTTGAATTTGAAATTTTGATATAAATATTGAAATACAAAGTCTGAGAAACACTCAAATCTGTTCTACTCTTCTTCTCCTGATTTTTGACTTCTTCTCCTTCTTCTGCGTCCACCCTTTCTTCGACCTCCAGACCGACGACGGCGTCGACCGCCAGATCGCGATCGACCTCCTCTTCGACTTCTCGAACCAGATCTTCGTCGACGATGTCTCGACTCCGCAATCTTTCCGCCGGATTTCATTGAAGCCGGAGACCAATCTTCGTCGTTCTCGTCGTCAGCCATGAGGTCGACATCAATGGCCATCTCTTCTTTCACCTCTTGAGTGTTCGTCTCTTCAGACTTGACTTCGTTTTCTTTTGGATTCATTTCTGAATTGTCGAGAATTTTGCCGATAAAATCAAAGCAAGAATTTGTTGTTTAACTCAACGGTTGATTGAAATGATTTGAAATGACTTTTGAAATGAATTCAATTAAACAGATTCACAATATTGTTGTCAATCGCGTGAAATGTTATAAATTTATATTGTAATAGTCTTTATCTAATATCGTATATCAAACTTATAATCAATTAAAAAGTTTATATTGTTTTGTTCAAAATCATTTGGAAAGTGATTTGTTTAAAAGTGTAAATTGTGTGAAACTAATAGTTAAATGTTTAGATAAATATATATGTATTTAATTAATTGTTTCAAATTATATTTAGTTTAGTTTGAACCGAAATATTTTACAATCAATTATATAAATCCTATTTTATTTAAACTTTGTAAAACTTTTTTAACTTAATATTATTCATTTTAAACAATATTTTAACATTCAATTAGATATTATTTGCTGACAATTTTAATATAAATTTATGTTACAAATAATAAATTTCATATAATATATAGTACCAGTAAATGCAATCAAAACAATTTAGTTGAATCAAACAAATTATATGAAACAAAATTTATTGAATGAAAACACAGTAATTATTGATGCAATGCATACAATGCAATGCAATGCCAGTACAGTATTAACAGTATTGTTGTCGTTGTTAACAATGTTTAGTGACTCTCTCTATGACTACAAACTGACAGTCGATTAGCATTGGATAGCATTGAGAGAGTTGTGCTGAACGTTGTGTTGAGTCAGTCGTCAACAATACAGTCATTGCATAACATTGTTATCTGACTTTGCATTTAGTGTTTTGTTTAGTATTTTTAAGTTATTTTATGATATAATATCATATAAACAGTTGAGTGACAAACAAAATCATCTAAAAAATCACCGATTAATACATTATTGTCAATCATATGATGATTTTCAATCACATACTAGTCTTAGTTGTGCTCACTTTAGGATCAGTTGTGAGCAAAGCTACAAACGGATCAACTGATGGCAAGACGTTTGAAGAAAAGGAAAGTTGTTATCAATTGTGTGACAAAACCTATTCATTACATACTTATCCTAAGGTAAGTCATATTTATTACATACCTATCCATAGGTAACATAATATCATGTGATTTAGTTATAATATATAGGATATAATATTTAATAACAATTGAATCCTTGAGCTCATACCTAACGTTTTAAACATTTAATTGTCTAACAGTCCCAACACTTGACTGCATGTCAACGGGGATGTCGTTTCTCAATACTATCTCATCTAAATTTGGCCAAAAACTCTGCAAACTCACTGATAACTGATCCCAAACTTGTGACCAACAATTGTATTCATTGTAAGTATTGTTATATTTAATTATTTTAAACCTGTTTTGTGACAACTTATGCATTGAACGCATCATTTGTTATGCGTTTATGACAAACATTTTGACATAAAATACATTTGTTTTTAATATAAATATATTTTTATATAACATAATATTAAACAATAAGTTTAACAAAAAAGTTATTAAATATTTATTAAATAAAAAACATTGGTTTACATGAATTTTGTGATATAAAATGTGTTAGAGTATGAAATTGTATACGATTTCGGTTTGGTTTACAAAATGGTTTATTGATTTATCTTTTGATTGTGTTGTTATAATTTAGAAATTATCATTTTTACATTATATATATATATATATATATTAAAAATAAAGAAATATAAATCAATATTAAAGTTACTGTCAAAAATAAAAATATTTATAAGGTATGCAAATCTAATTTATAATTTAAAAAATCAATTTATCATTCATTGTACAGTATTTACAAAATTATGGTTTGGATTTTTAGAAATTTAGGCTCAAGTTTCTAATATTTAATTTATATCTAATACTATTTTACATAATATAATATATAACTTAAATATTTTGATATTAAACATAAATGTTTGAATGTCATGAAAACTATAGAGCAATTTAATACATTAGCAAATCTAATAAAAACAATTTTCTCTAAAAATACTATATTATTATTATGTAACCATAATTATATTTTTTTTATTAATTTTTATAAATAAAAATAAAATTCATTATTTTATTTTTTTGCCATTTAGACTGTGGTTTGTTTAAATTAATATTATTAATAATAATAGTTTTATTTACATATTTTACATCATAATAGTTTAGATTATTTATAATGGCTTAATTTATTCAATTATATTTTCAATTTGAAATGATAGCTATTGTTAAGCTTATTAAATGAATAATTGTGTTTAATTCAATTTATTTTTATCCTTTTATTGCCAATAGTATGCAAATGATGTGACAAATAATAGAAAGATATTTTATTTAAGTTTCATCCCAAATTGATTACATTTATTGTGATATCAATTTATGGCAGTATATATAATGAAATCGTTAAATTAATGATCAAAAAATGTTTTTGACTTAATTTTATTTATATAATCTTATGTTAAAACATTTGGACAGTAATTTGTGTTTTTTATAAGGATAATAAGTTAGTCTCAAAAATAATATAGTGTTTATTGATTTTTCAGGCAATTTACGAGATTTTATATTAAGTTAGTACTTGTATATAGTGTTGGATATGTGAAACAAAAGCAATTTCATTGAGTCAACAACACCTCCACAAAACATTGATAATAATGAAACCCTTTTGATGTATATTGTCATGTCTTATGTTATTAATTTAAAATCATTAAAAATCATTGAAGCATAAAAAACACACACAAAAACATTTTATATTATAATGTATTTACAGAAGTTATTTGAAACGGGTTTTTAAATTTAATTTACTTAACATAAATAATTAGATTTTTGTCTTTTACTCAAAATTTTTATTCATATCTAATTCATTTATAATGATTATGAGGATTCAAATAATGTAATACTGCTAATTAAGACAAGAATAATACTGTTTTCTATATAAGTTACTTTATTATTATTATTATTATGCAGTTAATTATACACTTATAGCTAAAATAATTGATTATTGTTAAAAGTTTTAAAATAAGTTAAACTTAACAATTAAATTTTAATATTATTTTAGTGTCAGAACAACATTGATATATATTCCGTATAATAAAATTGTCATTACTGTACATTACATTCATATGTTCAGTACTTTTACTATCAAAACAAATGACTTAAGCAAATATTAAAAAACAAATGAAAACTGACAAAAATCAATACATTTAAAGCTCACTGTTATATACTTTGCATATATTGTATATTCAAAAACTATTATGACATTAATTATATATCAAGAACTTAATTATTAATATTTTAGTGTTCATGTATACAATGTGTAAGAAAGAAATTGTTATATATTTTTCTTTAATGTTTAGTTATAATTTATTAGCTAATTGTCAAATAAGCTAAATTAAGCATTTTTAATATTATCTCAATATATATGTTTACAAAATTTTTAAAAATATTATTTAAATACAATATCAGTCAATTAATAAATTAGCAAATTATTTTTGAATGTTTTATGTAATTATAATGTGTAAGCTGGTAATGGTATGTTTTATACAATTTATTAGCATTACTATGCATTGTATTAATTTAATTGCAATATGCATTTGGTATTATAAGTTTATATTATAGTTTATAAACTATATATTACTATTTATTTAATATATGCTGCACAATACCGGTAATAATTTTATATTAAATGTTTTCGTGTGATTTATCAAATTTAATATAATTCCCGATTTTATATGTTACTTAAATATAAGACCTAGGTTATATATTTTTGAATAAATGTTATAAAACGTTTATTTTTTTAATACTGTATTTTACTTTTATTGATATTTAAAATAAATTATTAAATTTACTTATATAAATACTTAACTAACAATATATTTTGAGATATATTAAAATATTAGTTTATTATGAATTTTTTATTTAATTTATATTAAATTACCGTAAAATGTTTCTCATTACGAATAATTTAATGCTTGTGAGAGCACATAATTATATGATATTTAAATAACATAATTGATATGAGTTGTAATCTAAACTTATGTTTTTAAACGGATAGATATCTGTATCGATATTATACAATGATTTTGTTAAGCTTTTATACATCTGCTATTAACTAACATTTTTTAAATCAATTTTTGCTTATGATTGAGATATATATATATATATTCATGAAATAACTAATTCTATTATAAATACTTCTAATAATATTTATTTATAAAGTATTATTATACAGTATATAATGTAATTTTCGTATACTGATGAATGACTTGGAAAACATTTGTACATTTTTTTATTATATTACTCGCAATAATGACTTTATTACATGAATTTCCTAAAATTAATTACTTTCACATAAAATGGATTTTGTTTTATTTCTCATAAAATATTGTAATCAAAAGGTTATTTGTGTTTTAATGTACAAAAATATTTAGTTTATTTGAACTATAATTTGTAAGTTAGTTATCGAAGTGTCACAGAATCGACAAGAATTGGCTCTTAAATTGAAAATTATTCACAATATAATTATATATATACTGAAAATTCATATTTGAAATTCTATACTCTTATTGATTGAATGTTTATGTTATCATTTTAACATAAAATGAAAACAAATAATATTAATAATTTATTTGACGTCTATTATATAAATTTGTGTCACGCATAACATAAAATCTAAACTAAAGTTTAAATTATTGCAAATTACAAAATGCAAATGTAAAAATTGAATTTTAAAATGTTATGTATATTAAAAATTTGTTTTGTTAATTTTAGGGTAGTTAAAATATTAAAATAAAAATTTATATTAGATAAATAAAAAACTAAATTATTGCACTAAATTAACACAACTACATATCAAAATTGCAGTAAAATGTAATTAAAATTTATTTAATGAATTTAAAATATGCATAAAAAAAGTTTTTAAAGGAGACTTTTATGCTATAGTTGACTCCACTGAATGTGTCAAATATATCCTCACATTTATAAATAATTTTTGTTTTTAATGTCAACTTAAGTTGTTTTGATTAAAAACGTTTTCAATCAATTTCTTATTAAATTTTCATTTTCTAAATTCTCTATATCTTTCAATAATAATCTAAAATAAAATTTTATTTAGTGGTATATTTTTGTAATATCTATTTATATTTTAAGATTTTAAATCATTAGTTATCTGAATTTAATTTTGAGTTTTATTGACTGTTAGATTTTTACATAATTTTTGTTATTGATTTGATACATTTGAAAAAAATGATTTAATTTGTGTGTTAAATCAATACTGTGTATTAAACACAATACACTATGTTTGACACCAAATGGTATAATCAGATCCAAGTGAATGCACAGTTTTGAGATCAGTTATAACTTATAAGTCATGTTATTCTCAACAACAAACCGATTATATATGAAACCATAAAAGTTGTACTTATTGTTAAAATCAATAATTTTCTATAATATTTGGTTGCTTTCACTCTCCGCAAGAATTTAACGATTGAACTGAATTTTGATATTATTTTTGTTGATATTCTTGTTATAAATACTTGCGATTATTGTTGACTCAACTATAGGGCAATAAAGGCTAAGAAAATACTTGTGCTCTCACTTGGAATATAAGGCTTGAATTAGTCATCAAATGATAGATATTAAAACTCAAAGCTATTTATTAGAAAAATAAAGTCAATAATGTGTTACACTTTTTATTGTTTTTATTTCCCGAGGCTTACTATTGACTACAAAATAGTATTCAATTTAATCAATAAATATAATTTATAAGAATTTGTAAAATATTTATTATTAAATATTGAATAACAGTTTGACAATAATGAATAAATGAAAATTTAAGCAAACATTGAACCTTTAATTAATTAATTCTGTGTTCAAATTATTAGCATTTGTCATTAAATTACGGTATTATAGCCGTTAAAAATATTAAGTTTACAAATTATAAAAATTGAAATTACATGAAATAATTTTTCTTGAGTATATTTTAATTAATTAAATTCAATAAGTATCAAATATCTTTAAATTTCATCAATTACTAATTTTGACAATTATATTGATTTAAAACATTAATGGTAGTACTATACAGTATAATCTCTATACTATTATTTTAATACAATATTTTAAACAAAATATTTGTTTTTTATAATCAATTAAAACAAATATTTAGTGATCACTAATGAAAGATATATTTTTTAAAGAGGTGTTTAGCAAATCTCTCAAATATTAATATATTTGTCAAAAATAATCAACTCTTGATATTTCTAGTATATGGGTTACAATTGTATTATTGAAATTAAATTAATTGATCAAATAATGGTAGAAATATTTTGTTTTATATACTTTAGTTTTATACTCTCAATACATAATCTCTTTATTTTATATTCATGTTCTCGTTTTAAAACAATTTCATGAGAAAATCATTAAAAAAAATACATTTGTTGATCATTTTATTGCATATATGTATAAACTTATATGTATGCATACGTGTAAAATGATTTATCTCATAATAAAACAAATTTTCTTATACTTTGAACATTAAAAAAGCAAAATTCTATTGAATTATTTTGCTTTATAAATGTGATTTTGCAAATAAATTTAATTATTTTGATATATAAATTATAATACACACATATTTGCATAGAAAGTAATAATATTAAAAATGTATAAAATTCTTAGATAAATACAAACAATTGATTGAATACTGTATTTATTGTTAAACAAACGTATATAAAATATGTATGTTTTTGTGAACTGTATTTACTCGATATGGATATAAGTGATTCATAAATAAAAAGAGTGAAAAATGATGTTTTGCAGCAATAAACCATTTTTCTATTTGAATGCAATTTTTGGCATTCAATTTATTTTTGTCGAAAAAACTCAAGAAAATATTTTTTATATTGAAAACTAAAAAACATATACTTTTAACAATACATAAGCCATGTCTTAATTCATACAAAACATCCCTTTGGCTATCATTTTTCATAAACAAAAAACAAGAATAGTATGATTAGATATTCTGATGACAATAACATATGAAAAATGATATATTATATAATTATTATTATTATTATTATTATTATTATTATTATTATTAGTAGTAGTAGTAGTAGTAGTAGTGTCATTACATTATAAAATTTAATTGTATTATGAAACATTAATATTATTGATTTTTTAAATAAATTACTATATACACTATATTATGGATAAACAATTTATAATTTATAAATCATAAAAATTATACTATAAATTAATATTTATTATTGTTGTGTGGCTAACGAGCTGTATAATTATAAGTTTATATTATTATTATTATCATTATCTAGATTTGTTTATATTGTTTTTGTCAATAGTATTAATAATGTGATGAAGTAATTAATAAGTAAAAAGTGATTATATGAATGTTTGAATGATATTTGTAGATATATTGTTAAATCTCATTATACAGAGTATGAGCGAAAATAGTTGTTTTTATCGATATTTATCAGCCATTGTAGACACGAATTGAAGCGAAAAACTAATCATCTCTTTTTTTTTGATTGCATGACTCCTACTATTGTTGTTAAATAGTGTACAATATGTTATTTTTTCAATTTTTTTAGTTAGACCTCAAATATTAGCGCATTTGTCTAAATTGTTTTGGATTTTATGACATAAATTCTCTGTTGACTACAAGTGGTGTCACATTATAAACCTTTTATCCGATAATTGTTACCCTATTTGTGACATTATTTTTCTGTTATTCTTAGCCTTTGAAGCGTTAACTCATTTTACAATTTTACAGACATTTGGTTATCACATCATTTGATCTCAAACTAAGTAAAAAGTGGAAAAATAATTCATTAGTCAAATGTTTAATATTTAATTAGATTAACTGTAATGCAATTAATATAAGAATATATTTTTTCTCACACTTGAGTGCAAATATTTAAATAATAAATAATATTAATAATATAAAAAATATAATTTATTGGATTTATGATACTTAAAAATTTAATAGAAAAAGATTAATATTACAGTAATTTCAGGGATAAGATTTGTTAACAAAAGAATATTCTGTAGATTAATTGAATTATATTATAAAGGTTATGAAAATATAGACATTTAAATAAGTAATAAAATAATTATAAATATAATATATATATTTTATAAAATATAAATTTCAGGATATAAATGATTTGTAATAATTTTTAAAATAATATTTGGTAATTAAATAACTTTTTTGTTATCGAAATTAGATGAAAATTAAAATTATTATATTAAAAATTATTATAAATAAATATTAAAAAATCACTTAATATTTCTTAACTTATAACTACAATAAGTATAACATATTCAGCATTAGATATTATTATTAATATTTCAATTTAATAAAGAGCTTTTCAATTTTATTATATTTATATTGAAAATTTTTTAACAACTAATTCAATTAATGTATAATATCGATATAATGTTAAAATTATTATTATGTTTAAATATATGTAATGAATCATTACTAATGATTATAAAATTAAATTTTAACTAAAATCACTTGATTTGATTTATATAAAACTAAACTAAATATAATAAAATATAAAATAAAGAAAACATTGAATCATTGTTTTGATTAATTGAATTGAATGTTATTTTAACAAATAAATGGCATAAGAATTATAATTAAAAATATTGATTTAATACTCTTATAATATACGATATTCACAGTGTGTTTCCTTAAACTGAATTTATGCCAAAAGTTATGACAAAAAGGGATTTCAATGCTTTTCTTAGAAGAGATGAATGATATAAATAATTAATGAGATTTAAAGACCGGATCCCAAACAATACCAACTGATTCACACTATCTTCTTATATCTTCTCTTGTGATGAACTATTCAGTGTTTTCTCGAAGACTTTTATTCAATATATGATTTAAAGTCAATCACTTGATACCCAATGAGTGTAGATCTCAGACTTGGTCTATATTTTCGTGACACGAATTGATTTGTTTTCAGTCTTACAATTGTTTCTGACACGAGATTTCTCAAGTGATGTATACTTTTGATTGATTTTGTTTTGCTTTTGATGTCAATAGACGTCAATTCAGTTTATTATATTAATATTATATTATATAACTTATAACAAGCAATTGTTTTGACTGTGTTTGAGCTGATTATCACATGAATTATTCTAAATATGACATCCGATGCCAAACACAACATGACTATCAAATTGACTAAATCTCATACATTTTGTTATTTTTAGTCTTATTCATCACTAATGTATTCAATATTTTGTGTCTCTTCTAACAGACACAACATTTGATTATTTTAATTATGAAAATTTGTTTGTGTTATTCGATAAAATTTAATTATTATAGTTAATAATATGGTATTACAAGACATTAATTTATTCAATATGTTTGACAGTTTCCATACTTTATGCGATATCATGGTTATTGTAAAATGATTTACTTTTTTTTAACAATGGTTATCAAAATAAAAGCTTTGAATTGAATTATTATATACGAAACAAAAAAGCTTTTAAATGTTTTTTATTATTTATTTTTTGGGCGCTTTTAAAATGTATTTATTGATTAATAGCATAAAAATATTTTTATTTATTTAACTTATAGACTGTTCCCAAGCGTACGACACGAATCAAAACTCAAGTGAATACTATGCGTGTGGTGTCGGCTGTAATAATGTCCACTTGAGTACAGGTGATAATGCAATCAATTCACACAACAATAGTCCTAAAGTGCATTTCAATACCAATGATGTCGACCAAGTGATCAATGAAGCCATCAGTCATGAGAAGAGTATTATTGATAATGTGGACAAAAATGATAATACAAACAGCAATCAAATGTTTATATCTCCAATCAATTTGTTTCGATCTTTATTCTCATCTCTGGTCAGCCGTACATCGGGTCCCGTAGTGGTCGAACGTTCATCAATGTCTGTATTCTTTAGCCGAGATAATGACGGTCAGTCCAAACTGGTTGTCGTACAGTCAGAGCCTGAAGTGGTGGTCCATCAATATCCAGATTTAATGGCAGTCAATGGTAAGACAATTGTAAACAATAAATCAATGTTTGTTTCACTCATATTTCTATTGATATATCAAAACCAATTAATATTATATAAACTCATATCTCTAAGCCTTACTTTAATGTCACTTATATTTCAGTCATTTTCAAAATCATAATGAGTTAACTTTTAGGCACTTTTGGTGATCCTATCAGACATTTACAACCCTAATCACTGTCTATGTCTACTCTCACAATCGTTTTCACATTCATTACATTATTCCTCTCTTTCCAATCGCTTCTTATTTCACACGACATTCCCATCACATGGATTTAATGTAACATTTTTTACTTTATTTTTCTTATTTATTGATTACTTTTCCAGCTTTACGTGTATTCACTTTTTATGCTAAGATTTTGTTGATTTTTCTCTTATTCTCTCTCTCTCTCTCTCTCTCTCTCTCTCTCTCTCTCTCTCTCTCTCTTAGTCTCACACAGTCTTTTTCAATATCTCTAATTTAGTGTCTAATATCATCTCTTTCTTTCATTAATCTAATCCTTATTTCACGAAATTTATTCCCTTTTCGTGTAATTTATAAACAACTGATCATTATTTTTCACTATTGTCTTACTTAGAGATCATTTAAACTCTACTAATATTAAAGCATTTCATTGCACATAATCTCGACAGCACTTCACTCTATATTGTAGTAGACTTTTGGATCAGTTAATGATTTTTGTTTAATATTCACATTTTTATTTCTGCATTCAATGCATTTTTGGTTTAAAATTGCATTAAATGTATTGTAAACTATACGGTAATGATTCGTATGTTAACAGAATATACAGTATAATGTAAATCTTATGTGAAATATTATATAGTGATCAATAATTTATGTTATAACTGGACATTTCATAACATCTATCAAAGAGAAAAATTAAGTTTAAAATTTTGAATTACCCGTAGACTATATTATGTTAACATTAGATAATCAAAGCTGCATAAAGTTATTATAAAATAATACAGTATTATTGTAAATTGTAAATTATTTCAATTAATGGTATTTTGTTATACTTAGATTAAATATGTATAATTATTTTACGGTTTAAAAACAGTAAAATAATTATACATATTTATACTAAGATAGTTTACAGTTTTAATGATAATTATTAATTATTAACATTTAATGTATTAAATATTTTCTCAAACTATTATTTATTGATATCTAAGTTTCATCTAAATGTGTTTTTAATAGTTGATAAAATGAGAAATAATAATTATTTTACTCATTTCATAACTTTTTAATAAATAATAAACATTTAATTATATTTTTATTAATTATTATCTATTTAATTATTAAACTTTCAAAATTTTCCTAATTTAATCATTTATACTGTACAGTATAATCTACATCAATCTTAACCTATTATAAATTAACCAATTTTTGTAATGTCCAGATAAAACTGTATGATTTAGTCACTATATTATGAAATAGATTACTAATACAAAATAAATCTGTTATTTTGTTTACATATAGTTATTGACAAAATAGTATCGATTAGATGTTTTGCTTGAAAACAAATTCTTATAAATACATGATATATGAGAATATTAGTAATAAATAATAGCATTTACTTAAATTAACAATAATTTTCGTTTAATCTTAACAGTAAACATATATAATAAGTAAAATGCATTAAATATATAGATTACACAATTGATGTGATAATATATTTTAGTAAATAATGGAATATTTATTTAATTGATTTATAAGAATATGATAGCGAATCGGTTACCGGTAGTGAAGAACACATAACTACTGATAATAATCGGCCAAAAATAGATGTTTCTCTTTGGTCTCAAGAGAGCCCATTAAATGTGGTACACAGTAGACATGTAGACAATAGTTGGTCCAATTGCTTTCCATACGAATCAGGTGTTCCCCGATGGATACTGGGCACTGCCCTATTTTTAGCCATATTTGTATTGGCCTGGATATGCTGTGCCACTACAGCTACAGCACCGGAACAGCATATCAGAACTCGCAAAGTAATTGATTAATATTATCTAATAGTCTGTTAAAATTAATATCACAATTAATACTCTGTTTATTTGATGTACAGATAGGACAGGGAAGTGATCTCAAGTACCTTTGCCTCTATGAAGAGCCCGTCAAAGTTATCATCGACGACAAACTTCCCACTTATGAGGAACTGGAGGCACAAAATGAGTTAACAGTCAAAACTATTTGTAGTAATGATAACAAAAATATTGGCGACACTAAACATTAATATGATTGTTAACATTGTTTATATCTTTTTTAATTTGTATTATTTTTTCTAATTTATGATTTCAATGATATTTGTTAAAATCAAATTAATTTGTTTGCACACTTACCTAAGTTTTCAAATTTAGTTGTAAATTTAAATTGTATATCAATTAACTAAATAAAATTTATTTAATGAAATTTTAATTCTCTTGCGGCAAATTAAACTCTATATGTACTATACATTAATATACAAATTGATGATTTGATCCAAATTTTAAATTCAATTTTAATTATTTACTGTATATCAAAACTACGGTAACGCTATTTATAATAGCTTAGAATTATATTTATTATTTACTATTTTTTAAAATATGAGACACAATTATTGTGCGATTGACAACATATCACAATCTTAATTACAATATTTGGTTAGTGACTGAGGTTTTCTATCCATTTGTTTCAATTGTATCAATAGATGCCAAATCTGATGTTGAAGTCTGAAAATGATATATTTTTAAATATAAGAGTCGGTTACAAATCCTTTAATAATTCTTTTAGTATTTATAATTAATTAGTTTGTTATTTGTGAAAACATAAAGTGATTATTTTTTATTGTACAGATCATGCAATTAATGTCAAACAATTATTAGTATCGGTAATAAATTAAACTACAGTTAGTAATACTTTTTACATATATTTATAAATAATTAATCTTATAAAAAATGTTTAATTTAACTTAATGTTTGAATCTAAAACAAAAACTATAAAAATAATGTTAAATCGACACTTAATTAATATTTCAAATTCAGTGCAAATAATAATTGTATGAATAATCTATGATTACATTTGTTTGACTTCTTTTCTATCGATATCACATACATTGATGCCTGAAGTGAGTCCAGTGCTCTCAGATTCGATGGCATTCCTATAGAGGACATAGTGTTGAACAATGAAGAGGACATCAAATAAGATTGATATCATTCCTAAACCAAATTTCGTAAAATTCTTGAATATCGTTAACCAATCATCTAATCAAACAAACAAATCAATTGAATTCATTATTAATTACAATCAATAGATATCATATAATGTAAAACTTTACTGTAATTATAGGCCAATAAAAACATTTGAAGTAAAGAGAGAGAACCGCCGGTAAAGTCAAGTAAAATATTTTCAATACTCCAGCCTATAGTTGACTGACGCTTGTAGTTATACCACGCCTTTGAAAAAAATATATATTTAGTTTACTTTATAAAAATAGTTTTAAAAAATTATATTAAATACTTGTGGTATATATTTTATTATAGTTATGGCTAACTTAACATAAGAAAAACAGTAAAGATATGTCAACCAATTGAACCAATGAGTTGTTGGCACTATAATTGCTAATATAGCAAACACTATCCAAACAATACCGAGAAATGTTTTTATATATATTGAAATTGTTTGAGTTTGTCTCTAAAAAAATTAATTAAATTATCAATTAAATGATAACAAAATTATAATAATAAAGAAATTGGATTTACTTCAAAGATAAAGCATTGAATTATTACTATAGATGTGGCAAATACTGCATGTATTGCAAAAACCACATCATTCAGCTCAACGGGTAATACACTTCTCGGATATCTTTCATTGAATTCGTCTTTTATTTCGGACGAAAAGAAAAGACAGACATTGAAGAATGTGTAGAAAAGAAAACCCGTTATATTTAGTCCTAAAAAATCAAAGTTGAGTCCAACCACTGATTTTCGACGAAAATTGATCCACATTTGAGGATAAAACGAGACCGACCAGGCTAAGAAGTAGATCCAACCAATCACCACACCTATCGTATCAATTGATTTATGTCGAGCAACACTGATCCGAACAAATGCATCCTTAACACTGAAAAACATGTTTTTATCACATTTTATCATTAATAATACATTTTATCAAAAAACACAATTGATTGTCAAACAATACTTTGTCCCATTAATGTTTGTATTGATAATTAAAGTTGTTTTTCCCGGTTCGGCACCTTTTATCTCGATGTCAATAGTCTTTTCATTTGGCTTTATATAATAAGCGATCTTAAATCCATTAATTGTATAACAATTGGATTTATTGTTATTATAATCACTTGGAGTCAATGGGTCTTCACATGAGATCTTTAGTTCAATTATTTCGGTCGGTGAAGGACTTAGTATTTGATTAAAGTTTTTAAATTATTTTATATTATTTAATAAAATAAAATTCAATAAACAGTATAATAACAAAAAATAAAGATTTTTGGAAATTACCTAATATTCAAAGTAAAAGATGTTTTCTCATTGATTTCAATAGCTATGTCTGAAACAGATGTTTTCAAAGTGTACTTTGATTTTAAATCGTTTAAATTTGAAGCAAAACCTTTATTATAGAAATAAATAATTATTACAAAAAAAATAATGTAAATAATATTTAAAATACTCACATGATTTTAATGTATATATGATGAATAATAAATAAATATAATTTTTAAATAATGAAAACATTATAAAACCTAAAAACAAATTAAAAAAATATTTATTATATATAATAAAACAAAAATAATCAATTAAATATGATTTAAGTATTAAAAATAAACTAAACTTTAGCAGATTATTGATAATTTAAAAATATTAAAAAATGACAAATTAATTATAAATTTTGTTAATTACAGAATGATAAAATTTTTACAATTAATCAATATTTAATTAAATAAATAAAAACATGACGTTTAGTTAACTAACACATACAAATTAATATACATATCATATTAATATACAAATATTTTTTTCAATAGTTAACTTACATAAAGTAAAATAAATTCAATGTTTATTATTATATATGAAATACGATTATTAACTTGTTTTCTATAAATATCTCAGGAAGTCTTCGATATAAATAAATATAAACTTATAAAGTATTCAATTGTCCTAAAAAATAACTAATGTTTCAAATTGCAAAATATTGAATACATTTTGTAAAATGTTTAACACTTGGATGATGTTAAACGATACTAACTAACAAACAGTGAAATAAAAATACAATTTTCAATCATAAATAGAGATTAATAAATTATTTATCAGCCTATAGCAAGAGGTGTTATATTAAATGTTAAATATGATATCAATTGGTTTGGTATATAAAAACAATTAGTTTGTGCCTAACGTTATCAACACTGGAATGACTCCGATAGTGAAGTGCATCACTAAATGAATGTATTAATTGATATAATTTTTTTTATATGTAATATATCTATTAATCTTAGAATATCATTAAAAACTATTTTATTGACTCGTGATGTGACAAATGTCTATAAAATACAAAAATACATTTTTTATTTGCTTTATCATATCTTTATTATATCAAAATTATAAATATTTAATTATTATTTAAAACAAAATAGTTTTTAGTGACTAATAATATTTAGCGTGTTTTTCGGTCAATTAAATGCTAAAATATTCATAATTCAAAAAAATGAATTATTGATAATTTTAGATACTTTGTAATTTTTTAAGTAAATTATTTTTTTTATCGAATTTATATATATATTAGTTATTAAATAGTAGTTTCATTAACTGTGTGCAAGTGTTCAATCAATTTATAAAACCAAAGTACACTTTAAATAAATGACTTTAATTTTCTGAAATATTTAATAAAATTCATATCAAATAATAGCAATCACAAGATTAATACAGTAGTGTTACATAACTTATTGTTCCCCATATGTGTGTGACAAACGTATGTTACAATTAGTCATGAATAAAAAACTTATAAATAATGGCAAACACATCAACACATCATTAATTAATATAAATACAGTTTAATACATATTATTATAAACAAGAATATAAATAAATATAAAAATATTAATTATTTCAAAAATCTTTACTTTATATTAAAATGCACTAAATATGAACTTAATATTTGTGGTGAATCTTGAAAATATATTGTAGTTATTATTAGTATATTTTCAAATTATATATCACTTAATTAACATATTAAACAACTTATTTTTATCATTAGAATATCATAAAAAATTATTGCATTTTATTGATATAAACTGTATATTAATATATATAATGTATGATTAAAAATAACTATTCAATTTAATTAATAAATTAACAAAAAATAAATTGTTTATAAATAAATTTTATATTACAGGTAGTTATCAGAAATTATATAAATTTTAATCATCATTAAATTACATGTTATAAAATACGCTTATAAATAAATATAAAAATTTACATATAATTTAATGATAACAATATGATATAGCACTCATTATAACCATTTTTAAATATTTTAAATATTTATCTTAATTAAAAAATAATAATTAGTAATTATTAATTACTAAAATAGTATCAATGAGTCATTTAATTTCGTTTCACTAATAATTAGATCACATTTGACTAAAACAATTGCATAATAGTATAAAGTATTTTTTAAATAAATATATAAAAATCAATTAAATCAAAACTTGTTATTATATACAGTATTATATGTATGCATGCATTCAATCATTTGTTACATACAAATCATGTAATTTACTTTTAAATTCAAATTTTCCTCAAGTGTTATAAGTATTTATTTAAAAATTCATATTTTATTTTTATATTATCTTTTAATTGAAATTTTCAGACTTTTATAAAACATCTAAATTAGTCATTATATAAAGTAATTAAAATTAGTGAGGAGGGGGTGGTTTCATCAATCAGTTTACATGTTTGCCTATAAGCCTATAACTCCTGATATAATACAAATTATTTTTTATTACATAACTATAAAACAATGTGATATTTAACAGAAATTTAATCATTATATTTGTGTCGTCAATGTCTGCCATATATTAAATAATTTTAATATTAAAATAAAACATTTATTTATCATTTAAAAACTAAATTTCATTATACTTTATATTATAAATAAATATAATTTATAATGAAATACAATCACTATTTTATAGGTAATTCAAACAAAATTTCTATGAATTTGCAATTCATTTCATACTACTGTATAGTACAGTATATAAAAGTTTTCAATAATTGAATTATTTTTTCATTCATTAATTTTACACATAATTATCAAGTTTTTAGCAATTTTTAGGAAAATAGGAAATAAAACACATTTTTATATGAATGTATTGATCATATAAATAATTGTATTAATTGTTTTGAATAAATAAATTATTTATTTAAAATAACAGTAAATTACAAATAAATTAGCATTTGATGCATACATTCAATGTATAGCTAACACATGTTTAACAAATTGTTTGACAAACCTATACATTGATGTCATGTCAAGTATTGCCTAATATTAAGAGTATTGATACAAATCATACAATCATTGGATTAACAATTAATCGGTTAATACTATAGTAAAGCAATCAATCAATTAATAGATCGAATGTATAGTCGATTGACATTCAAATGCATTCAATGTTAGATTTGTGTCATCACTTGTAAACAAATGCAATGTTTTAAACATAAATAACGATAAAAATCACTTGAATTGAGACACAAATGTGTTTACTATTTATTATTTGTGAATACATTATAACAATAACACAAAAACATTTCAATTGTCTGTTTGTCCACTAATTTGGTCACATTTTGGTGACAATCAAAGCATTGCTAACAATGAATAATCCACTGAAAGGTAATTATAATGATATTAACGATAAAATATAATAAAAATTGTATGAAAACAGAGATAATGGCTAAACTGTCTCATCAGTCATCAAATAGCGGACAAACGAGGACTGCATGTGTCAAATGTGGTTACCGTTAGTATTGATGATATCATTTTGGCCATCGATGACAATCAATGCAATAATAAATGTTTCTTTTTATGTATTGATGAATAGCCGGTCATTTCACATACCAGTGCCGCAACTTTTTTCGGGTCAATCCATCGCAAGAGATTGTTCTGGACGTGAGTTCTACCAGTTCTGACGCCAGCGATGATGAAGATCTAAACACTTCACTTAAACTCATTGCCAAAGATACTAATGATACTAAAGATAATCAACAATCACAAGACAAACGACACAGAAAGTGGGTTTTGGGTGACAATTGAAAAAGCTTTATATTATATTATAAATTTGTTGTCATATTTAAATAATGGATCACTTTTTAGACACAAGAAGTCAAAGCACAAGAAACATAAGAAACAACACAAACACAGTCCGAATTCTGAAGTTAAACACAGAAGAAGTAGAAGCCGTGAAAGGAGTGAAAGTAAAGATAGGGATAAAAGTAGAGACAAACATCACAAACATAAAAGAGGAAGAAGAGAGTCCGAGTCATCTGATAGTGACAGTGATAGACATCGAAGAGATTCACATAAAACAAGACATAAACACAAACCTAAATCTAAAGATAGTAAAAGAAGGGATGGCTATAAATAAACATTTATTGACTTATTTTTTAATGTAATTCAATGTCCACTTATTGTCTTACTTACCATTACTTTGTTATCTCATTGAAACTAAATTATCAAAACGTAAAAAGATTTTGTTAGTTAATATTTAATACATTACCGTATAATCATTATTTATCGATATATCTAATGTACAAATTTATCATTATTTTGAACATTTGATTAAAAACAATTGTAATTATCAGTGTATAGGTATATTTAACATTGAATTTATGAAACTATTTTTAAAATAAACAAATTACTAAAAAATGATAAAAAAATTTAATGAGTAATAATTATTGATTTGAATAAATATAACCGTAAATGTAGTAAATGTCAAAAAATAAGTTTATTAAACTTGACTTTCAATTGAAATTTTCCATAAATTTAGATATAATTGTAAAAATGAAATATCAATCATTATTTGTCATATATTCATATTCACAAATATACACTATATATATAAATGTAATTTTTAATGATTGCGAAATATATGTATTAAAGTTTTGCATTGAGATCACTGAATAAAAAGTTTTCTGTTGAAAATTAAATTTAACAAATAGTGACTTTGTTTTCAATGTATAAATTAAAATTAATAATCATTTATAAGTCTAAAGTTCAACGAGAGATCCAAACAAATAGTTGTGTTATTATTAATAATAATTTTTTTTGATAAAGACCTCTGAATTTTCAATTAGAAATCGCATTTGATTTAAGTCTTTATAAAAAGTTAGTCGAGAGAAGACTGCGCGACGTTTATTAAGTTATTAATCGTTGATTATAATCAATACAAACACACTTTAATTTACTTTTTAATTTATATTTATTACTAAATGATTTTATCTAAATATTTTGATTAAATTGTTTGATTTTAAGTGAATTTACAATTTTAAGCGCGATATGAAATTAAATTTGTGTAAAGTTGTTATATTTAACTTTTATTTTTGTATTGTTTAGTGAATTTTAATAATATTAATATTACAAAACTGGACATTAATCGTATCCAAAATGCGATTAATTATATTTTATCTGATGATCACTGCTATTGTCATCAATGATATCTCCAAAGTGTTAGTTGAATCTAAGGTACAGTTATGTGAGTCTTCGCCCAAATGGACTGTCAATAATGGAAGAAATATAATGAAGGAATCGTTGGGAAACGTGACTCTCGTTATACTAATTAACGCCTCGTATCGGTTCGGTCTTAAACAGGCATCAAGTCTTGAAAATATGTTAAGATTTCTTAAAAAGTCTGGTCTTAAAGACATTAATTTTATAATAATTAACTCCAAAGACAATGAATCAAAACAAAAGTTTAAAGAATTGTCTCAAAAGGTGTCATTTAATGTCTATCAGGAAACTGACAGTGAATTAGTTTGGACTGCAATTGATGGCGGAAAGGATGATATGTTTATATTTGATAGGTTTGTCATCTCTATTGTCACTATAATTATATTACTATTATTTTATTTTGTTAATCTGTAATTTGTATTATTCCTTAGATGTGGTTTATTAAATTATTACATACCGTTCCCGTTAAGCATTGTTCACGCCCAACAACCTATACTACAAGCGGCCCTTTTGTCGACCTATTTTGATAATCCTTGCACTACAACATGTGATTTAATTGCATCAGAGACTAGTCCTTCAACGACAACCATTATCTCAAACTCAAGCACTGAGATGTCATTTATCTCAAGGCCTGATGAAGAGATAATTACTGAAATCTTAAATGAAACCATTTCTGAACCAAATATTACCACAATTGATGAATTAAAAGATGACAATGTATTTAATGTGGAAACCACTAAAACTAATGAATTGTTTATTGGTGAAGATGGCAGTGGTTCAGGAAGTGGTGATCAACCGATACAAGAGATTTTAGAATTAAATGAATTAATTGTTACAAACATTACGGGAAATAATGACACAAAAGATGAAGAAGAGTGGAAAGTCTTAGATATTTTTAGATCCAAAAATAATCGGACGGATAAAGAAGTTTTTGATGACATTTATAACATAAGTATCACTCAAAATGATTACGATATTCTTGATGTTAACAATGAGACCCAAACGACAACAATTGATAGTTTAGACACCAATAATATTACCAATACTACCGGTGCGACACCCAATCAATCGCAAGCATTTCCTAAACGAACGCGTTTTTCATTATATAATTCTGCCGCACGCGCGAAGTGCGAGACATTCAATAAGTCAATGTGTGACGAGTGGTCTACCGATCGGTTACTTCGGGTTAGACTTTGTTGTCTGACTGATATGACTGCTGATGATGACTCCGGTTTCGGGTGCGGACACTTTGAACGATCCAAATGTAATCAAATGCTTCCTCTAATCAAATGTTGTCTAAAAGACTTCTCACAACTTCTTGAGAATTATTATCAATCAATGAAAACAACTCCACAACCGCTTCGTCAACAATGGGACTGATTTTCAATGCAATTAAATTATTTATAAAACTCAAAATAAGTGTCAAAATATTGTACAAAATTTAAGATATGATATTAAAAAAATATGAGATTATCAGTGAATTCTTGCTAATCATAAAATATTACTCATTTTTTGTGTAAATTTCTTATCATATTTTTAAAATAACTCATAGATTGCAAACATTAAAAATATCATTGATTTTTAAAATAAATAAATCGTATTATAATTTTACATTAATATTTGTTACAATTTATGGAATAATTATAGAAAATATTACTATTTTAGTGATAAGTAAATTTTATTTATTTATCTAAAAATTTAATATTTGATATGATATACTGTATTGTTAATTACTGGTCTTATTATATTAATATTGATTTGTTTAATAAATTTTATATTAATTGTATCGATTACTTAGTGACCAAATTTGCTTCTTTAGCCATTGAAAAGAATATGGAGTCTGGTTTGGCCAACAAATTGTTTGGTGAGTCAAACTCAGCTACCATTCCCTTATCCATCACTAGTATTCTGTCGTAATCAATGATTGTATTCAATCGATGAGCAATTGTTACAATAGTTGATAATGAAAACTCTTTTTTAATTGTTTCCTGAATCAAATCATCAGTTTCCATATCAACAGCTAAAAAAGTATATCAATTTAATAAAATATATTTAGTCTAAAAAAAATTAAATATAATATTATAAATACCTGCTGTGGCCTCATCTAAAACCAAGACTTTGGATCGTCTGAGCAAAGCTCTGGCCAAACAAACCAATTGTTTTTGACCGACACTCAAGTTTTCTCCTCCTTCTGCTATTTGATAATTTAATCCATTATCAAGACTTTCAACAAAACTCTTGAGATGAGCTGATTCTATAGCTCTCCATAACTGTGAATCAGTGTATTGATTAAATGGATCTAAATTTATCCGTAGAGTACCAGTAAATAATGCCGGATCTTGTGGTATAATTGTTAATTTGGATCTCAAATCATTTAAACCTAATTTACTAATATCTATATTATCTATAGAAATATTTCCGTCGACGGGCTCTATGAGTCTAAACAGTGCTAAAGTAAGCGATGACTTTCCAGCACCGGTTCGGCCAACAATTCCTACTTTTTCACTCGATTTTACATTAAGTGTTATATTGTTGAGCACTAAATCTAGTCCTTCCCTATATCTGGTACTATAGTTATTAAATTTTATGACTCCCTGGTTGGGCCAGTCGTCCTCTGGTTTAGTATCTTCGTTAAATAAATCAGCCTTAATTTGAAATAAAAAATAAATATTGTCTAAATATACAGTACATATAAATTATTTTTAAATAACTTATTAAATAAATACCTCAACCGGAGTAGTAGTATATTCAATGATTCTTTCAATTGCAACAATATTAGTCTCCAGATTAGTCATACTAGTGATTAGCATAGACAGCACACTCGTAACAGTCATTGAATAGCTGATAGCCAGACCAGCTATACCTGGACTCAATGTATCGCGAGATAAGACAGCAAATATAGCGGTTAAAAACACAATACAATAACCTAAAAACTCTAATCTAATGGCCAGCCAACGACCCGCTGTAAAACTGGGATAATAACAGCAATGGTTTGCATCGATTCTGTTATTTGACTCTTGGATGAACTCATCTGTGGCTCCAAACGCCCGAATACTTGTCGATCCGTTTACTGTTTCACTAAAATGTGTATAAATTGGGGAACGACTCGTTGAATCAATTCGCTTCAATTGACGAGATGTTGATATGTATATCCTTTGAACCAAATAATACATTACAGCCAAAGGCATAATTGCAACCAAAATAATAGGCGATTCAAGACTTATCAAAATAAAAGAAACAACTGTTCTGAAGAAAGTGTTGAAAATCATACGAATATTAAACAATAAGTTCATATCTGCTGTATCGACATCTTTAGAGAATCGATTCAATATTCTTCCGGTTGGTGTTGTGTCTGTAAATTAATTTTAATATTAAATCATAATTTCATATAAAATACAGTATATTCTGACCAAAGAAAGCCATTGGAGCTCTAAGAATACGAAACAGCATTTTGTTGTGCAATAGTTTTGCCGCACGAATACAGGACAGACTTATTAACAAATGAGATGATAACGAAAATATGGTTTCAATGATACCAATGGCCGCATAAACACCTAATCTCATATCCCTTAAACCCGAATCATTAATCTTTTGAGGATCGAGTGCATCGTTAGCCCAATTAGTTAACCAAAGTCCAGAAGCAATTGTGGCTCCATTTGCACAAACATTGACTGATAAGACAATACCAATTAAACCAAACCCAATCATTTGGAAGTATTGTTTGTAGACTTCAAACTTAACTGATCCGGTTTCAGCCATTTCAGCCTCAATAAGTCGTCCGCGATTTGGCTTCTGGTCTTTGATTTTGGGTTTTTGTGTTAACTCTTGATTACTCTGTTCAGTGGTTCTTGACTTAGAACTGGTGACACTTGTGGATCGTTGTGTTGAAAATTGTCGCCTAATATCGCTTCTGTCGGAAAATTCCGATATTTTTGATATCGATCTTTCAATAAATGGTTGAACTCTTTCTCTCAATTGTTGAATTATATTAAGCTCTTCATCATTAATGTCATCTTCCGATTGCTGAAGAATGTATTCGGCGACAAATTCAGCGAAATCTCCTTTATTTGCGACTAATTCCTCAAAAGTTCCGCATTCAGAAATTGATCCATTTTTGAGAACAACTATTTGATCGACATTTGTCAGAACGGATGCCTTATGTGTGACTAATATTCGTGTTTTGTGTTTAAGTATACCGTGCGGTCCAATGACTTTGTCAAACAAGTGTCGGCCTACGTGTGCGTCTACAGCACTGTTAGATAATTAAAAACTTATTTTATTATACAAATGCTTATTTAAACAATTGAATAATTAATGAATACCTGAGTGGATCATCCATTAAATAAATGTCTGCGTTTGCATAGACAGCCCGTGCAAGTGATACGCGTTGTTTTTGACCGCCCGATATATTAATGCCTTTTTCGCCGATTTCGGTCATATCTCCGGCGGATAATATCTTTAAATCCGGTTCCATAGCACAGGTCTCTAAAACTTTTTTATAAAACTTTTCATTGTATGAACTCGTAAACAAAATATTTTGTCTTAGAGTTGAATTCTGAATCCATGCTTCTTGTGGTACATAAGCAACACTTCCGCTTACATTTACGATACCATTTAATTTTTCCAACTCTCCCAATAGTGCCGCCAATAGAGATGACTTACCTGATCCAACCTGACCTACAACAGCAACCAACTTATTTCGCTTAACTCTTAGATTAACATTTTTAAGGACTGTCGGACTGTTATTACTCCACTGGAAACTCGAGTTTTCCATCACTATTGGTGTTTCGGTGTTATTGTGTCGAGTAATGCAGTTCTCATCGATTTCATTAGCATTCAGATATTCATTAATTCTTCGCACAGATACTAAAAACTACATTAAATAAAATCACAATAATATATATATATATTTTTAATTTTACAAAAATATTTTTACAAACCAATGCTCCAAACGATAATAAGTGTGGAAGAAATCCGAGTGGAAGTCCTATAATTTCAAAGAAAAATTATTTTTATTAAAAATACTTTTATAATATGTTTTTATGATATATACTCATTATATTGAAAAGAGAAAGTGATACGAAAGCCTTGTTTGCATCCAATATATTGTCTGAAGATATCATCAAAAAAGTGGTAAAACTGAATAAAGCGACGAAAAAAGGCGCCGCAATGAATGTGAAACTCATAGCACCGCTTATGTATGCCATTGTAAAGAGTGACTTCACTTCATTCTCCCGAAGATCTGTTACCTGATCTTTAAACGATGTCTCCCATGAGTACAGTTTAAATACTTTAATACCACTGAGAATCTCATTCATGAGTTTCACTCTTTTATCTTTCATTTTCATTACTCTATTTCCAATGGCTTTCATTTTAGCAGCAATTAACGTATTGGTCGGAAGCAATAATAGCATAAATGCGAGTCCGGCCAGAGTTGCAATACCTAACTGTTGCCATAACAGAAACATTGCGATCCCGATCTGTGTGGGCGCCGACCACAACACGTGAATCATTGGCAAGAAATCCATAATTCTTTGCGAATCAATTGCCATCAGATTTACTATTTCTCCGGTTGTATAGGATTTTCGACCGGTGTTTGAAAGTTTTAAATTCTTTAATAAAAAATTAATTGTTTATAGAAATTAAAATTTCATAAATTATTATAATATATAGTTGGGTCAAACCTTTTTATAGACAACTGATATAACACATGATCTCATATTCATACCCATAACACTGTTATAGTATTCATATTGACTGTTAAAAATTGATTCAATCATCGGTGATATAAACATTAAAGTGGCATAAAAATATCCCCTCCAATTGGGATCATTATTGTTTGGTGTCATGTATTCAATCAATAAATCTAATATTAATGGATTAGCGAATAACATTAAAGTACCGATTAGTTTAAGAAATCCCACAAACAGTATATTAGCCCAAAATGTCTTCAATAGAGCCGTCAATATATTAATATTTATGCTTAAAGTCTCATCTTTTGGTTTCCATTTCTTTTCAGTCATTGGTATAAATACTTTGTTAAACTTTTCGATAACATAATTGGTTTTATTTGTATTTTTCAATTCCCACATATCATTAGTAGTCAATGAAGTTTTATATCCCTTAAACACCATTGAATTGAACCATTGAAATGTAATACAAGATAAAAATGATGCATTGTGATCAGGACATAAATTCTACATTTTAATTAATAATTTTAAATTAATAGTTTTAAATTAAATTGTATTTATATAAACAAACTTTATGACTTTTTTCATAATATGGATCCAATTCAGCAACACATGAAAATATAAGTTGCATTATAACTATAGGAAAACTTAACATTTTTGTTACGAATGTAATTTCATTGATCGCAGAGTCGTAACCAGATTCCTAAAATAATGTCAATTTAAGATAATAAATGTAATTTATATTACAATCAAAATTAAAATTACATTTTCAAAAATAATAGTATATATTGTTCTGAAGTTAAAGACTGACGCAATTGAATATAAGATCCAAAATATAAATAAGACACCAGAAGAATATATGCGATGTTTTCGGTGATAATTTTGTAAAATAATAACATATGACTGAATAAAAAGATAATAATTATATAAAACAATTTTTATATTTTATAATTAACTAGAAAAATATAATTTACTTACAAAAGTTAATATTTTAATAATTGATATAAAATATAGAGAAGGATCTCCATTAAAATAATTTAACAAATTGTTCAATAAATCTATTAAATTTATGAGAATTAATGCAATGGTTAAACCCTATAAAAATACAATTTTTTAAATTTAATAAAATATAATTATAATTTAAAATTTATTTAAATCTTACAAATTTTGTTAACAAAATAGTAGTGTATGGAAGTGGGGGTTCAGTTAATTCAGTACAATATTTGGGAATTTCTAAACACGATATGATTAATAATATTAAACATGGAATAACTGTAAGCACTGTTTCCTCAAAACAAATGGTAAAATCAGGGAACGTTTGGGAATTCCATGATATGTCCCAATCCTTAAGTTATAAATAAGTAAACCAATAATAATTAGAATATAATTTTAATTAATTAATTAATTAATTATTTGTAAAATAAATAATATAATTAAAAATTTAAAACATAGACTCACCCAAAAGCTTGATGTACAAAATTGAGACATTTTACATATTAATTATTTATTTGTGTTTATTATTTAGTTTAAACTAAATTAAAGTATAAATATGTATAATTTGAATTGATTTCGTATAAAATATGATCTTAGATGAACTCACATTTTTTCATTTACATTAGTTATTAGTTTATAAGTTTTGTTATTTATTTGATTAGTTGCACTAAATATTTATTACTATAACTTTTTTTTTGATTACAAATAAATCTAATGCAATACTTATAATTGTTTTTATATCTTCAATGATAACAATTATAATATTATTAGTTTATTTAAATATTAAAATAAGAATATATTTTATATTATCCGATCCAATAAGAAACCTAAATAAAAAATATAAATAAAAATTTGAAATATATATTTATTCTAATATATAAATTATTATCAATTATTAAGCAAACTACTGTATATTAAATAATTTATTTAAATTAGATAAATATATATTAGATAATTTCTATAATGTCTATTATTTATAAATAGATAAATATTATTGACAGCACTCATATATATTTAATAATTAAGGTTTAGCTCAATTAATGTTTGTTTTGTGGGAAATAATTAAATAATTTTACAAACAAAAATATTTAGTCCATAATTTTACCCGGTTTTCACATCTATTTTTCTAATATATAATATATTAATTGAAAATAGATTATTATTATTGACTACAGTTTAAGTATTATATTTAAAGTCATGAGTGACACTTTAGATATATTAAATTGATAAAAAAACAAAAATTAATTAATAATAATAAATGCCCTCAAAGTGGGAGTATTTAATTGTAATTACTTATTATTATTATTTTATATAATTTCATAATTATTATATATTATATTAATTTTATAATTACTTTTAAATAGTAAATTACGATTAAATAAATTAGCTATAATATTATATTTTGTACATGTATACCTTTTAATATGAGTAATGTCAATTTCAAATATGCCAAAAATTTTTAATAACATTTAGAATAATATTTAAAATCAGAAAGTTTAATAGGAAACTATCTAGGTTGATTTACAAAATAGCTATTATTTTGTATTGAAAAATATTATCAAATACTAAAAATTATGTCACGCTTTAAATCCACTTTATATAAAAAATATTATAATATAACAGTTTATCAGTCTATCATAATATTACAATAATGTAAATATATATATTATAAATATATTCTTAAATATCATTATAAAAAACAAATATAATTTATCTGACTTATTATAATTTTTTTTTAATATAAATTTAAGTACTAATAGTATTTATGTTTATTTTGCAAAATCATTATAATAAGGTAGTATTAATACCTATATATATTTAGTATATATAAATAATAATAAATCAATGTTATGTTTGTATATATGATTTACTTTATATAAGTTTAATATAAATCCATTATAAGAAGGAATTAATATTTATTTGCTATTTATTTCAATAATAATAATTAATTTGTTTGAAAACTATTTAATAGTATTTAATTAAATTCAAGTCTTAATACAAATATCTGTAATATGAATAACGCGCCAAACATTTAGTGTCTTTTAATCATTTGTTACGATTATTAACCCATTTTTTAATTATATAACACATTATTTGTATTACTATTTAATAAATGTATTCTATGTTAACATTGGTTTAAAATTACATGATTTTGTTAATCAGTACAACAAATGCAATATATTGTTGCAACGTATTAGTACTTAATTCATATATAATATATTTGTTACAAAAATATCATTACTTTTTGTGTCCCCTTTATTATCACTGATTTTATGGAATTATGTATTAATTTATATGACTTAAACATTGTGTTAATGTATACCACAAACATATGGTTACAGTGTATGTGTGTGTCATATATTGAGCCATATATTTATATTTATATATAATATTATAATAGAGTATATTATTAACAGTTATTTAGCACAACATTGAACTCATAGACAATATTGTTATCAATAGAAGGATTGAATTGAGTGACCAATTGTTGGACCAATTGTTGGACACATTGACTGATAAATAATATTAATATCACTTTATAATTGATCCCATTATTGGTGACCACAAGTGATGGATAATCCAAGAAAATGTCAGAAAGTGTTATCAAATGAATCGGATGTTAACCGAGAGAAGACTTTGTTTGGTCGTACTTATGGTCGCAACTCATTTGATCGGTTCGGCGATGACTTGTGTGACCTCTTGTTGTCGTATCTGTCGCTGAAAGACAAGATAGTGTTGGAAGACGTGTCTCAACAGTGGAAGCGTTGTATTTATAACAAACAGACAGTTCTTCGTGTGTTTAGTGTCCACCCGATTGAGGCCATCCCTCACATCAATAATCACTATCTGAATGATCTGTTGGTACCAATAGAAGTGAAGAACTTTGTCAGCGGTTTTGCTTCGAATCTTAATATGAGAACCATTGATAAGACTGCGCTGAAGAACCTACTAATCAAATGTAAATATATTAAGAAGATTGAGTTGACTCGAGTCTATGTGGACAGTGAACTATTGGATGTGATCGGCGATTACAGTCCAAACTTAGAGTCAATTCAATTGGATTTAATTGGTTTAGAAGAATCAGATATTATAAGGTTTGGTCAGAAGTGTGGCCAACAATTAAAACAAATAAAGTTTAATAATTGTCGTACATTTAGTCCGCGAGAGTATTCAAACAAGTTTTGCAATGATTTCGGCAAAAAACTGCTGTTTTATTGTCAAAATATTAAGTCATTTGTTTGTGAAGACATTAATGTTGTTAACAATAAAAATCGAGACTTTTTACCAAAATTAGAGTCAATTGACTTAAGACTCAAACGTAACGATGCCTTACATTTCGGTGATTTTGTCACCAAATATGAGTCAAAACTTAAGAAATTGAAAATATTTTCATCAGAACTTGAAGTCCAAAATCTAAGAAATACTTTGCAACAAATCTCTCGATTTTCTAATGTAGAGGACTTAGACATGTCATTCAATTTAATGGCCAATAATCCCGAAAATATTGACACAATTAATGATAGAATCAATGAAATGGCAAAAAATTGTCAGAAAGTGAGTCGATTTGTGCTTAATATTCATGTCTTTATCAATGGAAGTGAAATCATAGGAAATAATATATTTGACTGTTTGGGAAAATTTCATAATTTAAGACATTTGAATGTATCGTTTAAACTATCGGATACTCACGAGTCGGTCGAGTGTCTCAAAAAGTTAACTAATTTAACTGATTTGACTATTAGGTGCTCCAAAGTGGGCGACCCTTTCTTCAAAGACATTGACCATCACTTACCGAATCTCAGGTCATTGCAATTGACTACAGAATATGATTTGTCAGATGATTTGATGGATTCGTTGTCAAAGTTGAAGAATTTGACGAAAATATCTCTGGGAAGCGGTACTAAAGCTTTGAAAAATATTACGGATAACGGCATCCATAAGGTTATGATTTCGTGTTTACAAATCAGAGGTATGACATTCTTCTCGCGGCCAAACATTACCACTCAAACGATCGACAATTTGATTGAATTTGCAAACAAAAACTCCAAATATATTATAAGATTTTATTCCGGGTTTTCCCGTTTGGGAGATGAGGCTCACTTCGCACCAATTGATTTGAATCAATATAAGAATATACCGCAAAACTTGAAGATTAATATCCGTAACATTGGAAATGGTAATCAAATGCCACCCAATTTTCCACCAATGGGTGAAGTGGCGCAAAACATACACGTAATTGAGTTTAACTTGAATCCCAACATTGGTCCCAATGGTAATCCAGCGCCGCCTTTAATATTAAACAATTTGCCGCCTTTGCCACAAATACAAGACTTGCAGATACTGATCCATCATCAACAACAACATATGCAGAACTTATTAAATCACTTCTAAGATTTTGTTTAAGTTATAAATATTATTACTATTATAATTTCAGTGATTATTCTACTATATGTATACTATTAATTTGTATATTTTATGAAACTATAAAAGATTTTTTTTTTCATAAAACAATTAAAAATTTTTAAATAATTGTTTATCTAAAGTATATATATAAATTTATAAAATGTATTATTTAAATATAGTAAAGGTTATGATTTACATATATACTGTATAGTGGTTTATGTAATTTTGTAATAATTCAAAATTTTCTAAAAATAAAGGCTTTTCATTAATTATAAATATATTTACTATATTTAGAGTTTATTATTAGAGTAATATTATAACTGTGATGTTATAATTGGATATTAATTTACAGTATAATATAGTACTGTATAACAACTATGTTAACCAAATGGGAATGATTGGGCACTAAGAGATTTCAACATACATTAGCATATTGTAGATATCAATCAAATTAAATTAAATATATTTCCAAAATTTATAATAAATTGATGTTTTTGATTAACTTCTGGAACCATTCATTGAATAAAATATTTTTTATGTTTTAATAGTCAAATATAACGGATACATAATATTTTAGATTTATTTTCATTATGAACTCTGTCTACTAACTTATAAGTTAAATGTTTATCAATAATTATTAATGTTATAGAAATCTTGATTAATAATCTATTGATATATGAAAAATATTTAAATTTATTTTAAAATCCCAATAATATGTAAATACTTGTATATTAAAAGTATTTAAGTTAAGTAATAAACTCAATTCATTTAAATAAAAGTACTAGATATAAGTTTATTGAGCATGCTAAATTTATTTATACATACTAAAAATTTATGAGTATTGTAAATAATGTAAATTATTATACTGTATATGACATATTTTACTATATTTTATTATATTTTATTATATTTTATTATAATGTATTTACACAATATCTATACTTTATTGAGAGTTAAATAAAGCAAAAACTTAAAATCGATAACTTGATCCAAATTATAATTTTTAAAAATAAGTGCATTTACTCTAAAAAAAACAAATTTTAATTCATTTAAAAATACATAAAATTTTATATTAAAGTAACAAAATTAATTCAATTTAAAGTTATTCACATATTATTTTACATGAGTACAGGTATTTTAGTAAATTTTTATTAAAAGTTATGAAGTATATATAATAAACAAGTAAATTATTATTTGTTTTTAAGTCTAAAATATTTATTAAATTATAATTTAAATTTAAAAATATAATACTTTTAAACTGTGTTTTTAACACTTAAATTATTGTTAAGAAATAAAAAATGCAATTATAATCATTTTATAATAATTTATATTTCTTTAAATTACTTAGGCGTTGTTCACATATTACGTTCGCACTTGAGGGGAGGGGGGGGGTCGGCCAAAGCGAACTTTTGCGAACGAGGGGGATGGGGGGGGGTAAAGTCTATACGAACGTTCGCATTTAAATAATGAATGAATTTAAGGGATTAATTTTGAGTAAACTTAATCCTTTGATAAACGGTTTAATAACTAATTTTGAATAAATATATGACTTTTGAATAATATTAATTTATTTTATTATTTGATTATTTTAAAAGTGAAAATAATTTTATAAAATATTCATTTAAATGATGGGGGGGGGGGGTAAGGACATGCGAACGTAATTTTTAAATATCATTACATGCGAACAATTGCGAACATAGGGGGGGAGGGGGTCTAGATTTTTTAAAAACTGCGAACGTAATATGTGAACAACGCCTTATAAAATAATTTTGTTATTCTGAATTATGAGATATCTTTCTCAACAATTATTTTATTTGTTTTATACAATATATTATTGATAAACTACTGCATAAAATAAATACAAAAACTTGATAACAAAATTAATCCATATATTAAACAATTGTTTTTTTATAATACACTTATCTCGAGTATTGCATTAAATATTAAGAGTTAATTGTAAATTACAATTTGTATTTCAAAAGAATTCAAAAAAAATATTGTTATTAATATTCTTATATTAATTATGTATTTTAATATATATATATATATTTTAATTTATAAATACTCTGAATTTATGGAAATTAGTTTGAAATGCTATTAAAGACATTTGTTTGCATATATTTGTTATCATGTTTTAGTGAAAATAGAGTTTACGACAAGTGTCCAGAAAAATGTGAATGTTATGAAGTGCCGAAAGGTATTCAAATTGTATTATTTGTTATTATATTTTATATTAAATTATAAGTAAATGGATTTATATATTTAAAATATAGTAAACTATCCGTGGATTGAAGGCTCTATGAGTTTAATTTGTGAAAATTTAAACGATTTAGTGGCTCAAGACTTGACAAATTTGGATCCAATCAATACTTTAGTTACTTATATTTCGACACCACTGGAAAAATATCAGTTTACTCCGGGATTAACTGTTAATAATTTATACATAACTGGCTTTTCAGGGATGAAACCGATCTTTAAATCTAAGTTTATTAGATTAAATGAAAATGAACTAAAAGTATTAAATTTCATTAATCTAAATTTAATTCAATTTAAATTTAATTTATTGAAATCATATAAATTAAAAGCTATTTATATAGAAAATTGCAAATTATATATTATCAACAAACAATTTAGTTTTGAAAATATAGTCGACATTGAGATAATATCAATAATATCCTCCGATGTTCAACTAATTGACCATGGTGCTTTTAGTGGACTAACTAATCTACAAATGTTATCACTTGTTAACAATGGTATCGAAACAATGGACTGGCTTTTGACTGATTTGCCTAATCTATGGTCAGTTGACTTAAGCCAAAACTACATCAGCACTATTCCTAATGGATTATTACAATATTTGCCTAAATTAAAAGCATTGAAATTGGATTACAATAATATAAAACAATTGACCTGGACTACTTTATACCCATTATTATTTGGCAATAATAATAGAGGGCCTCTCAATGAATTATCATTTTTCGGTTCTGATAAATGTAATATTTATTTTTTTTATTGCTATTAATATACTCTACACTAACTTTTTTTATTAATCATAATTATAGCAAACGTTTTGTGTTCATCCAGTGATATATATGCAATTAAACAACATTTATCCCAATATAATAATTATCCCAACTTTTTTGATATCTCATGGTCTCGAATATTATGCTATAATTATGATCCAAGAGATCCGAGTAAACCTTATTTTGATTGTAACGATGATATTAAAAAAGACCGGTTAAGTCATTACTGTAATAATTGGAAAGGAATTAAAATAAAATAAATGTCTTATATTAAAAATATTATTAATTCTACAATTAATTAATATATTATATTTATATTCTATATTTTTAAAATCTAGTTTAATTAAAAATAATTTGTTAAAAATAAAAAATTTCCAATTATTTATCAATACTCAAATGGCTGTTTTTTGCAAAATATTTTAAGTAATTTAAATTATTTACACTTATTTCTTAAAATATTGTAATTCATTGGAAATGTTATATAAATATCTATAAAATAAACGTAAATTATCTTATAAATAAATTCAAAAATTTAAAATAAGATTTTATAATATAAATACTGTAATAATATACAATAATGTACAATAGCACTTACTGGTAGTATTACTGTAATACTGTACATATAGTTTATAAATAATTATATAAATGATTTTTTTGTTAATTGTTTTGTTTTATTCACTGTAGTTTATGTCTCTAAAAAGGAAATTAATTCATATTTGCAATTATAAATAAATTTACACTAAAAATACATTAATGTATTAAATCGATTAATGCAGTGAAAATCAACACTAAAAGTGATAAGTAGTTGTTGATAAAGATAAAAATATTAACATAAATATAACTAAATAATAACTTATACTAAGTTTATACTTAGATTATTCTGTTTTGCTTTAAAGTTGTTAAAAAAGATTTCACTTGAATTTTGCTTCAAAAAATGTCATAAAATTTTTCAAAAATTATATTAACAATGTATGACATAAAATATTACGTATACAGGCGTTAATGCATTTATTATATACAAAAATATTTATATTAAAAATGATTAGTAGATTCAAATGATAAATACTGTATATGATATACATATATATATATATATTTATAAATAAGGATTAAATATATTGTTGTAAAAGTCTAAAAATAGTTATGACTGTCTGTTATCATTGGATTTCCTTTTTAAAACACAACTAACGCTAAGACATGAAGAATATATCAATCAATAGTTAGAATGTAATGGAAGTGATGTTTAAGAAGTTAGAGATTCAATGAGACATACATTTGGTGAATGCGCTCTGAAGTCCATTGATTTTGGTTTGCATTTTGGTTTGTATTTGACTTTAACTAAACATTTGACAATTCGCTCACAATCTTCACTACCAATGATGTTATTATTGGAAACTTATTTCTCAATACATCTCAATAGTAAACTTATTGAGAGATAAAGACTATATGTGTATTACATGACTAAACTTAATGATAAACTTATCTAAAAATGAATTTTATCATTAATTATGAAATTAAATTATAATATATATATTCAATTGATTGTGATAATAATGGGTAAAATACGTGAAAATTATATAAAAGTTAATGGGTTTACATCACCACAACACGTGTCTAAAGTTAAGAAAGACAATCAAAAGACACCTAAAGAGTCAACAAATTGTTTTGCATTTTATGGCAAACTTCCGAAATCGGAGTCCTTTCATAAAATGCAATTAACTTTACTTAATTCAGGCCTCATATCAATCAATGGCAATGACATCGATGGTCTCATCAAAGGATTAATACCACAAACACGTCTTGAGTTATCAAAATTCAGACGTTATGTACAAAGAATGAAGAAATATGATGTCTTAACCAAAATTGAGTATAAGGTATACAACAAATGCTTTAACATATCAATTGATTTTATTTGACGTTTTGTTTAATTAGTGATTATTTACTTTTATGCCAAACAAAGTTTACTATTTGTGTACACTTTTATGACATTTTCATATAACCTATAATTTAATCTCTCCATTAAATACTGAATTTATTTTTAATGAATCAATTTTTATACATTACTAATAAAAACTTATAATTATATACACTATTAAATAATAATAATTTATAATATATTAAATCATTAAAAATTTAAATATAAATAATTTTTGTTAACTCAAACTACAATCTTAATAGGTTTTATTAATTAAAATACAGTATAAAATTTGTTTAAAATTATTATGATATTTAATTTGATAAATTAAATATACTTTGTATAGAAAATAAAAGATTTCATATGAGATAATTTATATTTCATTTAAATAGAGAGCTCTTTCATTTTATAACATTTTTGCAAATCATATATAATTTTTTTGAATGCAATATAAAAGTTAACAATTATTGCATTAAAGTTATAACTGGATGTCAACACATGTGACTATTTTATATGCTTTTTGACAGTTGAATGCCATTTACTCAGTTAAAAACATATAATTTTTGTATTGATTAATAAAAAAGACATAAAATTTATAAATAAGTTACACTAACACAAACAAATACTATACAAATGTAGATAAAAATGAAAATTAACATTATTTATAATTAAATCAAATAATTGATCAATCAAAAATAATAAGAGTTTTAATACTATATTACCGGTTGATCCATTAAAGGATAGCGATTAAAATACTACAATCAATTTTTAAAAACTAAATATAATTTTATTCAAAGTAATCCCCCTCTGCCTCAATGCACTTGGTCATACGCCTCCTCCACCTTTCAAACGCCTCCTCCCAGTCCTTTTTCTCAATCGACTCTAAATACTCCATTACTGCAGAATCAATCTCTTCTTCTGAAGAAAAGGCTTTACCTCGAAGAAAATGCTTTAAACCACTGAAGAGCCAGAAATCACACATTGCCAGGTCGGGGGAGTAGGGGGGGTGGGGTACCAACTTAACCCGATTTTCGGCCAAAAAGTTTGTTGTCAACCATGCTGTATGAGCAGGTGCATTGTCATGATGCAACAAAATACCATTTTTTGGGCCCTTTTCAAGCACACGTGGAAGACATTGTGTGGTGTACCATAAAGCCGTGACAGTCCTTTGTCCTTCCAATTTGACCGCATCCACCAAACCTGATGAGCTGAAGAATATGGCATAAAGTATTTTGCCAATCGTTTTTTCTTTTCTCACAACACTCGGTGGTTCTTCATCTTCAAACACAAATATCTTTGCTTCCCGTGACAGCTTTGGCTCGTAATAATAAACATACACTTCATCACCTGTTACTATCTTATTGATGGTATTATCTTTGCCTTTCTTCCAGAGCTTTAGATTTTGTTGACATTTTTCCAACCTATCCTTTTTTTGCTCATCACTTAGACGATGGGGTACAAAACGACAAAGTTTCTTCTGTACCTTTAATTGGTCAGCACATATCCTTCTAAGTGTTGTGCCCGGAATGCCTGATTTCTGCTCCAACTCATGGTATGTAACACTTGGATCAGCTCTTATTATATCTTCGACAATCGCTGCATTTTCCGGGGTATTCACCGAAACGGGCCGACCCTGTTTAGGGGTGTCTTCAAGTGACTGCCGTCCTCTTTTAAATTCACGGACCCATTTGGTGACTGTACTAAAACCTACAGTATTATGTCCTAATACTGTGTTGATGCGCTGGTGAATCTCATCCAACTCTTTAGTCTGCATCCATTGATAATAGATGATGGCCCGAATATGGTCAGATTTCAAATCCATTTTGTTGTCCAAAAAAATACTGACACTACTTGTTTAAATGATAATAACTTTTTAACAAATAAACATAAACTGATGAAAACCACAACAAAAACAAATGAAATGTTTACAAATAAGAGTGTATAATCAAATTTTGTCTAACATTCATAAATAACGTTTCGCTATCTTTATATGGCGCAAAGAGTAGTTTATTATTAATATTATCATCATATTTAGTATATTTATTAGATTTTGTTGTTATTATAATATATATTTATTAAATTCATTTTTTATTTTTATTTTTTATAAATTTTTAATAGAAAATTTTAGTACATTTAAAAAAATATTTTTCAATGTTTTTAAACACATTAATCGATTGGCAATTCATTGCAAAAATATTTTCATTACTATTGTTTTTAATCAATAAATTTTTTAACGAAATAAAAGATTTAATATTAAATTACATCAAATATTTTAGTCGATAACACATAACTTTATTTAATTCAACTGATATTTTAGAAATCTATTTACTTTACAATATTTTTGATGTATCATATTATTTGTTTTAAACTATATTTTGTGATTTAATCAGTATTTTTAAAAATGAAAATTGTAAATCAATTTTACTATTATAATGATATTTATCAAAAACAATTTGAAATATTTATATATTAATTAAGATTAAATTTAGCCTAAATTATATATTAGTACACAAATCGATGTTTAGTTATTTAAATTTTGTAATTTACAAATATTCGCGATTAAGCAATTAGTTAGTAATTAATTCAAATAATAAACAGTGAACTAAAAATATAAAATTTTAGAAATATTTATTATTTTAATAATTAAATGGATGTTTTCCTAAACCATAATAAGATTTCTATAAGTTTTTGTTAACATTGATCTATTTATACCTTATTTTTAAGTAATGTTTAGTTTTGAATTAAACTCTATATTTTAGAAAATAAATTATTTGTTATACAATTGAATTAAAAATAATATATGATATAAATTATGAAATTTAATTTATCTCTGACTTCAATAGCCTTTAAATAACTCCTTGAAAAATGAAATATACTTTTAAATAACAGTCGATGTCTTACAACAACAACATTGAAAAACAACGAATATATTGAGTGAATACTTAGAGAATATTCTTTTGTGAAACACAACTGACAACACATTAGTAATGATTTAACGTTTTTGAACACAAATTATTATAAATCTTATATTAGATTTTGGGCCAAAATTTAAAACATAATATAATGAAAATAAATTGTTTTTATAAACAATAATATTTATTAACATTTATATTTTTAAAATTTAAATGTTCAAGCAGTAAAAAGCAGTTTTTATATTACATAAATTAAAATAAATATATTAATATATTAATTTCTATTTATGTAATGTTTTACATATTAAATATTTAATCAATAACAATAAAGTTATTTAATAAATCCATAATTTGATGTATCAAATATTAAAATTTATATTTAAATCTATATTAAAATGTTATTTTGATAAAATATTATAGGATATGGCATATTTACAAATAAAAAATAAATGTAGATTTGCATAAATAAGATTTTATGTAATCTAATATATGTTTAAATAAATTGTATTTCCTTTTCTAAAAAGCTTTTTTTATTAAAAAATACAATTTCAAAATATAATTTCTTTAATTTATATTTGATTTTATATTCATAATTGTATAATTTACAAAAAATTTTCTATAAAATTACAATTACATTTATTAACTTTTATAATTATATATATATAATTTAAGTTATTTTAAATCATACAAAACTATTTAAATAAAAATTGTATGGTTTTATTAAAATAAAAAAATATTATAACAGAAAAAATAAAATTTAATGATATGTTTATTTGTTATATAATATTAAATTATCGCTCTATTTACTATATTTACTATATTTACTATATTTAATATATAATCAAGTCTTTACATTATATTTAGGTTTTATTATATAATAATTAAACTAAATATTACAAAAATATTCAACATTTATTCAATAATATATTTAAAATGTGTTTATTATTGTTTTTATTAATAAAATCAATTACATTATAATTTGATCTAAAAGATCATTGAATCAAAGAGTAATTATTGTTTGACCGCTAACATTAAATTTAATGTATAATGACTTTTAAGTTAAATAAATTGTTTTTATTAGAAAATACATATACAGTATATTATAAAAACTGTTATTTTAAGTCATCTCCTTATTATATATATTATATATTATTATAGAAGTCAATGTATTTATATATACGTCAAAAAAGTTATGAATAAAATAATATAAATAATCAAATAAGCCATAAGTGTTGGCAAAATATTTATGCTTTTATTGCAAAATACAGTACAATAATAACTTATTGATAAATCATAACATACATAGAAATTTTGTTATTTTTTGTTGATATTACTGTTATGTAGTAAAAAAACTTTGTTAACTGTTATTCACAGTTATATTTATGACTTATTATATTAGTTTATTTAATTTATACAAGTTTAGTAGCAATAGTTGAAGTAATTGACCTATATCATATTAACAAACCATGTAAAATTTAGTGTTAACTTATTAGCAAATTAACTGTGAAGTTCTCAATCACTTGAAATAGGATTATACTATAAAACTTATATTATTTTAAGCATTATATTTATATTTACTTTTAAAAATTGTCTTCCGTTAGACAATTGAAGTCATAATATAGGATTATAATTTTCATAGTAATTATAGTCAAGTAATTATAAAATTTTGAATAATGGCGTTGTTCACATATTACGTTTGCACTTGAGGGGAGGGGGGTCGGCCAAAGCGAACTTTTGCGAACGAGGGGGAGGGGGGTAAAGTCTATACGAACGTTCGCATTTAAATAATGAATGAATTTAAGGGATTAATTTTGAGTAAACTTAATCCTTTGATAAACGGTTTAATAACTAATTTTGAATAAATATATGACTTTTGAATAATATTAATTTATTTTATTATTTGATTATTTTAAAAGTGAAAATAATTTTATAAAATATTCATTTAAATGATGGGGGGGGGGGTAAGGACATGCGAACGTAATTTTTAAATATCATTACATGCGAACAATTGCGAACATAGGGGGGGAGGGGGTCTAGATTTTTTAAAAACTGCGAACGTAATATGTGAACAACGCCTAAGTAAAATGATATTATTACATTTACATTTACTATTATAATAATTTAATCTTTATTTATAGCTTTTAAAAAAATATTGTAATTTATTAATAATAGATAAGTTTTCATTATAATTTACTAGATTTTTTTAGACTCTTAATTTATTATTTTATTTAATTTATCAAATTTATTATAAACTATAATTAATTTAGTGTAACGTAATAATATGTTTATCTAGGATTTTTATTATCATACAAATTATTATTGCAAATAGTTGACAAAATTTATTATTAAACATTTAAGAAATATTTTAATTTTTAGAATTTTTTGTTAGGCATTATAATAGGCATATGATAAATGTAAACTTATTACAAGTTTATTATTATAAGTTAATATTAAAATTCCTCTCAAAAATAATTTTTCATAATTTTCAAAAATACTTTTGACATAATAGAGATAAATTGTATTAATAAATATATTTTTATAATTTTATTATAACTTTATCCAATGTACGGATAATATTTATATTTTATTTTAAGTTTAATATAGTAAATATAATTAAATTAAAATTTTATATATTAGATTTATTAAAATTTAATTTAAAATAAATTTAATTTAATTTTAGTTGATATGTAATGTCGAGAGTAGTACTTGTCGTGTGGCAAACAAACGAGAAAATCAAATTAAAAATAGTTACAAAAGATATCTTCCCTGTAAGTCATACATCAAATGTAAATAATTACATATAATATTAAATATTGATTTATTTCAATTTAATTATTTTAAATTTTTATCTATTAAATAATGAAAAAAAATATTTATATAAATGTTTACAAATTTCATAAAATTTAAATTTATTTTTTATGTGAAGATGACTACAATCGTGTTATATTGCAATCGACATCATTTCAAAGTTTTAAATCTGATTACATAAACGCATCCCATATTGACGTAAGTTTTATTTCATGCTTTGATTATTTAAGTATTTATTTATTTATATTTTATTATTTGGTTAAAAATAAATTTTATTTAATGTTACTTAAAAAACGATAAAACGTTTTAAAAATTAAATTACTTTTCATACATTAAAAATATCATCAAAAATAAATTTATATACAGTTTATAATTTATATTTGTTTATTATATGAGAATATGTATAATATTTTGGTAATAAAATAAATTCACTGTAAATTTTATGATGAGATACAGTATTACATCTAAAATAAATATTTAAGACATGGGTTTAAACTTAACATTTTTACATACATTTAAGTAATAAATTTTTTGATGTGTTTTAGATATTGAGTTGTGATTGTATTTTGAAAATGGGTGAAAATCTACCGGTGCTATCATAATATAGTTTTGCTATCTATCTATAATTAGAGTTTGGTTAAACCGAACGCTTACATCTGCGCTCAGGGACCTAATGAACACACAATCGTTGATTTTTGGTCAATGATTTGGATAAATGAGTCACATATCGTCGTAATGTTAACAAAAGTGTTTGACTTTATCCGAGTAATGTGTGCCCAATACTGGCCGACAACACTTAATTCATCCGAAGTTTACGGTTGTTTTGAGGTGACCTTAATTGATGAGGAAAAGACTGCCGATTATGTCATCCGAACCATTAAACTCAAGTGCGGTCCAAATGTTTGTATTAATATACAGTATATATATATATTTATTTAATATGTTTTCCACTTAATTAAACATTTTATTACACATATGAATGCATCGGATAATTAACAGGAATGTCTAAGAAGTAAGCGGTCATCGAGTTTGGACTCGGATACCGATGAATACCGAATCATATATCAACTCCATTACCTCAGTTGGTCCGCCAATTCGTGCCCTTATTCTGACTCTATATTGAAATTCCGTAAAAGAGTTCGACTCTATTGTGAAGAGTTAAGTGATATAAATAGCGGTCCATTGGTTGTTCACTGCAGGTATTTGTTAAAAAAAATAAAATTGTAATATAAATTAATATAAATAAAATTATTTGTATATTTGATGGATCAGTGATGGCTGCGGGCGAACGGGAGTCTACTGTTGTTTGGATGCAAACCTGCAATTGGCTGAAGACGAAGGCTTTGTCGATATTTTCAATTACACTAAACTATTGCGTGAATCTCGGAAAGGGATGATTGAGAATGAGGTGCTCTAAGCGTTGAGTTAATGACTTTATATTTGATTATATTTTGATATAAATTCAAAACAAATTGAATGTCCAATTGTTAGGAACAGTACAGATTCATCTATGAACTCATCGATGAATACCTGAGTTGTGGCAAAACGTGGTTTCCTTCTAAAGAAATATCACAACTATTGAAATATAAGTCAATGAAAAATCCAGTGAATAAACAAAATGAATACCAACAAGAATTTGAGGTTAACTTTCAATTTAAATGTTTAGAAACTAAAGTGATAAGTAATAAAAAAAATTGATGACTTTTATGATTAAATTTCCAGAAACTGATGCAAATGACATCTAAGCTATCAATTGGTGACTGCGCTGGCGGTCATCGTATTGAAAATCGCGACAAAAATAGAGACGTCTCTATAGTTCCCCGTAAGTCATGCATTCATATTAAATAAAGACTCAAATATTCGACTGAAAATATCTGCTGAAGAAAAGCTAAATTTCAAAAAATATTTGCTTCAATTGATTTGAAAAAACAAATTTCATGTGGAAATCATTTCTATGATAATACTGTTTATAACCGAAATACTTTTCTCTTACTTTTATGACACTTAAAAACATTTTTATTCAATTTTTATATGTCATATATTTTTCAATTCAAAATACAGTATGTAATATATATAAAATAAAATAAATAACTTTGTTATTATATAAAATAGAAAATTGATTTAAACGTATAAAAGCTTTAAGTCTAAAAAAATAAATTATTGGTTATTTTTGTTGAATATACTTAAGTTATATAAATCCTATCTTTATATAGTATATTATGGAATATTCCTTATGATAAATAGTAAATTTAAAAAATTAATTTTCAAAATAGATATTAAGTACATTTATTTTTAGTTTGTGAAAAAAGCAATAATTTTGTTAATTAAGAAAATTGCTATTTGAGTGTTACTTTCAAAACAACCGTTCAAATGAAGGTCTGCTCTGAAAATTGTCATTAATTTCAAGTGTCGTTTACATCTTTGTAAAAATGTTTTGCTTAAATGATCTATAAATTAAAATTGTTATCAAACTAAATGTTTATATATAATGTTGTTTTAATAATAATTATATTTATATAATTTATTCATGATTTTTCTATTTGTTTTTTATGTTTAGCTGATAATTTTAGACCATATCTATCATCATTTCAATGTAATGAAAGTACTGATTATATAAACGCTGTCTTTGTTGATGTGAGATAATAAATAATATTTTCAATTTTTTAAATAATTAATTAATATATTATATTTTAATTAAAAATATTGTTTGTTTAGGGTTACACGCGATCTAAAGAGTATATAGCGACTGAATGGCCAATGAATAAGACTATATCAGATATTTGGTCACTTATTTACGATCACGACTGCAATTCAGTGGTCATTTTGGGAGGCGTTCCCCCTAATAATACTAAAGTATTGATTAATAATATTAATAATTTATTATTAAATAATATTTATTATTATTATTTTTATTATAAATTTTTATAATATTGATCAGTCATGTCCTCAATTTTGGCCAAAAGAAACGGTTAAATGCAAAAAATATGGACCAATATTTTCAGTGGAAACAATGTCAAAGAACAGTCCTCCGAGTATCAATTCGTGGGTATTTAAGATCAATAAAAAGGTCGCATCACTCACTGAACTTATGGCTGGCATTAAAGCCGAGCCCAAAGTGACCCAAATATTTGAATTCAATGCCTGGCCTTACGGTCATAAAGTTCCCACTTCTACTAATGCTTTGGTTGAACTAATTAATATGGTTGAGAGGTGGAGACAGAGGACAGCCTACGGACCAGTTCTGGTCATCTCTGCGTAAGTCTTATAATGTTTGAGACAATATATTATGTCTCTTATGTGTCGTTGAAATAAATTAAATTTTCTTATTATTCTCAAATGTGTTATTCAATAGTTATATAAAATATATATTTTATGTAATCTTTATGCAACATATCATTCAGTATTATACTGTATATACTAAATACTATACGGTATAGTATTAATACAGTATAAGTACAGTATTTATAAAAATTTTGAGATAACATTAAGAATAAAACTACAAATTTTTACAATTACCTAGATAATTAAATAAAAATAATTTAAGAAACTATAATATTTAAACAAAATTTTATATATATTGAAAATTAGTTTTAAATAAATTTATGGTTAAAAAGACTGAAATTACATAAATATACCGCAAATGCACAATAATTATATGAAAAACAGTTTATTTTTAAAGGTATTAAGTGTTGGAATGGCCTACCATTAGAAATGAGAAAATCTAAAGATCTTTTATTCATAAACTTAAAAATGTTAATCATATTTAAATATTTAATTTTTATATACTTTTTAACTTTTTAAAATCTCTTTTGTAAATTTATTTATACAATGATTTTCAATGATTTTCAATGACTTGCAATGTATACTAGAATTTTGCTGAATGTGATGCCAATAAAGTTTGATGTGAAATTGTATTCAGATTTTTACAAAAAGATAATTAAAAACTATCTAATCTATGAAATTACTTTAAATACAACATAAATAATGTTTAAAAAATTTATTATTATTTAATTACATATAATTTTGTAATACTACACAAAATCTGTTTTTAAGAAATTTACTTAAATCATAATTAGTAATTTCGAGTTATAATCTAGTATTTTGAATAAATATAATTAAATCACAATTTAATTATCAATTTTGTCACTTAAGGTTACTTTTTAATTACCTTATATTTTTGAAAATTTTTATTTTAGACATTCATATTCACAATGTAAATCTCAAAACTAAAATAATTTGTATTTCACAAAAATTAAATTATTTTTACGACTATCAACTAAATTTATAATATATTTAATTATGTATTAACTTATAACAATTATAATATAGTATAATATAATAACTTAATACAGTATTATAAATAATAACTAAATGTTTAACGTTTTCAGAAATGGCAAATCACGGATTGGTGTCTATTGTGCGGCTAATCTGGCCATTGAACAGGTGGTCGCACACGAAGAAGTGGACATTTTTAATGCCGTTAAAACTGTGCGAAGACATAGACCGGCGCTCATCGAAAATATTGTATATTACTATTGAATTGTTTTTATAAATAAAAATATAATTTTATTATTTATTAATTTATTTTACTTTCTTATAGACTGAATATAAATATTGCTACGATTTGACATTACATTATGTGTGCCATTATCTTAATAAAACAACAATTAATTATAGATATAAATAGTTATATAATAATTATTGATATAAAAATATTTTTTAAATACAATCTACGTTTTTCAAATTTTTGTAATAATTGAAAGATTATTCTTGATATTTGTAAAACTTTTTATAATAATAATATTATATTATTACACTACAATTAATAGTTTTATTAATAATGAAAAAGTTTAAAAACAAAAAATATTGTAAACATATTTACTAAATATTATTTTGTAAATAAAAAACAAAAATTATTGAATACTTTATTGATTCTTAAGTTTTTATAAAAAAAGTTAAGATAATCCATAATAAAATGTTTCATTACATATACAGTGTTTGTTTTGTTTATTCATTGATAGTCTAACTAAAAATATCCTCTCATAAGTTATAACAAGTTTTTCATATTGTGGCCAATATTTATACTGTATTTATATATAAATCACACAAATTGTCAGACAAACCAGCCATACATTAACGTCATACCCAACACATACCCAAAACCCATTGCCGTCACTACTTTTGCCATCAAATCTCAACTGACATTTGAATTTGATTTACTCATGTCTTTAAAGATGACAAAATATATGACGAATAAATCTATTTTATATTTATTTTTCTCTTTTTTTGAAAACTATTTATGTTTACCAAAAGGATACAAAATTCTGTGCATTTAAAAAAAATATTTACTACACAATAATATAAACTACTATTAATATTATATACATTGTACTATTAGGCAATATTTATAAGATATGATATAAACATAAATTCATTTAAATATTTTATATTAATTATAATAAATGTTTATTTAGGTTTAGTAAAATTAAGTCATGATTCTTATGCAATGTAAACATAAATGTTATTTTCAAACTAAATATGATAATTATCGCATCAAAGCTAATGAACTCAAAATTACTGAGTAATGCATTTATTTTTTAACTAAAACAATGACACTGTTATTCATATGATTATAACAACGATTTATTTATATTATATTACAATTTATATTAATTTCTTAAAGATTACATTATATAATAACATTTCAATATATTAGACAGCGTATATCATTTTTTTTAAGTAGTTTTTTATATGTTAAATAATATATTGATAAAAACATTATACATTATATTGCAAATAATTATAGTAACAATATGAGTGTTAATTCTGCATTCATTATTGATAAATAAATAAATTTATTGATATTAGAGTAACAAATAGTGAATAAGTTATTTATTTAATAAATTATACGTTATTATTATCTTCATTGACAACTCCCATATCAATACTGATCTTAAGATTTTCTGGCATTTTATTGACAAAATTATTGATATCAATTGTGGCGAACTCTCCCTCATCTCCACCACCGGAGAAACCGCAGCTAAAATTGATGTTAATTTTGGGTCTTAAGAGGGCTGAGTTGATCAACACTTCAATAGTCTTATGTGTTATGTTTGGACGGGCGCTGAACACCATTGTCTGCAACAGTGAACAGTTGTTAATAACCAAACAAAGGCCCTCATCGGTCATATCTTTGTGTGCATTGGATGAATGTCTTAAAACAATTTTCTTGAGATTTGCTAACTTCGACATCGATTCCATAAATTTATTTGTCATTTGTTTATCTGAGTCGATATCAATGATCTTAAGATTTGGTAGAAATAAATGAATGTTTTGAAAAAATTCTTCAGTGAGTTCTTTATACGAAATGACTAAATGACGAAGTTTTGAGCAGTTTTTGAGGCATTCGACACTTCCGTCCAGTTTTTTGGTGATCTCAAAGAACTCGAGACTCAACTTTTCAATTGATTGCAGTTTATTAAAGGCATTGAAAAACTTATTAGAAATCACAGACTCGTTATTTAGTGTGAAATTCAATTTCTTGAGTTTAACACAGTTTTTGGAAATTTCGGCGATATTTTCGTCAATCACTTGAATGTCTTCATCGAAAATACTGATCGACAGTCCCAACGATTCCAGATTATTAAACTGTGAGATATGGGTTAAGGCATTCTTCAACTGATGACCTATCATATGATAGGTATAGATTTTGATGGTCTTCATTGTCTCCCAATATTTGTCACTCAATATCTTCAATTGGTTTAATTGTTCCGTTCGGATGTCTATCGACTTAATGACTTCAAGTTTGGGCAAAAACATTGGGTCATCACAAATGAAAGCAGAATTGTCTTCAGTGTAGACTTCTCTTACATTTTGACAATAAATGAAGAACTTCTTGAGGAATGCACTGCAATAGTTGGAGTCATTGAATCGGATTACTTGCAATTTATCGCCGTATTTGCGACCAAACTCTCTTAATGTTGACTCTTTCAGACCAATTGGATTGCATTCAATTGATTTGAGATAATGGCAGTGTTTACCAACCATTTGCATGATATCTCCGTCAATATAACACTGAAAATTGAGTTTCCGAAGAAGTGGACATTTCTTAAGAATCGATTCGAGTGAGGGTTTGTCGATGGCCTTAAAACCGGCGTAATTGGCAAAACCGGTCGCATAGTCGGTCACTTCAATGTCTTTCAACAGCTTATTCAACGTATTGTGCTCTTCAGTGTCCGATCGGTTCAAAACCAGTTCAGTCTGTGTGTTGTATACGACTCGTTGCCATTGTTTGGACACCGATTCTAACGTCACTTTATCATTGAATGATAGATAAGAGAGAATCAGTTCCATCATATCGTCGCCAAATCTGTCCATTGAATCAATTATGTAAGAGGTTTGTCGCGATAAAAGAACTGGAGGTTGCAGTCGACAACCGGAAGACCCGCAACTACTACTGCCCTCGCCATACATGTCATCATTGGTTTGCCGTAAACTCAGGCCAAAGAGTCGATCACTCATTTGATCCATTCGACACTTATCGTCGTTAGGCGTATCCATAGTTAGGTATTTCAATAGATGTCATCAAAATATGCAAACTTTTCACTTATAAAAACTGTTAATTCAACAAATTATATGAATATTTTTGTTATATCAGTAGAAAACAAAAAAATATAATCAAAATGTTTTATATAATCAATAGATATGAACAACAAATAGTGTCATACCTTTCAATGAGTTTATCAGTGAAAGCAAAATGTTTTACAAATAAAAAAGTTTTGACAAAAATTGAAATTTAAATAAAAGTAGTGATAGAGAGACACATGTAATGTATGAAAGTATGGGTCAAATAGTGGTAGCAATGGTTGTGAATGCAGTTTTCAAACCAATATTTATGTCAAAATCTCATTCATAATACAAACGCCCACTAAATGCACGTCTCTATGACTTTATATTAACGTCACGATTGCATAATAGGTATAAACTGGATAACAGTTACTTTGATATTTAAGTATCATTTGTAAGCATATATTACCAGCAAATAGTATGCAATATATTCAACAAAATAAAGTACTCAAACATTGCTTTTCACTTCAACTGGTTTTCTAAAATCAATACATTCATCGCTTGGATACCAAATACATATGTAGTGTAATATCTAAACGCTTGACAAACGTATGATATTTGAAAAAACAGTCAATTTTTGTGACACAAGAAAAAGTTTTTTTTGGCAAAAATATCTTCTTATGTCAAAAAAGATTTGTTGGCCTTCACTATCATATTAGCGATCAGTCAATACATAGTCACCGGACTGTCGATTGCTGTAAATTTATTGCATAAACTTTCCCATTATAGCTAAAAAGCTAACAATTTTTTTATAAACAATTATTTTTGTAATTAGTAATTACCATAAATATCTTATTTGGCCTAAAATTATCTAAATATGAATTTTCATGTGATTTTCATAATTACATAAAAATTCTAGCTATTAATTATGCCATTTGAATCTTAAATGTCATAATGAGATAATTTAATATTAATTTAAATTGTGTTTCAATATTTAGTAATGTAATGATTGGCATTTTTAATGTAATCTTTAAATGATTTGTTGATATTAATATAAATATATTTTTATATAACTTTTTACTTCTGAAAAAGTATAAAATATATGTAATAATAATAATAATAAAATGTGGAAATTGTAATCCATAAGCAAGAGACCAAATGAATCAGTGTTAGTGGAAATTAATCTAAAAATAGCAATTTTTAAACATTAATTAGTGTATTAGAAAAGAGAGAGAGAGAGAGAGAGAGAGAGAGAGAGAGAGAGAGAGAGAGAGAGAGAGAGAGAGAGAAAGTCATTTAAGCACTGGTATCACGAGTTGTTCCCAAACTCTTTACTTTAAAAAACAAAAACTCAATGATTTTTACTCTTTATTAACATTTAAATTCATAGACATTACTGTCTATGAGTTTTATAACTAACAAAATGTAAATTCTAAGCATTGAATAATTGCCAATGAGTTCAAAATATTATAAAATAATGTATTTTGTATTTTTGTTTTTCTCAGCAAACCTACAAACAAAATAAAAATGTATCAAAAATATTATTTTAACAAATTATATAAAAAATATTTTTTATTATTGAAAATAAAAAAATATAATAAATTTACGTAAAACTTGTATTAATAAATTTGTTGACAAATATTAAAATATCTCAAAAAGAGGGTTTAATCTAATTAAAGGAACGGATGTTTTTATTTTGTTTGTTACGCCAATCATTTATTTTTAAATTATATTTATATATCTATTTTCAGCACTTAATTGATTTGTAGTTACTTTTAATGCACACAAATATATATATATATAAATATATTCTGTATATATTGTAAATGTAGAATAATTATGTCTGGCATTATATTTGTTTATTGTTTAGTATTATTTGTTTGGTATATAATTAACTAAATAATTAATCAAAAATAGCAAAATACAAAATATTAGCAAAATAGTTTTAATCCTAAAAATAATTACAATTATTTGCATTTTGGATGATATTTGATACAAAAAAAGCACAAAAAACTTTCTTTTTTATCAGTATATAAATTATATAATTTAAGTGGTATATGAAGTATAAATTTGATGTTTTTAGTGCATATAATAGTAAAGTAGTTTCTTGAGTCTTCAAAACTAATTTTATGTGTTTATGAATCATATGATTTGAAATAAATTAACATTTGTTTTGTTTTTGCAGCTGATTTTAGGTCTTAATTTTGAAAGATTTATTATTTGAAGAAATACGTTATTTCTACATTTATTTTTATACTTTTATCTATTTGTAAATTTTACTTACAGTATACTACAATACCATATAATGATTATATTAATATTCAATATTGTACATATTGACATGTTTTTGACATTGACATTGTATATATACATGTATATATGGTATATAAATTGTGCAAATATTTCAATTAAATATGTAATTGTTTTTCATTTGATTGATATGTTTTACATTTACAATCTGATGATGCAATTAGTATACAATATTATATGATTATAGCAGTGTTAGAATTTCTAACATAAAATCTATAGATTCTATACCTTTATATACCTGTAGACTATTATTGGATAACTATCTCTAAATAATAAATTGATTTTAATTTTATTGACATCTCGTGCCTTTAAATAGACACATAAATGCCATTTAACAAATCAAATATAGAAAAAATAATAATGTATTTATTAATAATAATATCAATAATCAAATGGTGAAAAATAATTTTGATGATTGCACTTTATTACGCTATATTGTTATTTACAACACAACAACAATCAATTACTAGATTTATTTAAATAGTACTTTAAATTTAATATTACAGTAAAATTAAAATTCATTATTAAAATTATATTTATAAAGAGATAATCAATTGAATATCTCAATTTACTCAAACATTATCTTATTTTTACCAAATGATTGTTTTTATTTGCACTAAAAGATCTGATTGTCTAAAAAGGGAGAATTCAATTGACTTTTTATTATATCTTATAATAATTGTATTAAAATAGAGTAATTAAAAAAAAGTTTTGTATCTGTAATTACAAATTATAATCAGAGTTAACACAATTTTGACAAATTTAGTGCAAATAAATTGCATAACAATAGTAACTAATGAGAGCTGTCTGTGTGGTAATCTATTGCATTGAATATTTAAATATCAAAAATCAAGTGTTTTATTGAATAGTTAGAACTTTTACTAACACTTAAAAACATTTCAATAATCTTATCGATTCATTGCTAATCCAATATGACATTCAACACAACGACTTAATTATTAATACTTTGCTAAGAAGTCTTAAATAATTGTAAATAACATCCGTTTTTATTACTAAGGATTGTATTGTTTGACTATTTATGAAATAATGTATAATTTTGAGTAATAAAAATTAATAATAAGACAAATAATTAAGATTTTATAAATAAATCAACATTTTGTGTCCATTAAAACTTCAATAATTCAATCAACTATTTAACAATAAGTTATATGATATATCTTATATCTATAGTGATTAAGTAAATAAAAAAAATTATTAATTAAGATAAACTCGATGTGTGTTAAGTGATACTTATTGACAAATAACTTATTTGTATGTTTTGTTAAAATATATTATATTTTATTTATTTTGTTATAAAATAATTTATAAATTCATAACATTAATGAAATAACATGGATAATAAGTATAATAAAAAATAGTTTCAACATATGATTAGTTTAAACTGTTCACTAGTTTTGTGTGATTTTTAAAATTGAAAATATAATGTAATTACAAATGTTTTTAACAGAATTAATAAAACAACATAATTATAAAAATATAAATTATAACTATTTGTTAAAATATTTAGTAAACTCATTGATTACATGTTTTATAATTTCTGTATTATTAATAATTGTATTGGTGTTCACCAAACAAATGCAATATAATAATTATGGTGATCTCGTTAGTGATAATACCACCGATGCCGATGACATGTCGGGAGCTATTGATAACTTTATGAATCCTAAACTATTGGATCCAAATAGAGATCCATCGGATCATTCAACTCATGGCAAATCTGATGATCACAAACGACATCCACCACAACCCCCTCATCCGGATATAAAAAAATATTGTGAACGCATTTGTCGAACTGATCCGGCGAGTGGTGGCACCAAATGCAACTGTGATCACTCGCCATTCAATCATTAAATCATATATATTATCAAAATTACATTATTATTATCTAATAAATAGTTTTTCTTATAATTAAAGTCTATTTTTTCATTCAATTTATTGATTTTAATTTATACAACAAATCAATGAGAGATTTTCTTTTCAAGAATTTCAAGATTTTATTTTTTGAAACAACAGAAGACAAAAAATAATTTCAATAAATAATTGTTTGAATTGAAACAAACACCAAATCAGTTGATATATTGATGAAAAACACACTTTTTTAAAGAGCAAACTCATAGTTAATGACCTCTTTTACTTCTTCTTCTTCTGCGACCACTTCTGCTTCTTCTTCCTTCTCTTTTACTTCTTTTCGATCCTTTGCCACCTCTTTCTTCTAATTCAATCATAAGAAACCTTTTGACAGCTCTGTAACGAACTTTTCGTCCGCGACGACCACCTGATCGGCGACTGCGACGACGCGAACCACATCTGGCCTCAGATGTCTTGCCTCCGGATTTCAATGGGTTTGACTCTTCTTCATTTGGATCCGGAATAAATGTATTTTATAAGGACTCACCTAACCTAACCTAACCTAACCTAACCTAACCTAACACTACTAAACTAACCTAAACTAAACTGTAATATAAGTGAATATCAACAATCAAATCAGTTAACAATGTGAGTCCTTATAAAATACATTTCTTTGATGTGATTCTTCTAACTTTAGATTACACTACAAACTGATTGTTTGCTTATTATGAATTTAAATTCAAATAAACTTATAAAATATAAATTCAAAAATGTAATCAATTTAAGGCTTCGGTTAACTTTGAGAGCTTTGATTTTAACATTATTGTCGCGTCCAATACAACACTCTTTTCATTGAATTGATTTAACTATTAGCTCATGAAATGAATTAATTTTATTTACTTAAAAAACAAATATTAATATAAACACATTAAAACATATCAAACTACCCTAACTTATACCAAATCCTAATTGTTTTAACTGCACGTGAAATGGTAACAATCAATGACTTATATGTTTTAATGAATTAACACTTCAATAATTGTTTCCTAAATTATTATTTGTGTTATATTTTTATAATGCGATTAAAGTTTTATTAATATTTTATAGTATAAGTAATCAAATCAAATCAGACTTTATTGGCATCTCATTCACCATTTACTTGTATGCATTGTTAATAAGATATTTAAATGTATTATATATAACAATTAACTTCAATAACCACAAAAATCGAGATACGAAATAATATTTATCCCCATATTCTAACCTAAGCCACTATTGGATACAATAAACCCTATTTTAAAATCTTATTTTTATTGAATTTTATTGAATTTTAATAAATTGATTAATTGCTTATCTTGTAAATCTAGCTAAACGTAATTAAATATTTCAATTGATTAGTGGATATAACTATCGTAAATAATGTAAATAATATGTAATAAATGTTTAGTATAGAGTATATTCTATTATATTAATATTAATATATACAAAAAGTATTTATGTTAAATATTGAAAAATGATCAAAAATAAATTACTTAATTATTAAAATCAATAATTAAATTTACAACTATAATATATTTCATTGACCCCACAATAGAGGGCAACCAAAATCACGTTTTGCTTGAAACAAAATGTTATTAAAGTAATATTACATAATTTGTAATTATTTTCGAAATTAATTTCGTGATGTTTTTAATTAAAATTATAAGTATAGTTAATATGAAAGACTTTTAATTTGATTAATTAATAGGTTTTACGGATTAATTATAGAAAATCGCTAATTTGAAATATTTTAATATTTAATTTCATTCATTTCTAATTAAAATTTATTTAAAGCTAAATCTATAGTATATTTGATTGATTTAAATTAAAGTATAAACGATTTTCATAATATAATTTTTTTTATAAATATTACTTCAAATAAGTTTTAAACTACTTATAGCATTTAAGACCCCCTTTGATTATCTATTGAGAGTAATTATCGATAAACATGTGTTATAATTACCAACAGATAACACTTAAATTATGATTTATGCTTTAGTTTTACCACAGATTAACTAATATATAATTAATATTACTTTTTTATTTTTAAATTATTAAAATTTTAAAAATGATATATTGACAATGTAAAATTAGTTAAATTATTTAAATGTTTATATAAATTGACATTAGAAATATGCAGTATTTACTTTAATATAAGATAAAGTAATAAAATACAAAAATGGTCTAAACTATACATTCAAGGCGTTTAATATAATGTTATTTTGTTTGTTTGTAAAAACCGTATCACTTAGTGATGATATTGTTGTCAAATGAAAATTCTGGTTATTATTTGATTTGTTTGGATGTGAAGTCAACAGATGAAAGTGGAAAACATTGAAACAATCAAATTAATCACAATTTTTGTTAATTCATATGAAAAGTTTTGAAAAAAAAATTTGAATTAATATATTGTAATATCTAATGTATTTAGTTATTAAATGTAATTTAATTTACAATATATTTTGTCATAATATACAAACCATTGTTTATGTTTTGGTGTCCAATAAGCAAAATCACTTAATTGTTAATTATAAAAATTAATTTTTAAAAATGATTTGAAATAATTAATTATAAATATAGTTAAATTGGCAATCAAATGAAATTAAATAGTATAAATAAATAGATTAATTATATTTTTTGTAATATATTTATTTTGCAGTGTATTGCAATAATATCAGAATAAATGACATTGGTTAATTTTGATAATTTCAATACAATTGAGTGATTTCTATCTAAAACAATTAATAAATACCTGATTATATAATTTATACGATATATAAAAGTTATTCATACAAATTATTGATTTTAGTGTTTCAAATGTTAATCAGTTTTACAAATTGAATAATTTTTATTAATATATCTATCGATATAGAAATGTATAAATAATACTAAATAATAGGCTGTCATAGCAATGGTGGCCACAATAGTGCTTACACTGCCGTCACAATTATAACCATTGACCACATAATATAAAGCACAGGTACTCGTAATTATGCCGATAAACATCTGTAAGGTTTGTACGGATGTAATAAATTTTGCAGCCGATGTGGGAACCGATATCTTAATAACTTTGAGAGCGTAGTAGAAATACATGATTGCATGGATGGCATAGTTAAGTGTAATACCCCACCGAGTAATTGCCGGTAAGTCACTGTAGACGAAGAAACAGTAGATAAATGTGATTATATGGTGAGTCCAGTGCAAGAAAATAAGTTTCTGTTTGCGTAAAATAATGAACAAAGTGTCGCCAAACTCGAGAGGTTTAGACCACGTGAAGAGCCAAATCCAGTACTCTATTTGCCAACTCTTCTTGAATGAGTTGTTGCATATCGAGTGATAGAAACCTTTGTTCATCACAGAAGAGATCAATTCCGGCAACAACTTTGAGGTACCGCAGAGTGAAAACAAAGAAAGACTTATATTCCAGAAGAGCATCACATTCTTCAGTCGATAGGCTTTGCGACACTTCATCCACTTCTGTCCGTTGGCCACACATATGATATACACAACACTGGCGTAAACAGACAAATGCCAGTTCTGGGCGAACCATTCCCTGTGAAACAACACATCAAACGGCCTTATCGTACGATTTATGTAAATCTCATCCATTATTTCATATAATTTAATCCAATTTTTAAAATGAAGTTCAACTATAAAAATTATTTTTAAGTCATATAATAATATTAATAATCAATAAATTGCTTTCAATATAACAGTTCATTTATGGTATAGTATTTGTCATAAGCATCGCACGACTATTTGAGTAAATGTTTCGACGATTATTGCCTTTATATAAATGACATTTCATTTGCATAATACTCGTGACTACATTGTTCAGCACCGGTACATATTATACAATACGATATAATTAATTTATTTTTGTATATAAATATATTATAAATAATTAATATAATTTATATAATTTTTATATTAATTTATTGGCTATTAACTAAATATAGAATTGATACAATATTTTTATCCAATTTTAGATAAATTTAATATCTTAGTAACCAATTACATATTTTAATTTAATTAATTTAATTAGTTATTTATTTAATAAAAACGAGTATAGTCTATAAAATATCATTTTAATCAATAATTTACTATTATATATATATATTGTATGTATTATATATAAATTTATGATATTTTGTGATGTATGCGCACACAATACTTAATGAAACATAGATATAATTTATCCAGATATATCAAATATACTATCATATAATTGTCAAATACCTGCAATTTCATGTTTCATATTTATAACATATAAAAATGCTTTCATTTTATTATTAGTTTAAAAGCCAAAAAACACAAATATCTTGTATATACTGTCACATAGTTTTTATTATAAATGTTTATTGAATACATACAGTATTTCGTGACACAAATTCATTATGAAATATAACAGAATTTTCATATTCTTATAGAAATTAAACTTTAAAAGCGTATAAAACTTTTATGTATTGATTGTTGCATTAACTTCAGTGGAAATGATGTAATTAAATACTGTATATACATATAAATAATTTTATTTTTTATTCAATATGATGCAGTATTTTCATAAATTAAGTAATTATTGATTTTAATTTGCAAATAATTGCCAATAGTAATATATATAATTTTGAATTTAATATAATATATATGGTAAAAATTAATGTTATGTTTGCTTAAAATTAGTCAACAATTTTGTTATTTTTAATATTTATAGCAATTTTCTAAATATAGCAAAAATATAATAATTACTATTTTTATATTTAGTAGACAGAATTGATGTCAAATAAAATTTTGAAAAATATCTTAGAAAAGTTAATTTGAAAATCATTACATTAGACTTAAATTTCTATGAGATTATTGATAAACATATAATTTGTAAAATCTCTTCCCTGAGAGAGAGARAGAGAGAGAGAGAGAGAGAGAGAGAGAGAGAGAGAGAGAGTTTAATATATGGATATCTCAGACATTGCGGACAGGATTTTATGTAGTTTGAGAAATGACTCTCTAATTTATAATATGTTTTTAGTTGTGTATTGTATTTTACGTAAAAATATATATTATATTTTATATATATATATATATACAGTATATATATATATTAAAAAGCATAATCTTTTTGTTGATGAGACACACGGAACAGACAGTAAATATTGAAATGATTTGGTGGTGTATATCGGATAACACAATATGTTAGATAACTACTCACAATACATATGAAAAAGAGTCGATTCGCTTATATACCGATTTGGGCACAACGTGTTGTACACATCATATAACAACTGTATCTCAAAACTTTCTCATGCAATATATATATATATATATATATATATAATTTATATGTTTAACTTATAAGTATATAATATAATAACAATACGTTATCGTGTATTTAAACTGTATATTATATAACTTTTTTAGAAAAATATTTCTATTTAAGTATTTTTGCTTCCGAAAGCAAATCACGATTTTTTTTTGATTTTACATTTTGATTAATTCATAATCTTTTAATAATATAGTATTTAGAAAAATGTAAATCTATATGAAACTGAAAACATGTTTAATAAACTTGATCTATATTATCATAAATGTCAAATTTTGTAAAAATCTCTTATATTATTTATATTTATTGATTAAATTAACATAAAATTTATGTTAAATATGTTTATTAAATTAAAAATCAATTATTATTAAAATTTTATATTAAAAACTAATATTTGCTTGTTGAACTTGTAAACTAATAAATTTCTAATATAAAAATATTAATTAATATCGATATTATTTGTATTATTAATACTATATCATTAATATTTATAAATTTTTATTTATTTTTAAAGAATTTTATTACATTTAATAATATTATATTTTGTTTTATAATTAGTTATCTTATTGCTATATTATGATAATATAACAGGTTGTATCATTTTAATCAATATGTACAGTAATAATATCTTTAAATGATTCAACAATATATGAAGCCATACGCCATCATAATATAAAATAAGTTTTATTTGGTTTTATTTTCACAAATAAAATTACATTGATTTTTGTCTGAAAATTTGGTGTCTTTTTAGATGACTTTATATAACAAATGACTTAATTTTGAGAAAATAAACACAAAAAGCGTTTACTTGTTGTTAATGGACTCACAATTCTAGACAAACAATTCAATATCTAATGTATTACAGGACACAAATTGTGTTAAATTGCAAATAAATTATAATCATAGATCTTATAGTATAGATAGTAGAGCTAAATGTTAAGTAGACTTATATATTATTTTATTTTCAAATACATTGAATAATAATAAATAAATAATTTTATTTTCAAAAACAATAATGTTATTAAATACAAAAAGTATTACAATCGTTTTACAAGTTTTACAATTTTATTTTTATCAATTTTTATAATCAAAAAAAGTGAAAACAATAGCAATTCAATAAATTTTGAAAACATTTTCGAGACTTACAGTACTTACAATGATTTAGAAATTTATTGCTTTTATTATTATAAAAATAATGCCAAAATCTATCATTATATGAATTGTCTCACAAATTGATAATATTGTTGTTGTTTTATCAATAATATCTTAAGGCTTATAATTTTTTAGTTTATTGTTTTTATGGTTAATACAAACAATTAATTTATTTAAAAAGTATCATTTTAATCTATATTAGAAATTATATTATTTTAAGTTTTAAATATTTAATTTGTATTAAATATTATTAATTACAGAAACAATACTTTGATTTAATTATATAAAACTAATTATATTATAATTATTTCGGAGTTTAAAAAAATAATATTTATAAACATTTTAAACTTGTTTTGTTTTTTAAAAATTTATTAAATTTTAAACAAATAAACTAAAAAATAAAAGTTATAACTAAAATTATAATTTTAAAAATTGGTTTAATGATTAATTATATATAAAAGCAAAATAAAATAAATGTAATATAAGTATTATAAATTATAATTTATAATTAAAAATATCAAAATTTGTTTGTATTTTTAATTTTAATTGATATGTTTCCCTCAGGTCGCCACTAATTTTATTTTTAAGATTACTTATAATTAAATAAAAACATTAATTACACAATAATATTTTCATAAATTGTAAATATTATTGAAAAAGCATAAAACAATTAAATAAAATAAAATGAATTACAATAACAAATACTTGTTGTCAAAAAACATTAACTACTGTTTGTGTCAATACACTAATGCGAGAGAGACGTAGTTTTTAAAAGTTTATTTTTTAAATTTATTTTTATAAATTATAAAGAAAATACAATTGATATACTAATATAATAAATATTACAAAATATGTTATCGTTCAAAGATACTAACCGCATATCTGCTGCTTATATAGTGATGAGTTTATTAAATAATTTTTTATTGAATCCGTTTTATATTAAACAATAATATTTTTATAGATAATTTCTAAATTAACAAAACGATTTTCTAAAAAAATCCAATACATATTTTTGTTTTGTTTTTTTGTGTTAAAATATCTCAATTTTTTAGTTATTTTATCAGATAAAGTAATATAATTCAAAATTCTTGTACACATTTCAATAAACATATACAACATTAAACTTTGTGGTCAATTCTGTATATTTTACATATAATTAATATTTATTTACCACTAATACAATTATTCTTTATACTGTTTTACTAAATATACTGTAGTAGACTTATAATCTAACCTTAATTTATTTATATTATTAATAAATTATGATTTTTTATCAATTAATATTATAAATAATGAAAGTAATTTTATAAATGTGATATACAAAAAATGTTATTTAAAATTAATTCAATAACTAAAAATTATCATACACAATACTTCAATGTAACTAAATTATTACAATTAAATATAAAAAATACAAATAGCAGCTTAAATTGAAAAAATTATACTTATGTAATTTAACAAAATTAAAATTGATTAAATTGATAAATTATTGGTTAATGAAAAAAACCAATAAAAATAAATATATCTTATAAATAGAAAATAATAGTTTGTTTTTCTTTTTTATTTCATTGGGATTTTAGTTGAGTGCCTAATGTTGTGTCAAAATTCCCAAACGAGTTGACAAAACACACAAATTTGTATTAGTATTTCATTCATTCATTCAAAATATCGTTAATGGAGTCAAAGATTTTTGACTAACATTTGAATGCTTTTACCAAATAATAAAAACCATGTTTTACTTGATATACAATGTGTTGTATATACTATATTCAACATCCAAATTGTGATTACAATTTTATAATATAATGTATGGCTTTAAGCCAATTTGCTTAAAAATATTTTGCATATTCATTATACACTAACATTATTTATATATTGTTATATATTGTAATATGCATTGAAAGCATATTTTACTTAATAATAAAATATTATCATTTTATATAACTCTATAATAGACATATTATAATTTATGAGTAGTATTTATGAATAGAGATTTTGTTATATAATACCTTAATTCAAATAACAATTTTTCTATTTTGCTATATATAACCACATTTATATATATAAATATTAAATTTTTAAATGTGGATCAGCAAAAAAAATAATTTAATGAATGATATAAACATTTTGAAAATATAATTAT